TGGTTAAGAACATTGGGCCAGTAACTGAAAGGTCGCTGGTTCGAATCCCTGAGCTGGCAAGGTGGAAAAATCTGCTGTTCTGCCCTTGAGCAAGGCAGTTAACCCCCAACAGCCGATGACGTGGCACTTGCGGGGGGCACCTCTCTGATTTAGAGGGGTTGGGTTAAATGCAGAAGATGCATTTTGGTTGAATGCATTCGGTTGTGCAACAAACTTGTCTACCTTACCACTAAACAAGTGTCTTTCCTTCCAAGAAGCTCCAAAAGGTAGCGATATGTCTTCCCTTAACAAAGTGGGCTGTGCTGGACCATGGCAATGACCAGTATGGCCTGCAGGTAGAAAAGGTTGGTTAGGAGAAGAGTTCGTCTTTCAAAATAGCTAAGATTGTTAACTAAAACTTATGTATGCAAAGGAAAATTCCACTATAAATGGAAAAATTCCACTATAAAATGGTAAGAGACATGAAGTGCCATTTGCCTCACTCAAAACAGCACTGACCTGTGCAAAATGCAGAACTGTAAAACACAGTTAAACTCGCAATACAATGCAGCGTGATTAATGCTGTAAATGTTTTGCTCATTGCATTGGCTGCCCTGGGCAGGGGTGATGTCACCCACTGGAATGTGCTAGTGCATGAATGAGGTAGACTCACCACGATTAACAGTGGAGAGACCACCAACCAGCAGTGCCTTAAAGACATTTGGAGGTTTTCCCAGAATCCTTTTCACCATTATAGCGAGCCGATGTACTCCTACAAATCAGCAGGAAGTATATTGTCATGGACTAAAAGCATATAAGAATGAGATCTGCAAAGGTCATTATCTGCTGTATATGAAATCATTCTTTAGAAAATAAAGGTCACAAGACATTTCTATTGAAGACATGTTCAGCATTGCCAGATCATTATTCTTTCTTGGAATCAAGAGGAGTTGTTTTTGGAGAGAAAATCAATGAATAATGTCATACAACAGGGCATAATCATTCAAGGCCAGATGAAGCAAACAGATACAGTACATTCATTCTGAAAAAGAGCTCACATTGGAGCACTTACCAAATATTCAGCTTAGGGCAACAACTTCAGATAAAGAAGTGAACATCAGAGTTATAACCCCAGCATAGTCTAACATTTGGAAGATGTAGACCCTGCCCTGTTAAGACCAAGGCCCAAGAGCATCATTTGATATTATTTGTTTGAATAGGATAATGGCACCAAGATTACCCCTCTTGAAACCAGATACACATATGCATGCACGCACACACACACACAAAGAGAAATAAAAACATGCATGGACACGCACACAAACACAGGTACACACACACACACACACACACACACAAACACCTGAGTAATGAAGTGAAGGCCAAGCAGAAAGGTCAAGAATCAGACAAAGTAATAGGGTCCCCACCTCTTTATACTTCAGCCTGAGGAGACTCTTTGGGCCAGAGCTGTCATAATACAGTCCCCACAACCTCCACAAGAGCAAACTATAGACAAGACAAAACACACATCAAACTATGGACAAGACAAAACACACAAACTATAGACAAGACAAAGCAAAACACACAAACTATAGACAAGACAAGACACACATCAAACTATAGACAAGACAAAACACACATCAAACTATGGACAAGACAAAACACACAAACTATAGACAAGACAAAGCAAAACACACAAACTATAAACAAAACAAAGCAAAACACACATCAAACTATAGACGAGACAAAACACACAAACTATAGACGAGACAAAACACAAACTATAGACGAGACAAAACACAAACTATAGACGAGACAAAACACATAAAATAAAATGTTATTGGCCACATGCGCTGAATACAACAGGTGCAGACATTACAGTGAAATGCTTACTTACAGCCCTTAACCAACAGTGCATTATTTTTAATAAAAAAGTAGAATAAAACAAAAAAGTGTTGAGAAAAAAATATCAGAAGTAAAATAAAATAACAGTAGGGAGGCTATATATACACAAACTATAGACAAGACAAAACACACAAACTATAGACAAGACAAAACACACAAACTATAGACAAGACAAAACACACAAACTATAGACAAGACAAAACACACAAACTATAGACAAGACAAAATACACATCTAACTAAATACAAGACATAACAAAACACAAACTATAGACAAGACAAAGCAAAACACACATCAAACTATAGACAAGACAAAACAAGAACACACATCAAACTATAGAGAAGACAAGACACACAACTATAGAGAAGACACACATCAAACTATACCGACAAGACAAATCACAAACTATTGACAAGACAAAACACACAAACTATAGACAAGACCAAACACATATTTTAATATTTCACGAATAACAGATCGTGTAAGTGTGCGTATGTTTGCATGCGTGCGCATGTGTGTGTGAGCTTGTGTGTGCATGTGTGAATATACCTTACATTACAGACTTAAAACTTTATTGAAGTTTAGGTTATATAAAAAATATCAACAATACAATAGATTGTGGGGTTACAGACTCTTTAAAAGGTTCCTATGAACCATATAAGTTGGCTCAACAAGTCTGGACATTTTAGAGTCAGTAAGTACTGCAAGGCACTCAAAGAGGTGAGAAAGATGAGAAACTTGAGCTTACGTCCCAAATGGCACCCTATTCCCTATATAGCACACTACTTTTGACCAGAGCCCTAAGGCCTTATGGGCTCTGGTCAAAAGCAGTGAACTATATAGGGATTAGGGTGCCATTTGGGATACAACCTGAGTTATTCTCCCCACTTTTCGTTCTCTGTTTAGAGTTACATTAAGCAGAGTCCTATTCACCGTGACTTATTAACTGTTATATGCTTCAAACGCATCAATCTCCCTCCCCGGACACACTGTACTCATCCTGGTCTAACCAGGTAAAAAAAACATCCTGGCGGTTAATCATAGAGAATGAGAAAAGCGAAGGGTTTCCCCCCATATCTCTGGCGTTATTAATGAAAGAAGCACAGTTGGCTGCAGTGTTAAGTTTAGTTCAATGAAAAAGAGAGAGGAAGGTACTACGTTTACAGTCCTGTTTCCTAGCTCCTAGCCATAATGTAAATATAGAAGAGAGAGGGGAGGGGGGAGAGAGAGAGAGAGAGAGGGGGGAGGGTGAGAGAGAGTGGGGGGAGGGTGAGAGAGAGTGGGGGGAGGGTGAGAGAGAGTGGGGGGAGGGAGAGAGAGTGGGGGGAGGGAGAGAGAGAGTGGGGGCAGGGAGAGAGAGAGTGAGTGGGGGGAGGGAGAGAGAGAGAGAGAGAAAGAGGGTGGGGAGGGGGAGAGAGAGGGGTGGGGAGGGGGAGAGAGAGGGGAGAGGAGAAGGAGAGAGAGGGTGGAGTAAGTCGCTCTGGATAAGAGCATCTGCTAAATGACTAAAAATGCTAAATGTAAGAAGGCATGACCCAAAAGAAAGTAAATGATGTGACAGAGAAAGCAGACAGGTTTGACCTCTTATTGCTCTATTTCACAGGTTTGACCATTTTCATTAAGTAATGAGTTTTACTGAGTAACTCATGTTATATCATGATAATACAATTATACTTTTCTCTAAACATGTCACTACAATAAACACTATTCATAAAAATGTTAACTCACATATTTAACTGTAGAATGAAGCATGATATAATGTATATTGTAAAATAGGAGGCTTTTGTTGACATGTAGTCTTCACGTAAGTGTCCTGATTGGCAGAGCTGACGAAGACACTTATCTACTGCCATTGATTTTAAAAAACTAACAGGTGTTTCAGTAACACCAGGTTCATTTGTCAAAGAACAAATATTTGCTACGTCACACTGAATCAAGGCACTGTCGTATGAAAGTAATGATGATAGCACAATACTACACTATAATAGTGGTGCGGCAGGTAGCCTAGCGGTAAAGAGCGTTGGGCCAGTAACCGAAAGGTCGCTTGTTTGAATCCCCGAGCCGGCAAGGAGGAAAAATTAGCTGTTCTGCCCTTGAGCAAGGCATTAACCCCCAACAACTGCTCCCGAGCGCCGTTAAACTCGATTAAGGCAGCCCCCCCGCACCTCTCTGATTCAGAGGGGTTGGGTTAAAAGTGTTAGACACGTTTCAGTTGAGTGCATTCAGTTGTGCAACTGACAAGGTATCCTCTTTCCCTAATAAATCAACTCTTCTCTCTCTCATGTTTTTACAGGCTCATTCATCTCAGCACTAAAACCAGCTCAAACAACCCTGAAAGAAAGTTGTCTAATACTGACCTCTATTGGACAATAACAGAAGCTACATGCTATAAATCCTGATAGCCTGGGACAAGTTTTTCTAAAGTTATCTGATCGGATTTCGGCAATCGGATAGGATTAAATGCATAGAAATGTAGCGAATAGAACAGGCGTCCCCATTTAACTAAATGATACGCCCGTTCTTTTTACTCTATTTCTTTACATGTAATCCTATCTGATTGCCGAAATCCGATCAGATAACTTTTGAAAAACTGGGCCCTGGATCACAAGTGATTTACCATTGTGGACAATCAGGTCAATTGTGACAGAGTAATGTATTCACTGGCAGCTGATAATAAAGGCAGTGTGATTGGTGCTAGTAGTTCTGTTTCACAGGTTGTTGCTGTGATGTAGTAGGTCAAGGCAGGGCTGGAGTCATACTGTCCAGTAAGTATTCAAGGCTCATGGTAATGTCAAGGCTGGGGTCCTGGGAGTCGGGCTAAGATGCTCGGTCCTGTCAAGGCTTGGCTAAGGTCCTAAGGGTGCTGCTGGGTAAGGCTCTTAGGCTGCATCCCAATTCTTCACCCTTTTCCCACAGTGTGCACTTACAGACTTTCTGACATGGATTTAAAAAGCATTGGATTGGATAAATCAATGGAAGGAGCTTCCAATATTGTTAAATCCATGACAGAAAGTGTGCAAGAGCATACTTCAGTAAAAGGGTGGAGAATCAGGATAATAAGTCAGGTGTGGGTGAGTTAGTCAGAGATACTAAGTCCTGGTTCTGGATGGACTGGATCAGTCAGGGTGCTGGGCAGGGTCTGTCCCAGGATCCCTCTCCTGCATGGCTCTGTCCCCCTGTCCTCTCAGCGCCAGGTAGCGTTGGACCACCGCGGCCCAGTCTGTCACTTGCTCCACGCGCACCTGGCCAGCCAGCCTGGAGCTGGAGGGGAGGGGCTGGCCACCTGGGGGGCATAGAGAGAGCTTAGAAGATAAGAACAAGGCAACATACTCTTCATATACATCTGCACATTTCTTTAAGATTTTTAATGTAGGAACTATGTTTGTTGGGACTTTTATTGATGAGAATCAAGAATGTAAGATGCTCAAACATGTCTTTTTTTCACGTGCCATGCATGTACGTATCAGATCGTATTAGAACACATTTACCAAATCACCAAATGATTAGTTTGAACAGTTAATTGAAATTAATTGAAATTAATTAAATATGTGAATCTCAATCATTTGAATCAGTGAATTGAAATGGATCAGTACAATCAGGCCCTCACCCTCAGGTAGGATCTGTGTCCTCTTGTTGGTCCTCATCCAGCCCAAGGTGGTGTGAGCTAGCATGTCCAGAGAGCGGGAGTCAGGCCCAGGCAGACCCTCTGCATCCTCCTCTTCAGTCATCAGGTCCCGGCCCTCCGCAGAGCAGATCTTACCTGGGGGGTCATACATAACACACATACTGAGTGTACAAAACATTAAGAACACCTTCCTAATATTGAGTTGCACCCCCCCTTTTGCCCTCAGAACAGCCTCAATTTGTCGGGGCATGGACTCTACAAGGTGTCGAAAGCGTTCCACAGGGATGCTGGCCCATGTTGACTCAAATGCTTCCCACAGTTGTCAGTTGGCTGGATTTCCTTTGGGTGGTGTACCATTCTTGATACACACAGGAAACTGTTGAGCGTGAAAAACCCAGCAGCGCTGCAGTTCTTGACACAAACCGGTGTGCCTGGCACCTACCACCATACCCCATTCAAAGGCACTTAAATATTTTGTCTTGCCCATTCATCCTCTGAATGGCACACATACACAATCCATGTCTCAATTGTCTCAAGCCTTAAAAATACTTATTTAACCAGTCTCCTCCCCTTCATTGAAGTGGATTTAACAAGTTAAATCAATAAGGGATCATAGCTTTCACCTGGATTCACCTGGTCAGTCTATGTAATGGAAAGAGCAGGTGTTCATAATGTTTTGTACACTCAGTGTATATCTGATACATGATGTAGCATTACACATGCTACACTCATGTTTTGCCTCCTTGGGAAACAATCATTTGTAGTGGTTCAAACTGCCAATATTGAATCTATGAATTCCCTGAACAAGGTAGGAACACTAGTATGAAACTCACCTCGATGTTTGCAAAGCACCTTGGCATAAAAGAAGAGGTTGGTGAAGAGGTTGAATGGAGACGGCGTGCCTGACTTCCTACTCATGTCCCGTATGAGCACGGCCCGGCCAAACTTCCACTCAGTGTCTGAGTGGGCCTGAATGCGCTGATAGGTGTCACTCATCATGGCGATGAGCAGGTTGATCAGCACGATTACCGTCACCACCAGGTAGATGCCAAACACCAGGTGGGCCACAACGCCGGCGGCCGGGGGTGAGCGCACCAACGCAGGCATGTCCTCAGGCTCCGTCAGGCCGAAGAGGGCGAAGAAGAGCAGGACTGACACCTCCAGAGGGGTGTGGCCTCCTGTCTCCTGCCTCACCAAGGTGACATTGTAATACTGACCGAGCGGGTAAACGGGCTGGCACACAGCACACAGGCTCATGGTGAAGGCGGTGTGGAAGAGTGCCAGGATGACGGCAAACCTTCCCAGATCCTTCATCAGGTCTCTGATGAGGATGTAAGCCAAAAAAAACAAACAGGAGGCCTTATTATTGCAGATAATACTTAAGTGAACAATAACAACATATTTACAGAGGTACAGTGCATTCGGAAAGTATTCAGACCCCTTGACTTTTTCTACATTTTGTTACGTTACAGCCTTATTCTAAAATGGATTCAATACAAATGTTTCCTCATCAATCTACACTCAATACCCTATAACGGCAAAGCAAAAACAGTTTTTAAAATTTTATTTTGCTAATTTATTACAAATAAAATACAGAAATACCTTATTTATGTAAGTATTCAGACCCTTTGCTATGAGACTCAAAATTGAGCTCAGGTGCATCCTGTTTCCATTGATCTACAACTTGATTGGAGTCCACCTGTGGTAAATTCAATTGATTGGACATGATTTGGTAGGGCACACACCTGTACCACAGTAAGGTACCACAGTTGACAGTGCATGTCAGAGCAAAAATCAAGTCATGAGGTCGAGACAGGATTGTGTCGAGGCACAGATCTGGGGGAGGGTACCAAAACATTTCTGCAGCATTGAAGGTCCCCAAGAACACAGTGGCCTCCATACATCTGAAATGGAAGAGCTGGCCGCCCGGCCAAACTGAGCAATCGGGGGAGAAGGGCCTTGGTCAGTGAGGTGTAGATGGGAGAACCTTCCAGAAGGACAACAATCTCTGCAGCACTCCACCAAGTAGGCCTTTATGGTAGAGTGGCCAGACGGAAGCCACTCCTCAGTTTGCCAAAAGGCACCTAAAGGACTCTCAGACCATGAGAAATAAGAATCTCTGGTCTGATGAAACCAAGATCAAACTCTTTGGCCTGAATGCCAAGCGTCACGTCTGGAGGAAACCTGGCACCATCCCTACGGTGAAGCATGGTGGTGGCAGCATCATGCTGTGGGGATGTTTTTCAGCGGCAGGGACTGAGAGACTAGTCAGGATCGAGGGAAAGATGAATGGAGCAAAGTACAGAGAGATCCTTGATGAAAACCTGCTCCAGAGCGCTCAGGACCTCAGACTGGGGTGAAGGTTCACCTTCCAACAGGACAACGACTCTAAGCAAACAGCCAAGACAACGCAGGAGTGACTTCGGGACAAGTCTCTGAATGTCCTTGAGTGGCCCAGCCAGAGCCAGGATTTGAACCCGATCGAACATCTCTGGAGAGACCTGAAAATAACTGCAGCGACGCTCCCCATCCAACCTGACAGAGCTTGAGAGGATCTGCAGAGAATAATGGGAGAAACTCCTCAAATACAGGTGTGCCAAGCTTGTAGCGTCATACCCAAGAAGACTCGAGGCTGTAATCGCTGCCAAAGGTGCTTCAACAAAGTACTGAGTAAAGCGTCTGAATACTTATGCAAATGTTATATTTCCGTTTCTTATTTTTAATAAATGTGCACACATTTCTAAAAACCTTTTTTTGCTTTGTCATTATGGGGTATTGTGTGTAGATTGATGAGGGAAAAAACTATTTAATCCATTTTAGAATAAGGCTGTAACGTACCAAAATGTGGAAAAAGTCAAGGGGTCTGAATACTTTCTGAATACACTATAGGAGCAGAGGAAGACCTGTTTGGTTGAAACGTGTTGCAATATCAGTCCTGCTGACATGTTGATCTGCTCCTACCTAGTGAATAGCCTACTTGTATAGTTGTATTTTTCTCCACTGATCTTCTCTCACCTGATGATGATGGCCCAGGGGCCGAACAGGTGGTGGAAGGTCAGGAACTCCAGCAGCTGGACGAAGCCTAGAGTCATGGCCACGGCTAGTAGGACGTTCCGGGCGAACAGGCAGTGGAGATGGGAGGGGGGCCAGAGCTGGAGAACCAGGGCCAGGAGGTGGCAGAGGAAGGCAGCGGCGGAGAAGCCCAGGACGAGCACTCGGATCCAGGCTAGGCCCTGGCGCTCCCCTGGCTGGGTGAGCTCAGACACCAGCATGCCCCCCAGCCAGGCCAGCAGCAGCCACTCATTCCAGCAGGGCAGCAGGTGACCCAGGTGGATGGGACACAGCGGGGGGTAGACGATGGTGAGGATGAAGAGGGCCAGGAGAAAGACGTGGGACACCAGGTAGCTCATGAACTTCACGATGGGGATGGTGTTGAACCTGGTGTGGTTTTGAAACATTTTACATTCAATCCCAAGATAATATTTTCTGGCAATCAACTATCACCCAAAACTGGCATTGATTCACAGGATGAGTTTTAATGCTCTAAGTTAATTGTCGAATAATTGATTCATGGTTGGTCAAAAATAAAGAGTCTTAGTTCTCTTGTTGTAACTGGTGGAGTTTGAGATAATGTTTGAATGTAAACACATCCCACTGGGCACAAACTGGTTGAATCAACGTTGTTTCAATGTAATTTGTCATTGTATTGTGACAAGGAATCTAAATGGAAAACACATTGGATTTGAAAAAAAAGAGGTTGTTTTGAGGGTGGAATTTCAACCACAGGATTAAGTCATCATTGTAACAAATTTACAGAATAGGACTAAATTAAATCAAACTTTATTAAAAGTTTTATTTGATTTAGTTATATTCTTTAACTTAGATGTCTGGTTGAGATGGAGCCTTGAATCCAACATATAAATTATTCAGTTGTAGACAAACTGGAATTAAAGCCAGACTAAGTCAGGATTAAGCCAGTGGCTCAGATGAAACTATTCAAGCATTATCCTTTAAAATGTTGATATTTGGTTGCGTTGACAACCAAACACAATTCAATATTCCTTTTGTAATACAGTAAATAGCCTAAAGTTAAGGCGATCTTACAAACTAATGTAACAGTATTTATTCAACCTTAAAATGAGTAACACATCCATGGCCACATTTTGAGGTTAGCCTACTGTAACTATAAATGTTTTCTTATGTAATCATAGAAAGCGTACATGTTCAAGATAGCATGCAAAGGTCGCAGGTCAGTGGAGATCTTCACAATATAAATATCTGTGCAGAATCTCGAACAGCATTGATCACTTGCACCATGTACTTTTAATGTTATCTCAACTGCCATCCAGGTCATTTAGTTGTGCTATTAGATTAAGTACAGGGATAACACATTGATCTGTTGTATAAATAGAAAATATCTGACATTGTATTCCCATTTGAACTTTGTTTTGCTTTTAAAATGGTTGAAAGCGCAGTGATTACATGTTTAGATGACAACTAAACCAAAAATCTGACATTGTTTTTCCATTGGAATTTGGTTGTGCTTTTAAATGGTTGAAAGCATAATGATAACCCATTGGGAATTCTACAAACGTCTGGCTGACTTTTTGAGTTGGTGAATAAAGGTTGAAATCTCATTGATCAATGTCTCTACCAAATATTACCCAAATTTCCATGTTGAAATGACGTTGTGTGCCCAGTGGGTTAGCTTCAAAAGGGCTCCCATTAATAAAGGCTATGAACCTGTATCTATGAAAGTCTACTCTGTACCTGTGTTTGAGAGGCAGTGAGAGGAACAGCCACAGCAGAGGGCAGAGCAGCAGGCCAAAGAACAGCAGCAGGATCCTCCAGGAGTCCCACTGCAGACTGCCATACCACACCTCCGTCAGGTACTGCTGGACAGCCGGGTGGGCCACCACCCCCTTCTGACTCCCCTCGATCAGGCAGTCCAGCACGCTGGCCCCTCTATGGTCCACCGCCCTGAGTACGGCGCCGGCCCCCCTCTCCCCGGTCGAGGCCATGCTGAGAAGGTCGGAGGCCAGGCTCTCGCAGTGGTGGGCGGCCGCCTGGAGGTCCACGTAACGCTCCTTCTCCCTGAGGGCGGCCAGGCCCAGGGCTCGGGACAGACGCACGGCCGTGTCCAGGGGAGCAGCGGAGTGAAGAACCAGCTCCTCCAGCGTAGTGTTGGAGTTCAGCTTCCCACACACCATCAGGTCAAACACAAACTAAGGACAACACACACCATCAGGTCAAACACAAACTACAGACAACACACACCATCAGGTCAAACACAAACTAAGGACAACACACACCATCAGGTCAAACACAAACTAGGTACTCATCGGCAACATCGATTAAAAAACATGTTCTGGCAGCGCCTGTTGTTTAAAATTGTGTGCTTTGCTGCCATCTTGTGGTTAGACTAGAAAGAACGTGTAAGGGAGTAGAAAATAGAGGGAAAATAGAGACATAAACAGACAGAGAGAGAACACCAACCTTCCTGTCCTCCAGCAGTCTCAGTATGTTGTTCTCGTCTCGTCGTAGCAGGAAGCTAACCGTCCCCTGGTGGTTGTCCCTGGCAGCGTACTGCAGTGGGGTTCGTCCCCCCTGGCACTCTACACTGGCCGACGCCCCACTCTCCACCAGGAACCGCACCATGTCCAGACAGCCTGCTTTGGCTGCGTAGTGGAGCGGGGTCCAGCCACTCTAGAATTGGGGGGTCAGGTGTCAATGGAATTAGTGTGTGATCTGGCATAGTTTTTATTATTGTCAACATGTCACCATAACATCCCTATAACATCCTCATACGCTCCCCATAACATCCTCTCCCCATAATGTTTCCATAACATCCACATATTCTCCCCATAACCTCTCCATCTCCAGGTCAGTCTCACCTCTTCGGTGTGGTTGATCTCGGCCCCCTGGCCCAGCAGCACTCTGACCATGGCCACGTGGCCGCTGGCGGAGGCCAGGTGTAGACAGGTGCGGCCCTGCTTGTCCCTCAGGTGCAGCAGAGAGCTGGAGCGGCTCAGCAGCAGCCCCACCACAGACATGTGACCATTCTGGGCCGCCAGGTGAAGGGGGGTGGAGCCCTGAGGAGAAGGGGGGGGGACAGGGGGACGGTCAGTCTGACAGAACCACACACACACACAAGCTTGCAAAACGCACACATGCACACAAACATTTGCACATAAACCCTTGCACAAAATGCATACACTCACGTACAGTGCATTTGGAAAGCATTCAGACCTTTACTTTTTCCAAATTTTGTTACGTTACAGCCTAATTCTAAAATGGATTAAATTGTTTTTCCCCCCTCAATCTACACACAATACCTCATAATGACAAATCAAAAACGTTTTTTTTGAATGTTTTGCTAATTTATAAAACATTTAAAACTGAAATATCACATTTACATACACTACTGGTGAAGTTTTAGAACACCTACTCATTCAAGTTTTTTTTTCTTTTTTTTACATTGTAGAATAATAGTGAATACATCAAAACTATGAAATAACACATGTGGAATCATGTAGTAACCAAAAAAGTGTTAAACAAATCAAAATATATTTTATACTTGAGATTCTTCAAATAGCCACCCTTTGCCATGAAGACAGCTTTGCACACTCTTGGCATTCTCTCAACCAGCTTCACCTGGAATGCTTTTCTAACAGTTTTGAAGGAGTTCCCACATATGCTGAGCACTTGTTGGCTGCTTTTCCTTCACTCTGCGGTCCGACTCATCCCAAACCATCTCAATTTGGTTGAGGTAGGGTGATTGTGGAGGCCAGGTCATCTGATGCAGCACTCTCCTTCTTGGTAAAATAGCCCTTACATAGCCTGGAGGTGTGTTGGGTCATTGTCCTGTTGGAAAAACAAATGATAGTCCCACTAAGCCCAAACCAGATGGGATGGCGTATCGCTGCAGAATGCTGTGGTAGCCATGCTGGTTAAGTGTGCCTTGAATTCTAAACAAATCACAGACAGTGTTACCAGCAAAGTACCCCCACACCATAACACTTCCTCCTCCATGCTTTACGGTGGGAAATACACATGCGGAGATCATCCGTTCACCCACACCACGTCTCACAAATACACGGCGGTTGGAACCCAAAATCTCCCATTTGGACTACAGACCAAAGGACACATTTCCACTGGTCCATCGTCCATGGCTCGTGTTTCTTGGCCCAAGCAAGTCTCTTCTTATTATTGCTGTCCATCAGTAGAGGTTTCTTTGCAGCAATTCGACCATGAAGGCCTGATTCACAGTTGATGTTGAGATGTGTCTGTGACTTGAACTCTGTGAAGCATTTATTTGGGCTGCAATTTCTGAGGCTGGTAACTCTAATGAACTTATCCTCTGCAGCAGAGGTAACTCTGGGTCTTCCATTCCTGTGGTGGTCCTCATGAGAGCCAGTTTCATCATAGCGCTTGATGGTTTTTGCGACTGCACTTGAAGAAACTTTCAAGGTTACCTTGTCACAACACAACTGATTGGCTCAAACGCATTAAGGAGGAAAGAAATTCCACAAATTAACTTTTAACAAGGCACACCTGTTAATTGAAATGCATTCCAGGTGACTACCTCATGAAGCTAGTTGAGAGAATGCTAAGAGTGTGCAAAGCTGTCATCAAGGCAAAGGGTGGCTATTTGAAGAATCTCAAATATATTTTGATTTGTTTAACACTTTTTTGGTTACTACATGATTCCATATATGTTATTTCATAGTTGTGATGTCTTCACTATTGTTCTACAATGTAGAAAATAGTAAAAATAAAGAAAATTCCTTGAATGAGTAGGTGTTCTAAAACTTTTGACCGGTAGTGTAAGTATTCAGACCCTTTACTCAGTACTTTGATGAAGCATCTTTGGCAGCGATTACAGGCTTGAGTCTTCTTGGGTATGACGCTACAAGCTTGGCACACCTGTATTTGGGGAGTGCGTCACGGTTGGGATGGTGTTCTTCGGCTTGCAAGTACCCCCTTTTTCCTCCAAACATAACGATGGTCATTATGGCCAAACAGTTCTATTTTTGTTTCATCAGACCAGAGGACATTTCTCCAAAAAGTATGATCTTTGTCCCCATGTGCAGTTGCAAACCGTAGTCTGTGGCTTCTTCCTTGCTGAGCGGCATTTCAGGTTATGTCGATATAGGACTCGTTTTACTGTAGATACTTTTGTACCCGTTTCCTCCAGCATCTTCACATGGTCCTTTGCTGTTGTTCTGGGATTGATTTGAACTTTTCGCACCAAAGTACGTTCATCTCTAGGAGACAGAAAGCGTCTCCTTCCTGAGCGGTATGACAGCTGCGTGGTCCCATGGTGTTTATACTTGCATATTATTGTTTGTACAGATGAACGTGGTACCTTCAGGCATTTGGAAATTGCTCCCAAGGATGAACCAGACTTGTGGAGGCCTACAATTTTTTTTCTGAGGTCTTGGCTGATTTCTTTTGATTTTCCCATGATGTCAAGCAAAGAGGCACTGAGTTAGAAGGTAGGCCTTGAAATACATCCACATGTACACCTCCAATTGACTCAAATTATGTCAATTAGCCTATCAGAAGCTTCTAACAAGACATTTGTGGAATGGTTGACAAACTAGTTTTAATGACTCCAACCTAAGTGTATGTAAACTTCCGACTTCAACTGTATGTAAATAAGATATTTAAGTTGCTTATTTGTAATACATTTGCAAAACTTGCTCTGTCTAGGTCTACCTGTACTCACCTGCGCTGTCTAGACTTACTCATTAATTAATTACGGTTGTTGTTTAATTCAACAAGTGTGTCAATAGCAGGATACCCTCAGATTAAAAATCAACACGCTTGGCTGTAGATTACACCTATCTCAACATACTTTAAATTTTTTGTGAGATCAGATATAATTTCACTATAATCCAAGTGTTCATTTTTGGAAGTTGCTTTCATTTTAGTGCATCTAATTTGTAAACATTTCAACTGTATCAAATGATTACTTTTTTCAATTCCACAAAAAAAGAACACCAATCAAAATAAAGTTATTTCCTTCTCTTTCTTGTGATGTACAGTGGGGAGAACAAGTATTTGATACACTGCCGATTTTGCAGGTTTTCCTACTTACAAAGCATGTAGAGTTCTGTAATTTTTATCATAGGTACACTTCAACTGTGAGAGACGGAATCTAAAACAAAAATCCAGAAATTCACATTGTACGATTTTTAAGTAATTCATTTGCATTTAATTGCATGACATAAGTATTTGATACATCAGAAAAGCAGAACTTAAAATTTGGTACAGAAACCTTTGTTTGCAATTACAGAGATCATACGTTTCCTGTAGGTCTTGACCAGGTTTGCACACACTGCAGCAGGGATTTTGGCCCACTCCTCCATACAGACCTTCTCCAGAGCCTTCAGGTTTCGTGGCTGTCGCTGGGCAATACGGACTTTCAGCTCCCTCCAAAGATTTTCTATTGGGTTCAGTTCTGGAGACTGGTTAGGCCACTCCAGGACCTTGAGATGCTTCTTACGGAGCCACTCCTTAGTTGCCCTGGCTGTGTGTTTCGGGTCGTTGTCATGCTGGAAGACCCAGCCACGACCCATCTTCAATGCTCTTACTGAGGGAAGGAGGTTGTTGGCCAAGATCTCGCAATACATGGCCCCATCCATCCTCCCCTCAATACGGTGCAGTCGTCCTGTCCCCTTTGCAGAAAAGCATCCCCAAAGAATGATGTTTCCACCTCCATGCTTCACGGTTGGGATGGTGTTCTTGGGGTTGTACTCATCCTTCTTCTTCCTCCAAACACGGCGAGTGGAGTTTAGACCAAAAAGCTCTATTTTTGCCTCACCAGACCACATGACCTTCTCCCATTCCTCCTCTGGATCATCCAGATGGTCATTGGCAAACTTCAGACGGGCCTGGACATGCGCTGGCTTGAGCAGGGGGACCTTGCGTGTGCTGCAGGATTTTAATCCATGACGGCGTAGTGTGTTACTAATGGTTTTCTTTGAGACTGTGGTCCCAGCTCTCTTCAGGTCATTGACCAGGTCCTTCCGTGTAGTTCTGGGCTGATCCCTCACCTTCCTCATGATTATTGATGCCCCACAAGGTGAGATCTTGCATGGAGCCCCAGACCGAGGTTGATTGACCGTCATCTTGAACTTCTTCCATTTTCTAATAATTGCGCCAACAGTTGTTGCCTTCTCACCAAGCTGCTTGCCTATTTTCCTGTAGCCCATCCCAGCCTTGTGCAAGTCTACAATTCTATCCCTGATGTCCTTACACAGCTCTCTGGTCTTGGCCATTGTGGAGAGGTTGGAGTCTGTTTGATTGAGTGTGTGGACATGTGTCTTTTATACAGGTAACGAGTTCAAACAGGTGCAGTTAATACAGTTAATGAGTGGAGAACAGGAGGGCTTTTTAAAGAAAAACTAACAGGTCTGTGAGAGCCGGAATTCTTACTGGTTGGTAGGTGATCAAATACTTATGTCATGCAATAAAATGCAAATTAATTACTTAAAAATCATACAATGTGATTTTCTGGATTTTTGTTTTAGATTCCGTCTCTCACAGTTGAAGTGTACCTATGATAAAAATTACAGAACTCTACATGCTTTGTAAGTAGGAAAACCTGCAAAATCGGCAGTGTATCAAATACTTGTTCTCCCCACTGTAAGTGTCAACATGATCCGTTAAATCCCAGACGAAGCTTTAGCATTCTTATAGATGCAACGGAAAGACAATGTATTCCAGTGAGCACATTTCAGCCATTACCAGAGTGTGTTTCACAAGTCATTAAACATTTCTGCGGTCGTAACATTAACGGGAAAAAACGACAGGCACAAGCAAGAGTATGAAAGAGTGAAAGGAGTAAAAGGAAAACAGTCAACAGTCTCACAGTCAAATGACCAAATCGCCCTCTAGTGGCCTCATGGGTGGAATGTTATTAATATTTTTCATAATTTCTGAATTACCAAACTTTTTTAAATTTTTCGCTGAAAATCCGGTGTTTCTATGTCACAAACGGTTTCGTTATATTTCAGTTTTCTGTGATTTATATAAAGTGTAATATTGGGATGCAAACTAGAAGTTTTATACATTTCAACTCTATATCTGACATGGTACAGGTGTCTACTTTTGTTTCAAAGTAGATTTGTTTAAGACTACCAAGAAACACTGTGTGATCCTGATTTAGCCCACTGCAGTAAAAGGTTACTGGATTTTGCACCCCTCAAACACAGGAAATAGATGGCTGAAAAAGACAGATCCTCAAGTGGGCGGAGCATGCACATTGCTATATGCACACATATTCATTTACACACGCACGCACACAGACAGAGACAGACAGACACACACGAAAAGAGCTTACCTGTATGTCTGTCTCCTTGTCTGCCTGTACACCAGGGGAGTTGAGCAGCAGTCTCACCACACTCTCATGGCCAGACTGGGCAGCCAGGTGCAGGGGAGTGTATCCTGACTGGAGTACACACACACTCTTTCATTCATGGGGGAAGACAAGGTTGATTCTCTGGTCATAAGTGAGTTGTGGGGTTGGCACTATACCGTTACCTACCTCTAAAGGGGGCTGGTGCACTGGTATTCCCTCCCTACTGTTGCTGTTTGGGGTGTCACTGCGCATGGTGGCTGGCACCTTAGTAAGGATCTCTCTGACAAAGTCCACCTGACCAAAACGGGCTGCTACATGCAACGCAGTCAACCCTGTCTGGGATCATAGGTACACACATACATCAAATCAACATAAATAAGGAAATGTATCTACTATATAAGCAATCCTACTGTAGTTAACATTTTCAAGTTTTAAGAGAAGGGACAGATACCTTGGAGCTGGTGACCTTAAAGGATATGCTTCCCTTCAGCACGTCCAGGATGTGTGTGTGACCGTTCCTGGCTGCCAAGTGAATGGCTGTCATCCCTTCCTGGGAAGATGAAAAAGTTTAATGAGCTTTTGAATGAATTGTTCTGAGCTACTTTTGAATGAACTGATCTTTGCTGAGCTATTATTTACTGTAGACTGGGTTTTGGATGACACCCTAAAACTGAATTGAATAACTGTAGCTACAGTCAGTAACAGTGCATCATTTCTGGTCAGTCTGCGGTCAGTCTTTGGTCAGTTTGACGTCAGTCCCCCCCAGGTGAGGTTGTGGATTCTCTCCATCACTCACTGCGTCCTCTTCAGCTACAGACGCCCCAGCCTCCAGGAGGACCTTCACCACCTCGGCGTGTCCCCCAGCAGACGCCAGGTGCAGAGGACAGGAGCCGTTGGTCTGGGGATGAAGGAGAGTGGACAGAATGGATCAAACATTCAAGCTGGTGACTAAGCTTCTCAATCACCCCTTATCCCTTCGAAAATTATATCAAATTGTATTTGTCACATGCGCCGAATACAACAGGTGTAGACTTTACTGTGAAATGCTTACTTACGAGCCCTCCCCAACAATGCAGAGTTTTAAAAATTTGAAACATATACATAGTAACACAAGAGGAATAAAATACACAAGAATAGAGCTACAGTTGAAGTCGGAAGTTTACATACACCTTAGCCAAAAACAGTTCAACTCAGTTTTCACAATTCCTGACATTTAATCCTAGTAAAAATTCCCTGTTTTAGGTCAGTTAGGATCACCACTTTATTTTAAGAATGTGAAATGTCAGAATAATAGTAGAGAGAATGATTTATTTCAGCTTTTATTTCTTTCATCACATTCCCAGTGGGTCAGAAGTTTACATACGCTCAATTAGTATTTGGTAGCATTGCCTTTAAATTGTTTAACTTGGGTCAAACGTTTAGGGTAGCCTTCCACAAATTTGTAGCCTTTCCACAAATTCCTCCTGACAGAGCTGGTGTAACTGAATCAGGTTTGTAGGCCTCCTTGCTCGCACACGCTTTTTCAGTTCTGCCCACAAATGTTCTATAGGGTTGAGGTCAGGGCTTTCTGATGGCCACTCCAATACCTTGACTTTGATGTCCTTAAGCCATTTTGCCACAACTTTGGAAATATGCTTGGGGTCCTTGTCCATTTGGAAGACCCATTTGCGACCAAGCTTTAACTTCCTGACTGATGTCTTGAGATGTTGCTTCAATATATCCACATAATTTTCCTTCCTCATGATGCCATCTGTTTTGTGAAGTGCACCAGTCCCTCCTGCAGCAAAACACACCCACAGCATGATGCTGCCACCCCCGTGCTTCATGGTTGGGATGGTGTTCTTCGGCTTGCAAGCGTCCCCCTTTTTTCTCCAAATATAACAATGGTCATTATGGCCAAACAGTTCTATTTTTGTTTCATCAGACCAGAGGACGTTTCTCCAAAAAGTACGATCTTTGTCCCCATGTGCAGTTGCAAACCGTAGTCTGGCTTTTTTATGGCGGTTTTGGAGCAGTGGCTTCTTCCTTGCTGAGCGGCCTTTCAGGTTATGTTGATATAGGACTCGTTTTACTGTGGATATAGATACTTTTGTACCTGTTTCCTCCAGCATCTTCACAAGGTCCTTTGCTGTTGTTCTGGGATTGATTTGCACTTTTCACACCAAAGTACGTTGAACTCTAGGAGACAGAACGCGTCTCCTTCCTGAGCCGTATGAAGGCTGCGTGGTCCCATGGTGTTTATACTTGCGTATTATTGTTTGTACAGATGAACATGGTACCTTCAGGCATTTGGAAATTGCTCCCAAGGATCAGGTCGTGGCTGATTTCTTTTGATTTTCCCATGATGTCAAGCAAAGAGGTACTGAGTCTGAAGGTAGGCCTTGAAATACATCCACAAGTACACCTCCAATTGACTCAAATTATGTCAATTAGCCTATCAGAAGCTTCTAAAGCCATGACATAATTTTCTGGAATTTTCCAAGCTGTTTAAAGGCACAGTCAACTTAGTGTATGTAAACTTCTGACCCACTGGAATTGTGATACAGTAAATTCTAAGTGAAATAATCTGTCTGTAAACAATTGTTAGAAAAATTACTTGTGTCATGCTAATTTGTGGAGTGGTTGAAAAACGAGTTTTAATGACTCCAACCTGTGTATGTAAACTTCCGACTTCAACTGTATATACAGGGAGTACCAGTACCAGATCAATGTGCAGGGGTACGCGGTATTTGAGGTAGATATGTACATGAAGGCAGGGTAAAGTGACTAGGCATCAGGATAGATAATAATAAGGTATTTGAGGTAGATATGTACATGAAGGCAGGGTAAAGTGACTAGGCATCAGGATAGATAATAATAAGGTATTTGAGGTACATATGTATATGAAGGCAGGGTAAAGTGACTAGGCATCAGGATAGATAATAATAAGGTATTTGAGGTAGATATGTATATGAAGGCAGGGTAAAATGACTAGGCATCAGGATAGATAATAATAAGGTATTTGAGGTAGATATGTACATGAAGGCAGGGTAAAGTGACTAGGCATCAGGATAGATAATAATAAGGTATTTGAGGTAGATACAGTGGGGAGAACAAGTATTTGATACACTGCCGATTTTGCAGGTTTTCCTACTTACAAAGCATGTAGAGGTCTGTAATTAACAAAAATCCAGAAAATCACATTGTATGATTTTTAAGTAATTAATTTGCATTTTATTGCATGACATAAGTATTTGATCACCTACCAACCAGTAAGAATTCCGGCTCTCATAGACCTGTTAGTTTTTCTTTAAGAAGCCCTCCTGTTCTCCACTCATTACCTGTATACACCAGGGTAGGGGAGGGAATGGCCGGCAGGGATGTAGCTCAGTTGGTAGAGCATGGCGTTTGCAACGTCAGGGTTGTGGGTTCGATTCCCACGGGGGCCAGTATGAAAAAAAAAAAAAAAAAAAAAAAAAAAACATGTATTCACTAACTGTAAGTCGCTCTGGATAAGAGCGTCTGCTAAATGACTAAAATGTAAATGTTAACTGCACCTGTTTGAACTCGTTACCTGTATAAAAGACACATGTCCACACACTCAATCAAACAGACTCCAACCTCTCCACAATGGCCAAGACCAGAGAGCTGTGTAAGGACATCAGGGATAAAATTGTAGACCTGCACAAGGCTGGGATGGGCTACAGGACAATAGGCAAGCAGCTTGGTGAGAAGGCAACAACTGTTGGCGCAATTATTAGAAAATGGAAGAAGTTCAAGATGACGGTCAATCACCCTCGGTCTGGGGCTCCATGCAAGATCTCACCTCGTGGGGCATCAATGATCATGAGGAAGGTGAGGGATCAAACCAGAACTACACGGCAGGACCTGGTCAATGACCTGAAGAGAGCTGGGACCACAGTCTCAAAGAAAACCATTAGTAACACACTACGCCGTCATTGATTAAAATCCTGCAGCGCACGCAAGGATCCCCTGTTCAAGCCAGCGCATGTCCAGGCCCGTCTGAAGTTTGCCAATGACCATATGGATGATCCAGAGGAGGAATGGGAGAAGGTCATGTGGTCTGATGAGACAAAAATATAGCTTTTTGGTCTAAACTCCACTCACCGTGTTTGGAGGAAGAAGAAGGATTAGTACAACCCCAAGAACACCATCCCAACTGTGAAGCATGGAGGTGGAAACATCATTCTTTGGGGATACTTTTCTGCAAAGGGGACAGGACGACTGCACCGTATTGAGGGGAGGATGGATGGGGCCATGTATTGCGAGATCTTGGCCAACAACCTCCTTCCCTCAGTAAGAGCATTGAAGATGGGTCGTGGCTGGGTCTTCCAGCATGACAACGACCCGAAACACACAGCCAGGGTAACTAAGGAGTGGCTCCGTAAGAAGCATCTCAAGGTCCTGGAGTGGCCTAGCCAGTCTCCAGACCTGAACCCAATAGAAAATATTTGGAGGGAGCTGAAAGTCCGTATTGCCCAGCGACAGCCCCGAAACCTGAAGGATCTGGAGAAGTTCTGTATGGAGGAGTGGGCCAAAATCCCTTCTGCAGTGTGTGCAAACCTGGTCAAGACCTACAGGAAACGTATAATCTCTGTAATTGCAAACAAAGGTTTCTGTACCAAATATTAAGTTCTGCTTTTCTGATGTATCAAATACTTATGTCATGCAATAAAATGCAAATTAATTACTTAAAAATCATACAATGTGATTTTCTGGATTTCTGTTTTAGATTCCGTCTCTCACAGTTGAAGTGTACCTATGATAAAAATTACAGACCTCTACATGCTTTGTAAGTAGGAAAACCTGCAAAATCGGCAGTGTATCAAATACTTGTTCTCCCCACTGTATGTACATGAAGGCAGGGTAAAGTGACTATGCATCAGGATAGATAATAATAAGAGTAAAATAAAGAACAGAGTAGCAAGAGCATATGATGAGTGTGTATGTGTGTGCGTGTATGTGTGTTATATGTATGTGTGTTATGTGTGTGTATGTGTTGTGTGTATGTGTGTGTGTGTGGGGGGGGGGGGGGTTTGTGTGAGCGTGTCAGTGTAGTGTATATAGCATTGTGAGTGTGCATAGAGTCAGCGCAAGATAGGGTCAATGCAGATAGTCCGGGTAACCATTTATTGAACTATTTAGCAGTCTTATGGCTATCTAGCAGTCTTTTGGCATGAGGGTAGAAGCTGTCTCGGAGCAGTCTATGGCTTGGGTGGCTGGAGTCTTTGGCAATTTTTTGGGTCTTCCTCTGACACTGCCTGGTATAGAGGTCCTGGATGACAGGGAGCTTGGTCCCAGTGATGTACTGGGCCGTCCGCACCACCCTCTGTAGCGCTTTGCGCTTGAGGGCGGTGCAGTTGCCATACCAAGCGGTGATGCAGCCAGTCAAGATGCTCTCGATGGTGCAGCTGTGTAACTTTTTGAGGATCCAAGGGCCCATGCAAAATCTTTTCAGCCGATTCATTGCGCATCCATAAGATAATATTTCCTCTGTCACTTTCCTTCCCTTTCTATGGCCAGCCAGGCCATTCATATTATAATTCAAACATTTTTACAGTAATATGTTCCATTTCAGACAAGGACAGAGCAGCACTACTATCACAACCCTCCTGCCCTCTGACCTTGTTGTGGAATTATTGTGTTATTCTATTACCTTGTAATTCTCTATTGTTCTGTTTCCATGTTACATTTTCAGCCAAGCACAGAGAAACACTACTTCCTGACTCCTCGTGACTCCTAACCCCTGACCTCTGACCTTGTTGCTCAGCGTGGTCACTCCCCCCTGGTTGAACTTGAGCAGCTCCCTGATGACAGCCAGGCTGCCCTTGGCTGCAGCGATGTGGGTGCAGGTGGCCCCCTCCACATTGGCCAGGGTGGCTAGCTCTGGACGGTGCTTCAGGAACAGCTTGACCACCTCAGAGTGGTCGTTCTCTGCAGCCAGGTGGAGGGGTGTCTGGCCGTGCTAGGGACAAGAGAGACATGAATGAATGGAAGGATGGATGGATGGATGACTGACTGAATTCATCAGTGAATGGATGTAGGGATGGAGGGATAGGCGGCAGGTAGCCTAGTGGTTAAGAGCGTTGGGCCAATAACCAAAAGGCCGCTGGTTTGAATCCCAGAGCCGACTAGGTGACAAATCTGTCAATGTGCCCTTGAGTAAGGCACTTGACCCTAGTTGCTCCTGTAAGATGCTCTGGATAAGCGCGTCTGCTAGGATAGATGAATGAATGATAGTTAAATGCAACCAGGGGGGCATCTGGCCTCTGCTGATAGGAAGGGCTCAGGTAAAATAATGAAGAAATTAGACCAGGACTTGATATGTAAAATGAGATTGTTGAAGCTATGACTATAGCAGAAATGTCCTTCAGGAAAGATTTACATATTCATTTGTTTATTTAGCACATGTAACAGTGTTGCTTCCGTCCCTCTCCTCGCCCCTACCTGGGCTTGAACCAGGGACCCTCTGCACACATCGACAACAGTCACCCTCGAAGCACCGTAACCCATCGCTCCACAAAAGCCGCGGCCCTTGCAGAGCAAGGGAAACAACTACTTCAAGGTCTCAGAGCGAGTGACGTCACCGATTGAAACGCTACTAGTGCGCACCGCTAACTAGCTAGCCATTTCACACCGGTTACACACAGACAACATTTAAATAGGCACAGACAGCCACACACAGACAAAGGCAGTGTCAGACAGAGAAACAGACTCACTATGTCTGTGGCAGTGATGTCTGCTCTGAGGTGGAGCAGGCTGCTGCACACGTCCAGCTGTCCACTGATGGCAGCTAGGTGGAGAGGAGTCTGCTTACTCTGGGGGTCAAACACACACAGAGGTTCAGAACACCTTATTTCTCTTTTTGGATCAGGAGTGGACAAATAAAAATGGTTCTTAAGAAAGAGGAAGATATGGCAAGAGACTTTGCTAGGTGTTCGATTCTAACTTTATTTCCCCTGAGCACACAGATTAGCCTTGTGAAACTCGACTAACCATAACACTCAGGTTTTGTTTCACTTCAATATAATAGAACAGAATGTGAGCTTGTGAGATCAGGTTAAACAAGGTTACACACAGATGCCTACGAGAATATATATGACATCTACCCCAATAATAACCAAATGTACTCTTTTTGGACTGATTTCCTATGAGAAGGGACATGTTCTCAAGACCTCCATAGTTGAGGGGTCATTGCTCAGCTCACTGACCAGGGAGAGAGCGTCGATGCTGGCCAGGTGTGTCTCCACCAGTAGTCTGACCAGGCTGGCAGAGCCGTTCTGGGCCCCCAGGTGTAGTGGAGTGAGGCCCAGCTTGGTCTTGGCATTCACAAAGGCCTTATGGGACAGCAGAATGTCAGCGATGTCCTCGTGGCCCCGCTTCGCCGCCAAGTGGAGAGCTGCCTCGCCGTCCTGTAGGATACATCAGAGTTGTGTTCATTAGGTGCCAAACGGAAGAAACCGAAACAGGGAGGGACTACGTGAACTTGTCCAATAACAAACGCTAGTTTTGGTTGGATACATCAGGGTTGTGTTCATTAGGTGCCAAACGGAAGAAACCGAAACAGGGAGGGACTACGTAAACTTGTCCAATAACAAACGCTTGTTTTGGTTGGATACATCAGGGTTGTGTTCATTAGGGCACGCAGCACAGACACAACGATGTCATATGTTCCTTGGCTTTGATCCTGCTTGAGTCATGATGACCACATTGCAGTGACTCAGCAAAATGAAAGTTTTACAGCTCAGCAGGCAGTGGCAGAGTTTAAGAGACAGAGTTAAGTTGTGGTACAGTATATTGAATTAGCCAATGGAAAAGTCTGAAACATTCCAGGGCCCTCACCTCATCAAAGACGTCCACCCTGGCGTGGTTCTGCAGCAGGATTCTAACAACCTCCGTGTGACCTCTCTCAGAAGCCAATAACAACGGGGACCAGCCATTCTGTATGGGCCCACAGAGAGTGCCCTCTCAGTAAAACAATAACGCTACATAACCAAAACGCAGAAGGCAGTTCATGCCACTTCAGAATTATACTCACCCGCAAAATACCCATTTAACAGCAGTACCAGTTATTTTACAGCAGTAAAACAATATTTAAATGTCATGAGAAACCCCTGCAGTAACACCCAAGTAACGTAATTCCATCAGTACCTTGGAGTGCTTGTTGACTGCCATCTGCAGGCGACCGGAGGGAACACTGTTGAGCATCTCTTGTAGGACGTCAGTGTTGCCCACTCTGGCACAGTAGTGAAAGGGAGTCTCACAGGACTACAGGAACAGCCAAGAGCAGGGAGAAACAACAGTGAGACACACATGTACCTGTACACCTCAATAACATACACCAGAACAGCTAACTACTGTTCAGCTACTAAACAGAACGTATTGTACTGTACCTCCATCTGCTGTAGTGTACGGCATTGCTTAAAGGGATAGTTCACTCAAAACCCATCACCATCACAGTTTTTGCTCTATACTGAAAGTGCTCTATCTTGAAAACTTGACTTCTGACATGCAACATTTGTGGGGATTGTATTGTAGCGATCCTCCATGATATGATCCATGTTACAATTCCCACCAAGTTGTTTAACACTATTGGCACGATGCATAGGGTGTTTGCCTTTCACGCCAGCGACCCAGGTTTGCTTCCCTGCCCTGCCATTCGCTACAGTATTAACTGTAGAATAATTAATAAAATGCTATAGCTATATCAGACTGTTCCTTGTGCCATACCTCTCTGGTTGCTGCAGTGATGTCTGCGTCATATTCCATCAGAGTCTTGATAATGTGTACGTCTTCTCCTTCTCTGTGGACGCTCTCCTTCTGCAGCTCAGCAGCTAAGTGCAACGATGTTTCCCCTTTCTGCAGTCACAGAACAAAAGAAAACTGGTACGTCAAAACCAAGAAGTAAAGTGGCATACAAAGAGGAGTTGGCTAAATTGCATGTGAAATGGAAATGTAAAATGCTAAATGGAAATGGAATGTAAAATGTTCAACCTTAAATACACAGAGAATTGTGTTTATTAGTTTATGTTGGCATTTCTATAATAAGAATAAGATCTAGACGGTAGGGAATCCTTGCCGGTAAAACATTTCTATAATAGAGCAACGATCACATTAATATTTCTATAATAGAACCGCTGTTCCATCATCTGGTCCTGTGTGTCTCAGTCGGTAGAGCGCGGCGCTTGCAACGGCAGAATTGCGGGTTTTAATCCTGCTGGGACCACCCATATGAACATTTATTCACGCATGACTATAAGTCTCTTTGGATAAAAAGCGTCTGTGTAATGGCATAAATTATGATTATTATCATGAGTGTGTTATTCTCACCCTGTTCACCTGGCTCACACAGCACTGGGCCTCCTCGCGGCTTCTCTCACTGGTCAGATAGGTGAGAATATCCTCCACCACATGGGCATGACAGTGGCGCACAGCGACATGGAGAGGGTTCTCTCCAGCCTATGAATACAGAAACACACAAACACACACACACATATATATACACACACATGCATGCATGCACATACATACACCCACATGACAAAACACATACATGACCACAAAAAGGAGGTGTTTTAGACTACTGAAAGCGGGAAATAGACTCAATGTGTCATTGTTACACTGGTTAGACACAGAAAAGCGGTTCTACTTTACCTTAGATCTCCAGGTGAGGTCTCCTCCCTCCTCTATCAGGGCTTTCATCATCTGCAGTCCACCGTGGCGAGCAGCAACATGCATCGCCGTCTCCCCATTCTGACAGGGAGAGAGAGAGAGAGAGAGAGAGAGAGAGAGAGAGAGAGAGAGAGAGAGAGAGAGAGAGAGAGAGAGAGAGAGAGAGAGACACAGACAGAGAAGCTTGCTTTCAGATTCAGATGAGCCCTCTGATCTGATAAACCCACTCATCTCTGGCCACAGTGAAGGGAGAGACAAGCTCTAACCTCCTGTTCTGCGTTGACATCAGCTCCGCTCTTCAGCAGCATCTCAGCCACCTTTTCCCCCTCCTTCACCCTGGCAGCAATGTGCAGTGGGGTCTCCCGGGCCTTCATGCAGGGGCAGAGTGAGGACAGAGGGAGTGTAGAGGTTAGCAGCACATGCCAACAATAGCAGTTACTGTGTTACAAAAAGCCTATTACTTTCCACCATCATGATATATACAGCACAAACTGACCAATTTTGGATTGTATATGTTTCTAGGACATACGTATGTCTCACCTTGCCTCCATTGAGTTGGACCTGAGCCCCAAAGCCCAGTAGCATCTGCACCACGAGGGGCTTGCAGTTCTGCACTGCGACATGTAGGGCCGTCAGGCCGTCTTTAGTGGTGGTGTCCACATGCGCCCCCTTCAGGAGAAGAGACTTCACTACAGCCGTGTGACCTCGTTTGGCTGCAGCATGGAGACACACTGCACCTGACTGTGGAGGGTGTGATGCCAGAGTATGATACATAAATTATAGGTAGGGTTCATTTGATAGGATACATTAAATAACATAGTAAGAAAGGATCATACATATATAATGATATATTCTAAATATATGGCTATTCTCATACAGTATCTGTACAATGCAGTGCATTTGAAGAGGTGATATTCAAATAAAATTTCAGGCCAGTGATTTATGCTTTTTTTTTTTAAGTGCCCACTGGACACCTGGACTTCCTGTACCTTATTGGGCATGTAGAGTGGGACCCCTTTCTTCAGGAAGGTGAGGGCGGTCTCTGGGTGTCCACACTGGGAGGCTATATGCATCAGCGTGCTGCCATCCTAAGAGAAGACACTGTTATTTATATACAGTCTCTGGAAGACTGCACACTGGTTTTAGAAGGTCACACAAAGAGATGGAAACAAATGTGTTCTTTTTAAAGTTTGAGGGTCAAATGCTTGGGATTTCCAACTTGGACTTACATTAATCTTGCACATATTGCACAGAAATCTACAACAGTTTGTAGGTTTTCAACTAAGATCATTTTTATATCGACAAGTCAGGGAGCGTGAGATGGTTTTCCACTGATTTCACATGAATCATGTCAACCAGATATTTGCAAGGAAATTCGAGTTACATGTGGCAAGACAATATCTCAAGTTAGGATCCAACCCTGAGCAGGATTAGTTCACACTCCGCCAACCCTGATGTTCTAGCAGTGTCTGAATCCTGGCTCAGGAAGGCCACCAAAAATTCTGAAATTTCCATCCCCAACTATAACATTTTCCGTCTAGATAGAACTGCCAAAGGGGGTGGAGTTGCAATCTACTGTAGAGATAGCCTGCAGAGCTCTATCATACTATCCAGGTCTGTGCCCAAACAGTTTGAGCTTCTACTTCTAAAAATCCACCTTTCCAGAAATAAGTCTCTCACTGTTGCCGCTTGCTACAGACCCCCCTCAGCCCCCAGCTGTGCCCTGGACACCATATGTGAATTGATTGCCCCCCATTTATCCTCAGAGTTCGTACTGCTTGGTGACCTAAATTGGGATATGCTTAATATCCCAGCCATCCTACAATCCAAACTAGATGCCCTCAACCTCACGCAAATTATCAACGAACCTACCAGGTACAACCCTAAATCCGTAAACATGGGTACCCTCATAGATATCATCCTGACTAACATACCCTCTAAATACACCTCAGCTGTCTTCAACCAGGATCTCAGCGATCACTACCTTATTGCCTGTGTCCGTAACGGGTCCGCGGTCAAACGACCACCCCTCATCACTGTCAAACGCTCCCTAAAACACTTTAGCGAGCAGGCCTTCCTAATTGACCTGGCCCAGGTATCCTGGATGGATATAGATCTCATTCCGTCAGTAGAGGATGCCTGGTTGTTCCTTAAAAGTAATTTCCTCTCAATCTTAAATAAACATGCCCCATTCAAAAAATACAGAACTAAGAACCGATATAGCCCCTGGTTCTCCTCAGACTTGACTGCCCTTGACCAGCACAAAAACATCCTGTGGCGTACAGCATTAGCATCAAATAGCCCCCGCGATATGCAACTTTTCAGGGAAGTTAGGAACCAATATACACAAGCAGTCAGGAAAGCAAAGGCTAACTTTTTCAAACAGAAATGTGCATCCTGTAGCACTAACTCCAAAAAGTTTAGGGACACTGTAAAGTCCATGGAGAATAAGAGCACTTCCTCCCAGCTGCCCACTGCACTGAGACTAGGAAACACTATCACCACCGATAAATCTACAATAATCGAGAATTTCAACAAGCATTTTGCTACAGCTGTCCATGCTTTCCATCTGGCTACCACTACCCCGGCCACCAACTCTGCACCCTCCGCTGCAACTTGCCCATGCCCCCCCCGCTTCTCCTTCACACAAATTCAGACAGCTGATGTTTTGAAAGCGCTGCAAAATCTGGACCCCTACAAATCAGCTGGGCTAGACAATCTGGACCCTTTCTTTCTAAAACTAGCCGCCGAAATTGTCGCAACCCCTATTACTAGTCTGTTCAACCTCTCTTTCATAACGTCTGAGATCCCCAGAGATTGGAAAGCTGCCGCGGTCATCCCCCTCTTCAAAGGGGGTGACACTCTAGATCCAAACTGCTACAGACCTATATCCATCCTGCCCTGCCTTTCGAAAGTATTTGAAAGCCAAGTTAACAAACAGATCACCGACCATTTCGAATACCACCGTACCTTCTCCGCTATGCAATCCGGTTTCCGAGCTGGTCATGGGTGCACTTCAGCCACGCTCAAGGTCCTAAACGATATTATAACCGCGATTGATAATAGACAGTACTGTGCAGCCGTCTTCATCGACCTGGCCAAGGCTTTCGACTCTGTCAACCACCGCATTCTTATTGGCAGACTAAATAGCCTTGGTTTCTCAAATGACTGCCTCGCCTGGTTCACCAACTACTTCTCAGATAGAGTTCAGTGTGTCAAATCGGAGGGCCTGTTGTCTGGACCTATGGCAGTCTCTATGGGGGTGCCACAGGGTTCAATTTTTGGTCCGACACTTTTCTCCGTGTATATCAATGATGTCGCTCTTGCTGCTGGTGACTCTCAGATCCACCTCTACGCAGACGACACCATTTTGTATACATCTGGCCCTTCATTGGACACTGTGTTAACAAACCTCCAAACGAGCTTCAATGCCATACAACACTCCTTCAGTAGCCTCCAACTGCTCTTAAACACTAGTAAAACTAAATGCATGCTTTTCAATCGAACGCTGCTGGCACCCGCCCACCCGACTAGAATCAACACTCTCGACGGGTCTGACCTAGAGTATGTGGACAACTACAAACACCTAGGTGTCTGGTTAGACTGTAAACTCAACTTCCAGACTCACATAAAGAATCTCCAATCCAAAGTTAAATCTAGAATCGGCTTCCTATTTCGCAACAAAGCCTCCTTCACTCATGCTGCCAAACATGCCCTCGTAAAACTGACTATCCTACCGATTGTCATTTACAAAATAGCCTCCAATACTCTACTCAGCAAATTGGATGTAGTCTATCACAGTGCCATCCGTTTTGTCTCCAAAGCCCCATACACTACCCACCACTGTGACCTGTACGCTCTTGTTGGCTGGTCCTCACTACATGTTCGTCGTCAAACCCACTGGCTCCAGGCCATCTATAAATCACTGCTAGGCAAATCCCCGCCTTATCTTAGCTCATTGGTCACCATAGCAGCACCCACCCGTAGTCTGCACTCCAGCAGGTATATCTCACTGGTCATTCCCAAAGCCAACTCCTCCTTTGGCCGCCATTCCTTCCAGTTCTCTGCTGCCAATGACTGGAACGAATTGCAAAAATCTCTGAAGCTGGAGACTCTTATCTCCCTCAATAACTTTAAGCATCAGTTGTCAGAGCACCTTACCGATCACTGCACCTGTACACAGCCCATCTGAAATTAGCCCACCCAACTACCTCATCCCTATATTGTTATTTATTTTGCTCTTTTGCACCCCAGTATCTCTATTTGCACATAATCTCTTGCACATCTAGCATTCCAGTGTTAATACTATTGTAATTATTTTGCACTATAGCCTATTTATTGCCTTACCTCCATAACTTGCTACATTTGCACACACTGTATATATATTTTCTGTTGTATTTTTGACTTTATGTTTTTTACCCCATATGTAACTCTGTGTTGTTTTTATTGCACTGCTTTGCTTTATCTTGGCCAGGTCGCAGTTGTAAATGAGAACCTGTTCTCAACTGGCTTACCTGGTTAAATAAAGGTTAAATAAAAAAAATAAAAAACTATCATTAGCCTCTGTCTGGATCACAGTAACTAATGACTACTACAGCTTCTATAGCCAGACACCATCACAGTAACTAATGACTACTACAGCTTCTATAGCCAGACACCATCACAGTAACTAATGACTACTACAGCTTCTATAGCCAGACACCATCACAGTAACTAATGACTACTACATCTTCTATAGCCAGACACCATCACAGTACCAACCAAACACAGATTTAATGTATATCTAACAACAGCCACGGGACTCATATACTGTATTATCCTAATCATGATTCCATATGAGATCATACTGCACATATGGCTTGTTAAGATGTAGTGGTGGTGGTGGTAGCCTACCTTAGTTCTGGCCAGCACGTTGGACCTGAACTTCTCTGTGAGGACCTCCACCACGTTGGTGTGGCCTCGCTCTGCAGCGATGTGCAGAGGTGACCTGTCCATCTGGAGGTTAGAGGTCAGAGGTCAATTAATGGGAAGGTGTACATGACAAAAAAACTATTGAAACTCACTGGTGGACTACAATACAACACATAATTGGGCCAGTTTCCCAGACACAGTGTTACGTCTCCTCCCGTTGCTCCCCTCCGTCTACTGAGCCACCGGTCTGAGCGCACCACCTCGGCAACACCGGAATGGAAACCCAGCGCACCCTAATCACCTCCAGCGCACCTGCACCTCATCATCTCATCACCACCCCTATTTAGCCCTGGACTGTTCTGGATGATGTTGTGTGTGATTGTTTAGCTTCGTGTCGTTTACTCTATCGTTGTTATTTCTCTTGATCATTGTTAAGTAAACCTTGACCTTGTTAATTCCTGCGTCTTCGTATACTCAGTACTCGTCACAGAATCACACACCAAACGAAAATGGATGCAGCAGGAGTTTCCCAGTGCCTCGACCAGCACCAGCAGCAGCTTGCCCAGTTGAACGCCACCATGCAGGAAGTGCTCCAAACTCTGCTAAATCTGCCCAGCGCTCCCGTTCCACCTCAGGGAGCGGCGAGTGCCCCCAATCCACCTGTTCCCGTGCTATCACCCACTTCTGTGGGAACCCTCGCCCTACCGGAGCGCTATGACGGTAAAACTACTAAATGTAGCGGCTTCCTGCCACAGGTTTCACTTTATCTGGTGCGTCAGCCTGGGGCATATCCATCTGACCAAGCTAGGATAGCGTTGGTGATTTCGCTCCTTAAAGGAAAGGCGCTGGATTGGGCCACGGCAGTCTGGGAAGGAGAGGAGGCAGTGGCGCTTCTCTACCCCACCTTCCTCGCTCGGTTCAGGGCAGTGTTTGATCATCCCACGGAGGGAAAGGACAGGGGTGAGCGTCTCCTCCATCTACAACAGAGAGAGAGGTCCGCGTTCGAGTACGCTCTGAGCTTTTTGGCCGTGCTCTGCGCACGGCCTTCAGGAGAGGCTTACGAGAGGACATCAAGACGGAACTCGCATGACGGGACGACGAGATGGACCTTGATACCCTCATCACCACATCCATCCGTCTTGACGACATGTTGAGAGAGAGACGGCGTTCCCAACACCTCTCGGAGCCTCGATGCTCACCCCATCTGAGCTATGGAAGCCGCACTGCTTCCGAGTCCTCACCCATGGAGGTGGGCAGCACCCCCCACCACGGACCACAGATCTCCTGGTGGCTCCCTATCTAGGCGGTATGACTCCCGTTGCCGCTCCGTGAGTGTTACGTCAGCTCCTATCACAAAACCATTGTTTTTAGTTCCCATAACAGTGACTGGTTATTCCTTATCTTCCATTTATACTGCAATAATAGATTCCGGATCAGCTGGGAACCTTATAGATAGGGAGCTGGTCTCTGAATGGGGGTTGCCCACCGTGCCACTGCTATCTCCGCTACACATCACCTCACTGGACAATAAACCCTTTGGATCAGGCACCATTACGCACGTCACCCTCCCCATCACCATTCCCACACTACCGGAGCACCACGAGGAGCTGTCATTCCACATCGTCACGTCACCCCATTCACCGGATCGTCTTGGGATTGCCCTGGCTCAGACTACACAACCCCACCATCAATTGGAGCACCAAGAGGATCACAGCCTGGTCCACCTCATGCCAGAAGACCTGCCTGCCGGTGGTTTGTTGTTCCACGTCAGTGGAGAGTCCGGAGTCCACCCTCCAGTCCAACATTCCACGTGAGTACACAGATCTCTCCGATGTCTTGTCTTCATTAAAGGCTATGTGTCTCCCTCCTCACCGGCCCTGGGACTGCGCCATTGACCTGCTGGAGGGACAACACCCCCCGAAGAGTCGCATTTACCCCCTTTCCATGGCGGAGACTGAGGCCATGGAGAAGTATGTGGCGGAGACCCTGAAAACGTGGTTCATCAGACACTCTACCTCTCCTGCCTCCGCCAGCTTCTTCTTCGTGGCCCAAAAAGACGGAGGACCGAGACCATGCATTGCCTACAGGGGGCTGAACGCTGTCACCACCAAGTACCGGTACCCCCTCCCTCTGGTTCCGTCGGCCATCGAGCAGCTACGAGGGGCCCGGTACTTTACCAAGTTGGACCTGAGGAGTGCCTACAACCTGATCCGAATCTGGGAAGGAGACGAGTGGAAGACGGCATTCAGCACTACCTCAGGCCACTATGAATACTGTGTCATGCCCTACGGCCTCGCCAACGCACCTTCTGTGTTCCAGTCCTTCGTCAATGACGTGTTCCGGGACATGCTGAGTAGACAGGTGGTGGTGTACATCGAAGATATCCTTATCTACACGGCTACGTTCAAGGAGCACATCAGGGACGTCCGAGCTGTCCTACTCCGCCTCCGGGAACACAGCCTGTTGGTGAAGGGGGAGAAATGCGAATTCCACCAACAGGCCATCTCCTTCCTGGGATCCCGGATCAGTCCTCAGGGTGTGTTCATGGAAGGAGTGAAGACTGACGCCGTCAGGTCATGGCCAGTTCCCACCACCATCAAGGGCCTACAGAGCTTCCTGGGCTTCGCTAAGTTCTACCGGCGTTTCATCAGGTCCTTCAGCTCCATAGCCGCCCCTCTCACCTCTCTCCTTAAGGGTGGGCCTCAGAAGTTGGCCTGGAACCCTGAGGCTGACACTGCCTTCAAGAGGCTGAAGGAGAGGTTCACCAGAGCGCCCCATTCTAAAACACCCAGATCCTTCTTGTCTTTTCATCCTGGAGGTGGACGCATTGGAGGAGGGCGTGGGTGTGATGAACATTTTTCTGTAAACTATGAGATAAACAAAGTTAATTACAGACATGATGAACATGGAGTCAAAATTAGACATGGGTACTCTCTGTTGCTGTGCAGGAACTTGATTGGTTCCTTTCGCTGGGTTTATGTGTGTGTGAAGTGGGGATCTGACCTCGGGTCAAATTCCTCACTCTTACCTAATCCATGGCTGTCCTACCTTATCAGAGACTGAAACCAGACTGTTGCCTTGTGCCTCTCTCCTCAAAACAAAGTCCTGAGAGCGGAGCCAGAGTTGAGTTTAAACTGAACATGATTATTTGTGCATGATAAGGGCTTGATTGATGGTACTACTATTGATTCTAAACTGAATAAAAGTCCAAATTAGCCGCTATCATAGACTAATGAAGTGGGCGGAGCGGTCGAGAGGGGGAAACTGAAGATAATGATGGGGGAACCTAAGAGGGAGGGGCTTTAAGCTAGGATGTATGTGAATATTACTATATAAATGGAGAGCTGAGAGGTAGACGGGAGGATGCTTTGCAAATCACCCCGGCTTTGTCTAATTGTAATAAAGTCTATCTTAATTCTACAAAAACTCTGAAGTACTTTGATTCTTTGATTAGTATAAGGACAACATTTTCCACAACAGGTGCGGTCCTCTTCCAGCGGCACGGTAAGCCACAGAAAATGTATCCCTGTGCCTTTTTCTCTAAAAAGCTTACCACCGCAGAGAGGAACTATGGAGTTAGAGACAGGGAGCTGTTAGCGGTGGTCCTAGCTCTGGAGGAATGGAGACACTGGGTGGAGGGCGCAGTCCATCCATTCCGGATTCTTACTGACCTCCGGAATTTTGAGCACATACGGGCAGCGAAACGGATGAACTCTCGTCAAGCCAGGTGGGCCCAATTTCTCACTCGCTTCCAATTCATTCTGTCCTACCGCCCAGGATCCCAGAATGTGAAGGCCGACGAACTCTCCAGGATGCACCATACCGGAGAAAGGAAAGATCTGGGGGGTCCTTTCCTGCCCTCTTCTCTCATCGTTGCACCTGTCGTTTGGGATGTGGACGAAGACATCCGCCTGGCGGCTCAGGAGGACCCATTCGCCTGCCAATGCCCCTCTGGGGGCGCATGTATGTACCCACCAGTGTCCGTGACCGCCTGCTGATCTGGGCGCACACCACCCTTACGGCAGGGCACTCTGGTATTACACGCACCCTGCATTCTCTAGCCCAGAAATACTGGTGGCCCACCTTGGCTTCTGATGTCTCCCGCTATGTCAACTCCTGCTCCGTATGTGCCCAAACAAAGACACCTCGGAACGCCCCGGCAGGCAAACTAGTTCCTCTATCAGTGCCTCACCGACCTTGGTCACACCTGTCCATAGTCAGGTCACTGAGGTCCTGTTCCAACAGGTCTTCCGGCATTATGGACTTCCGGAGGACATCGTCTCGGACCGTGGCCCCCAATTCACCTCCCAAGCGTGGAAGGCTTTCCTGGATAAGATCGGGGCCACGGCCAGCCTCACCTCCAGGTATAGGCCTCAGTCAAATGGGCATGTGGAGCGCGTGAACCAGGAGCTGGGGAAGTTTCTTCGTTGCCACTGTCAGGACCAGCAGGGTGAGTGGGCAAGGTTTCTTCCCTGGGCAGAATATGCTCAGAACTCCCTCGTTCACTCCTCCACGGGGCTCACTCCCTTCCAGTACGTCCTGGGGTACCAGCCGGCCCTGGCCCCTTGGACACCCAGCCAGACCGATGCGCCCGCTGTTGACGAGTGGTTCCACAGGGCCGGACAGGTCTGGGACGCCGCCCATGTCTATCTCCAGAGGGCCATTAGTCGGCAGAAGGACCAAGCCGACCGCCACCGCAGTGAGGCCCCTGTATTCCAGCCTGGGGATCTGTCACGGGTACTGTCACGTCTCCTCCCGTTGCTCCCCTCCGGCGCTCTGATTCGCCGGTCTACTGAGCCACCAGTCTGAGCGCACCACCTCGGCAACACCGGAATGGAAACCCAACGCACCCTAATCACCTCCAGCGCACCTGTACCTCATCTCATCACCACCCCTATTTAGCCCTGGACTGTTCTGGATGATGTTGTGTGTGATTGTTTAGCTTCGTGTCGTTTACTCTATCTTTGCTATTTCTCTTGATCATTGTTAAGTAAACCTTGACCTTGTTAATTCCTGTGTCTGCGTCCTGCCTCTTCATATACTCAGTACTCGTCACACACAGATTAACCCTGGTCTTGGACTAAGAGGCACTTCAATGGAGAATCTCCATTAAGCATGCTTTTGATTAGGACTAGGCCTAATCAGTGTCCGGAAAAAAACTGTCTAAAACATGGCTGAAACAATGGGATTCAGAAGATAGTTTTTTTTGTATTATACAGTTATACTTTGTTCTACTATGGGCTTCCTTCCTTCCTTCCTCCCCCACCTTGTCAGTGACATTAGGGTTGGCCTTGCTCTGGTAGAACAGTTTCAGCAGCAGCTCATCTCCCTCCCAGGCAGCTATGTGGAGAGGAGTCTGCCCTTCCTCCTGTCAGACACAAAACAACAGATGTACAACTCTACAATAACCACACCCAATAGCTGTGCTAGATGTTTTTACTGTCTCCATACCAATGTCTTGTCTATGAAAGTTTACGAGAACAGAATGCAGTGCAGAGAACAGAATGTTAAGTTTGATTACTCATGCCTGTGATAGTCTTGTTTCCCTGTTTGCAAGGGGAACCTAATACACTACCTACTCACATTCTGGATGTCTACATTGGCCCCGTTCTCAATGAGGACTTTAGCCATCTCCAAGTCCTTCCTTCGGCAGCAGACATGGAGAGCTGCATCTCCACTCCCCTGAAGTACAGTATCAAACACATAATGTTGCACAGACTCACTTTTTTGCAATGTTTCTATACAGTAGCCTGGTCCCAGATCTCTTTGTGCTGTATTGCCAACTCCTACAGTAGTTGTCATGGCAAATAATATAGGAGTTGGCAATACAGCACAAAGACATCTGGGACCAGGCTATCTATCGATGTGGACACCACAACACACAATTTTAATAGTGAACATAATTACATTACAATCATTGTGCGTTGTGTCATAAACACCACATGTAAATAGAAAGACCAAGCCTGTAAACCCCTGGAGGTGGAGCCTCAGAAGACACATGGGTCAGTAAATCACCCAAATGATAAATGATAAAAAACAGAAAAACACTAGAAACATATTAAACACCCTGATAAAGTGGTTTGGGATATTTGCACATATTTTCCTTTAAAACTGAGTGCTTTTTCTGTAAGTGCTCGGTTAACCTATTATCTCATTTTCACCATGACTTATTACAGGGCTAGCCACAATTGGAAACATGTTGGTACTTTGGGCTGTAGTACTAAGTCATGGTTTAATATGTCACAGAGAGTAGTTTCATAGTGCCATTACAGCATGAAGGGAGGGAGGGAATCAAAAGACTGGTGTCATGTGGCATAATGTTATAAACACTAGACTGGTGTTATGTGACATAGTGCTATAGTTGCTTGGGTGTACCCAACGCACCTCTGTACTTTGATTGGTTGTAAAGTACATGATTAGTTGTACATTTTGGGCCAACTCTTATAACTTAATATCAAAATAATTTTGTCAACCAATTTTGATTTATGTAACTGTCCATTAATCTTACCTACACAGATTTCCTATCCAGAGGTTCTAACCTGTTTTAAAACCTTAACCTTTACTTTAATATGTGTCAATAAACATAATGTAGCTATTATTATGAATACTATAGCTACAGTATAGCTCTTATTCCTAAATGAAACACTTTGCAGGGCCCTTGCAACCATGTAACCCCAGACACCTTAGTTGGCTCTTACTGTTTTCTGAGCCCTAAGCTGAGGCTCAGATAGAGTTCCAAGGAGCTCCTTAACGATTCCAACATTCCCGGCTTCGACAGCTAAGAGCAGTGGAATGCAGCCATCCTGGACACAGACACAAAGAGATGGAAACAATGACTGTCTGTGAGCTGCAACCCAGCACAGTCAAAAGCCAGAGAATCTCCTCAGGGTAAAGATAATATACTGTGAAAGTCAGTGGGTGCATCCGAAATGGCACCCTATTCCCTATATAGTGCACTGCTTTTGACCATGGCCCATAGGCAGGGCCCATAGGGCTCTGGTCAAAGGTAGTGCACTTTATAGGGAATAGAGTCCCACTTGGGACACAGCCTGTGCTTAGCTTATATATACAGCACAGTTGGTTATTCCAGTCATTCGAGACCACACAGTAATACATTTGATTGACGGATGAGGTGAGAAGTGATGGATGAGAGGGAGGAGAAGAGTGCGTCCCACTGCGGTATCATGTGGCAGATACCCTACCTTGTCTGGTACGAGCCGGGCCTCTTTGCTGGAGAATTTTAGCAGTGTCTGGATGGTACCGAGGGATGGGGTGGCTCGGGAGGCAGCAAAGTGGAGAGGCAGCTGGTCCTTGGGCTGGTATAATGAAGAGGGCAGAATGGGGGATATGGTTGCAGGTTAGCGTTGTTCTGGAGGCAGCTCTACAGAGTGGTCACTAGATGGCACAGCCACAAAGTCATCAAATCAGATTTTAAATCTAACCCTAACCCTAACCACACTGTTAACCATAATGCCTAACCCTAACCTTAACCCTAACCTTAACCACACTGCTAACCTAACCCTAACCTTAATTTAAGACCAAAAAGCTCATTTTTGTTTTCATGACTTTTTACAATATAGACCATTTTAACTTTGCAGCTGGCCCATCTAGTGGAATTTGCTCAGTTCTGCCTCCAAGGCAAGATTCATGACAATAAACGTCAACCTGCGATACGGTTAGGAATTTGTTTTGGTGATGTAGCCAAAATCCATGTCAAAGATGCGTCTGAGTCCAACACATTTTGTCCACTTGATTCATTATTTATCTAACCATCATCATCTTGGCATTTTTGTTTGATCACACTGGGTGATTATTAAGTTCGGTACACAGTTTCTGTATTCCATGCGTAAAAATGTATGCACACATGACTATAAGTCGCTTTGGATAAAAACGTCTGCTAAATGGCATATTATATTATATTACTATTATGGGGAAACAGCTGATTATTTTGGCGGCACTTTTCCCGCCACTAGCTTCCTTAGAGAGTCCAGGATTGTCAGCACCCTTGGAAATCTGGGTCTACAACACCCTTGGGAATCTGGGTCTACAGCACCCTTGGGAATCTGGGTCTGCACGATGGCTGTGAGCCAAGAACCACCATGGGTCTTTTCTTCCTCTGGGGATTACCTCAAGCACATTTTCCTCTCTCTTTCTTTATTTCTCTCTGTCTCTGTCTGTCTCTCTCTCTCTCTCTCTCTCTCTCTCTCTCTCTCTCACTCTCTCTCTCTCTCTTTCACTCTCTCACTCTCTCTTTCTCTTTCTCTCTCTCTCTTTCTCTTGCTCTCTCTCTCTCTCCTCTCTCTCTCTCTCTCTCTCTCTCTCTCTCTCTCTCTCTCTCTCTCTCTCTCCTTTCTTATTCTGTCTCTCTTTCTCTCTCTTAGCCAAATAATTCACATGTAGATCACTTTATGTAAAATCATATTTTCATGCTCTATAGTCTTGGCACAGTTGGGCCTCTGCTTAACAGAAAATATGAATGCCTGCAGATGTTTGTATGGGCAGACATTGCTATAAGAAACCACCCGATAGATTAGTCATCAAAACCCCACTAGACAGCTTGATCATATTGAAGGTAGCAGGCTGTCATTTGTGTCCTCTAAGCCCATAGTGGTTCCTGTCCGTTAGACAGACTCTGGATGTCATAACAGGTCAGCTCGGCCAAAACTCACACAAATAATAGCAGTTTTCAGTAACCACTGAGGAGAAAAAAGGGCCAAATAAGCCAAACCACAGGCCTGTTTAGGAATGCTATCCTCCCTGGGCTGTCCTCAGCACAACGTCTGGGGGAATAGGTTTAGAGGTAAAGGTAGAAGGGTGAGATGAAGAAAGGAATAGAATAGAATAAAATAAAATGTATTCAATATAGAATTTAGAATAAAGAATACAGAGAGGCTTACACTGGGGCTAGAGACAACTTACCCCTCCTAGTGAGTCAGCATCTGCCTTTCTGGCCAGGAGCTTCACAATGTCTTCCTTGGAGTGTGCTGCAGCTACATGCAATGCAGTCCTGCCATCCTATAGGACACAAACATAGAGACAACATAGTCAATTCTGGCCCAGCATAATATAGTTATTGCAGATTGATGATTAGGTCAGACTGCACACACACACACACACACACACACACACACACACACACACACCCCTAATTTACAAATTGCACTGCATTTAAGATCCTGCCATGTCTCAGTAAATCCTTCCATTGTGCAGTCTGACTTAATGTATGATAGAAGTATGATAATCAGTCTATAATGTGATTCAGAGTTGCTCAAACGAGTGCAGATGTGGTTGCAGCCACCAATCCATCAGTCTGGGATTATAGTTTTTCTACGAGGGAAGCATTTTTTACCCATGCTCCTTTGTGGAGTAATGTATAACGTCTGTAACCTCACATTGAGGCACACCACAGAGAAAATACTTAGGGCAGTCTGCAACCCGGCCATGAGATATTCCATAAGCCACCCATTATTTTTTTAAATGATCACATAAATAGTTTTTTTTGCTTCTGTCCAAATCTGAAATGCAAGTGCTCTATTGGGGTGGTGCAACAAGAGCCTTGTTTGAGAGCAAATACCAATACATACAGAGTGGGAAAAGACTCCAATGAGGCAATGCCAACAAAAAGAAGGAGAGAGGTTTGGAGAAGAGGAGCAGTATGAAATACAGCAATGGTTCACCCAATTCCACCATTACCAGATAGCTATGTGTACATTACCAGATAGCTATGTGTACACGCTTAGAAAAAAAGGTTCCAAAAGAGTCCTGCAGCTGTTCCCATAGGATAACCCTTTTTGGTTCAGGGTAGAATCCTGTTTGGTTCTAGGTATAACTTTTTTGGGTTCCAAAGGGGTTCTACCTTGAACCAAAAGGGGTTCTACCTGGAACCAAAAAGGGTTCTCCTATGGGGACAGCTGCAGGACCCTTTTCGGTTCTAGATGGCAAAAATTAATTCTAAGAGTGTATGTATGATGATCTACAAAAGAAATCCTCTCTCTAACTGAAGAGACCCAGTAAAAATATTGCTTGGCTCCACATTAATAAATACATATTGTAGCAAGGTTAATAAATTGTTAAAGTATGTTTGGAACTTGTCAAACAGTGTGGAGTAAATTGATAGCATGACTGATTTTCCACCAGTACCATAATTAATATGGAGTCAATTCTTTGTTACACACCAGTGCAATGGGAAGAAGTTAAATATTCTATATAAAGGACAGAAAGACTCAAGAATTGATAAGAACTATCTTTGAACTAACAGAAAGAATGGCCAAAAAATGACAGAATAAAAACAAAGATTTTAGGAAGTGACACAGAGACCGTAAAAAGTCAACTGTGGGACAGCCCTTCTGTCATTAAAGAGTCTGTAACCTCACATTCCTGCTCTCCAGAGTCTACGTATTCCGACTGACGCAAGTAGTCCGTCTCTCTCTCTCTCTCTCTCTCTCTGCTAATAACTTCTCTGGTTTCCTCCACATCCATTGGCTACACAGTATACCAGAGGCACCGCAGCGCGGGAACACGTTGGCATGTTCATACACACGCATGCACACACAAATACAGACACACACACACACACACACACAAACACACACAGACACACACACAAACACACACACACACACACAAACACACACGTTGGCATGGTCAGACGTTGCATTCTGCCACCCCAGTGGGACGAGACTGCCAAACCCCAAGAGAAACCCTCTCAGATCAGACGTTCTCGGCTCTGGCTCTCTTGTCTCAGACCAACAGCTCTAAATCCTTCCAGACAGGGCTGTGGGCTGTACACATCTGCACACACTACTGCAAGTGACAAGGGATTCATGTCTCAGCACACACAGTGTTTACTGGACTGATTAGGACAAACTATATATCACGTCTCTGCTTACAGATGTACTATCTTAATTTGATCACTCTGTTGTCAGAGATAATTTTCCTGTGCAGCAGGTAATGCAAATTGTAGAGTATTCAAGGTTTCAAAACACTTCTAAAGTTTGTAATTTCCAGTTTAAAAAGTTAGACCTGATTTATCTTAGCCAAAAATGTATCAACCTCTACAAAAATGTCCATTAATTATAATGCATAATTCACATTTCCTGTTGCTGCAGGATTATTTTCCTGCTGTGAGAAACTGTTCAAAGTAAGATACCACATTAAGATAAATGTGATAGGTAAATATATGATGAGTCAATTGTGCAAATATTAGACTCAGATGCTATTTGGACCATCAACTTTTTGGGCTACATGGCCAAATACATTATGCCAAGATATTAAGCATTTCTAAAAAGTGAAAAATGAACAAAAATAAGTTGCATTAAAGTCATCCTGCAGTCCTACAGAAAATGTCATCTTTGTTTTGGGCTAGCCTTGCTGGCTGCAGACTAGGCTTACTGTGCAAAGTATAGAATGATAGCAAAGTATTGCATTCCAATAGCAGAACATATCTACTAATATATCTACCAATGATAAATGTTTTATGTGGCTTCACTAGATATACTGAAAATAAATTGCTACAGGCTTAAATCCAAACTTCTGGGGGTTTTGTGCATGGAGTGGAGAGATTGCATTTGCACGCCATTAAATTCCCCCATAAGTCATAAGTCAGTAAGGGTTTCCATGGATTGTAGGTTTGAGCTGGAGTGGAAACATTAGGGTAGAACAGCAACAATAGACTACAATCATAAACTATTACACATCAGATAAAAATATGAAATGAACTGAACCCAGGAGCAAATTTATTGGAAAATACAACACTTGAGCTCATACTAAATAGAAACATGCCCGGGATTTTACAATGGAGACTATGATGTATACAGGACATTTTTATAATGATTCATAATTTCCTATTTTTCCCTATGGTAAGCTACAGCTAATAATTTTTTTTATTTTATTTTTTTATTTTTTTCGGGGGGATGGATCAGCTTAATATTGCAGATAGATTGTATCTTCTATCAATGTAATTGTCTGCATCACTTCCAATCCCCCATGTTTATTTTTATTTTTTATATATATATTCCCCTTTATTACTTTTCAACCCCACCATCCTTTCCCTACTTGGAGTAAATTAGTGAACAACAACGCCCAGGCCTCTACTTCCGGTCTATACTTACTATCTACACCTTATGGACAGAGTTAATTTTACAATAATTCTATATATATATATATATATATATATATATATATATATACATACATATATATATACATACATATTTATTTATTTTTTTGCTCCTGAACCTCTTCTACTCTCAACCTCTCCGATCATTTTCATGATGTCCATCCGGTTTGCTTCTAAATGCCATATCTTTCTAACTGTGCTCTTTCCCAAAAGCTCCCAACATACAACCTATATACTTATTATGGACACAGTATGCTTACATTATTAGCTATCTTTGTTATTATTTGTTGTTATTTGTTATTAGTCCCATCCTTCAACTCTATTCAATACCTCCCATCTATCTCTTAACACCATCCATATAGGATTTCTATTTGTTTATGTAAAAGCATCCTGTTTACTTTTTCCCACAAGACATAATGGATTTTTCTGCTGATTACTCAGCCTGATCCCTAATCTGTCTGTGCTGTTTACCATAGGAGTTGACAAGACAGCAGACAAATCAGGGATCAGGAAATGTAATCAGCAAAAAATAAACATTCTGTCTTGTGGGATAAAATAAACAGGATGCTTTGATGAAGTTACCTGTCAGGACAATGAAAGCTTTAGATAAGTGGACGCTGTGGGAAGGGCAGTCTACTTTCCTAAACAAGCTTTCAAAATTTCACCCAATAAAGGAACAATACCCACTGTCAGTAGGCCTACAGTATTTTGAGATATTCAACTGCTTTTGTGCTCAATCTGCTTCAATGCTCATGATTTCATAGATTTTAACTGCCTATAACAGCTGCTGTACACATATGACATAATTCATTTTATAGTGAATGTGGGGAGAAAACACCTACTGAAATGATTAGTCTGTCTAGTTATGTCACCACTTTATGGCAGTGTGCGTTATCCATTTAATAAAGGAGCTTTCAGATATTATATCACACATTTTGTAGGTTCCTACTATCCCTGTTCCACCACAAAAATGAAATGTGTGAAAAGTGACGTTTTCCAAAAGTTGAATTTTGGCTATTCACGGGGAGATACAGTATGCCAAATGATTGTTTTGTCATTCTCATCATTGTGTTGTTTTGATTCTGACTTGCAGGGAGGGTAAAGTAAAGTCACTGTGCCCAGCTGTGTCATAAATGCAATAGAATAGAAACCAGAAGAGATGCCTAGTGAGTGTCTCCATCGTAAAGGTCAGCACCGCCAGTACGCCCACTCCTCTGCCAACAACCTTTACCTCAGAAGCAACCCTGATCTACCCCATAGAAAGAGTTCTAATAGCAATACCACCTATTCTATTCCTATGATCTACCCCTATTTATTATTACCTTTATTTAACTAGGCAAGTCAGTTAGGAACAAATTCTTATTTACAATGACGGCCTACACCGGCCAAAGCTGGGCCAATTGTGCGCCGCCCTATGGGACTCCCATTCACGGCCGGTTGTGATACAGCCTGGAATCCAACCAGGGGGTCTGTAGTGACGCCTCAAGCACTAAGATGCAGTGCCTTAGACCGCTGCGCCACTCGGGAGCTATTACCCACTAGTCCACTGCACTACTCTCGTGTCCAGTTAGAATGAGAATAGTGGTGCATGCTTACATAGTTGTTTCTTAATATGTAGCCTGAAAATAGACTTGGGAGTAATCCTGCAATGTAATTTTACAATGATTATATCACGGTGTTACAGTATATGCTTACAGTAGTTGGAAACTATCCGACTGCTGCCCTTGGATCAGTCCATCCTCATCATCCTCATCATCATTATCATCATCATCATTAACCATTTCCAGTTTGAGTAAGTTCTTACCTTTGTCCTTTCACTAGTGCTGCCTCCTAACTCCAGTAGTCTGTCTACTGCAAATAGGCGGTTCTCCCTCACTGCAATCATCAGGAGACTCAAGCCAGACTCCTGGAAAAGAGAAGAATCAACCATATCTATCTCATTAGCTGACTCAATAGTATCAAATAGCTATCCACCAACATTTCATAATTCTAATCAATTATTTGACATGCTTGAAAAATTGTTTTACCATATATATATATATATATATATATTTTTTTAAATGTATTCTGCTGTTTTTAAGATACTAATATTCAGATCTTCCTTTATAGCCCAGAAATATGTGTAGGCTATAACAAATATATATATATATATATATATATATATATATATATATATATATATATGTAATTAATAGTCCAAATATATTTGATTAACATTAGGCTAATTTGATGTATTTATTGATTTTACTTAAGTCCCACCCTTCATTACATATCTTACTGGTGCACATCAAGCGAATAAACCGGTAAAAAAAAACTGTTTAGATTAAATTACAACAACAACAAACATTTTACCTCATCGATTATCGTTAGTTCTGGGTCTCCCTTTTCCATCCCTTTGATTGTCTGCTCGAGCGCAATCCATTCCCCCTTCAGAGACAGCTGCAAGAGTCGCTGGCTGGACCCAGAGTTGACTGAAGATGTCTCAGACATCTTTTACATAGGCTACCATTCGTTTTTTTAATGCAAAATTTACACTAGCACATCTCATGAGAATATATTTTTTTCCTTATTGCGCGTGGCTAAAAGCTCTGTCCTCGTGGCAGGTGTAATTCCGAAAGTAGCATTCTGATTGTAGAATTTGTGCTTCAAGTTTCTCCGTCTTTGTAGGAGGTACAATAAGCCGCATTCCGTTAACTCCAGCATGGGAAAATCCACCGCCCCTATCCACCACTAGTTCGACTTTTCTAACTCCGCCTTTGTGCTCTTGTTACCTTGGATTCGTCTGTGGACGAGCCAAAAAGCCCACCTTTCTCTCCAAACCACCAGCTCTATTTTGTAGGCTAAACATGATAATAACGACCATAGACCTCTGATAGGCCTACGCTCTTTAGTAAACTCATTTTGGTAGCTTACTTTTCCTCCTCCATCTCCTCATCGTGTGTGTGTGTGTAGAACACATTTACATGACATTTAGTCATTTAACAGACGCTCTTATCCTGAGCGACTTACAGTTAGTGAGTGCATACATTATTTTAATTTTTTTTCATACTGCCCCCCTGTGGGATTCGAACCCACAACCCTGGCGTTGCAAACGCCATGCTCTACCAACTGAGCTACATACCTACTTAACCTTCATCTGTGATTAGAAGAATACATTATTTGTTTTATTTCATGACTAATAAAAAACACAATAATCATTGTTTATTCTGAGGTTGCAAGATTTTGGGGGGGGGGGTAGTGACACGGTGTTACAATGTTGCATTAATATTTTTGAGATTACCATGTTACGGTCATTTAGGGATATAATAAGGTTACAATGTTGCAGACCATCAACAGCTAGCCCCGCCAAAGCCTTGTGTTACCATGGTAACTGAAATGCGTCAACAATGAAGTCCGACGTGACAAGGGGGCCGGGTTCGTTTCATAGCAACTCAAAAATAGCAGAAGGGAAGACAGCGAACAAGTGCATGGTTTATATTGCTGGTACAGACAGTAAGGCTGGACGGCATACTTTCGTACTAGTAACATTTAGGGTTATCTGAAGTTCCTTTTCATAGAATACGCTTTTATTTTTTGTCGTTTTGCTAGGCGGAACGAAGGACCATTATTTTGTGCCACACGGAACTTGGAGTTGAGGCAAAAGATACATCAAGTAAACTAAAGTAACATTAGCAACAAGTATTTGTAACAATACATGTGGATGAGACGGTGTTATAAACGCACAAATGTTTAAAAACACCTTTCAAAGTGGATTCCTATCTATCTTGTATAGCATTGGGAGTAAACCTCTTCAGATTTGGGATAAAAAGGTAAGCAACGATTTACAAAAGCCTTCGCATGAATTAGCTTGCCAACTAGCAAATATGACAAGGCTAGTTAACATCGGCTAGCTAGCTAGGTAACTAAAGAGCAGGGCTTGGTATGGTGCTAAGCTCCAGGGAGCAAGCAGCTAGCCATCTAGCTAACCAGCTTACTCATGACAATGACAGTAGAAACCTATACGTTAGCTTGCTAACGTTAGCTGGTTTTGTGGTCCTCAAACTGCCCTGTTTTTAGCTAGCACTAGGACATCTTGTTTTAGCTCATTTGACAGCGTTTGTCATTGCCACTGTCTTAATCAAGCCTTAGCTAGCAAGCTAACTAACGTTTGTTTATTAGCTAGGTTAAATACCCATTAGTTCCACAGGGCTTGGCTTAACTTTCTGGGTTCACATTCAATACTCAGACACACATTTCTTAAAAGTAGTAGCTAGCCAACCCATTACAAACGGTTGCTTGTGCTGTTACAGGTCAGGAACGGCCACATAAAGCGGATTACAGACAACGACATTCAGTCGCTGGTGCTTGAAGTGGAGGGAACAAATGTCAGGTAAGCTTGTTCCATCTTCAGAGCCTGTTTTGGCAGGTCCGCTGTTGTGCATCTCTTCTTCAGTCAACCACATCCAATCATGTGTTCTTAAATTAAACAGCACAACCTACATCACATGTCCGGCAGACCCAAAGAAGACACTTGGCATCAAACTCCCTTTCTTGGTTATGATCATAAAGAACTTGAAGAAGTATTTCACCTTCGAAGTCCAGGTAGGTTATCATACAAGTCAACAATCAGAGCCATTGCATCTGTACAAGCATGAAAGCTGAACGTTATTGTATTATAATTATTTGAAACAAGTCATCATAAGTTTCTGTTAGCCGGTAATAGACTGCTTTTGTCCAATTTTTTGTTGTTGTTGAAAAGCGGATAAATAAAATTGCTGCTGGTCAATTGTCAGGGAGAAGAAGAAAAAATCCCATTGCGAAATAATGCATTTTAGCCTATTCACTGATGTAAATACCAGTTTAAATCGGTCTATAGGTTAATTTGCATACTTTTGTGGAATTAAATTGGCGCGTGTGTTCAGTATATTCGTATGCATCTTATTTATCACACGCTGCAGCATACAGATATAGAGCCTTTGAGTGGAAAATATGTCAGACAGTGCAAGAGCTGCTGCTGAAGCATCTTGTGGTGCTTTCAAGACAACTGGGAACTCTGAAAAATACGAGGTCAAATCATGACGTCAGTGATCTTCAGGTCGGAAAGTCGGAGCGCTAGGCACAAGTGCCCGAGTTGGATGACCATTCAAAACTATTTTTCCCAGTCAGAGCTTGTTTTTTTCCCCAGTTCCCAGTTGTATCAAACGGCAACGGAAGGCAGGCTTCATCAGTGCCTGACACACCACTTTGCTGGTCGAGCTGGAGTCAGTATGCATTTTGAAAACATATACTTAATTGTTTGAAACCTGAACGTTTTAATGCAATCCCAGGTTTTGGATGACAAGAATGTGAGGAGGAGGTTCCGGGCCAGTAACTACCAGAGCACCACTCGGGTGAAGCCCTTCATCTGCACCATGCCCATGAGGCTGGACGACGGCTGGAATCAGATCCAGTTTAACCTGTCAGACTTCACACGGCGGGCCTACGGCACCAACTACATCGAGACACTCCGCGTACAGGTCAGTCAGAAAGGCTCATGGACCAGGGTCATGGCCCAGGATGCAATATACGGATCTCTTACCTAGCCTGGTCCCAGATCTTTGTGCTGCCTTGCCGACTCTTATGGTCATTGCCATGCCAAGTTTGGTGACCGTAGGAGTTGGCGAGACAGCACACACAGATCTGGGACCAGGCTAGCTCTTACGTCAAATGGTTGTGGAGGAATAATAAGATACTGAACTCATTGTTACTGTAATACACACTTTAAAAAGGGGGTGTGAAACTAATTTAGATGATTGTTAGTGAGCTTGACAGTCAGGAAATGGGATAAATGTAGGTCCATTATCATTTCTACAAAGTTTCTATTTGGTGTTAGTCATTTTAATGTATATTGAGTTCTCTCCCCCCGTGCTTTAAAATATCAGTTAGGCTATGTTTTGGACAAGAATAGATATTGCAATACCTTGCCTGTGTTTTTGTTGCAGATCCACGCAAACTGCCGCATCCGGAGAGTGTACTTCTCTGACAGACTGTACTCGGAAGATGAGCTCCCTGCTGAGTTCAAACTTTATCTACCCGTACAGAACAAAGCCAAGGTGAGTACAAGTAATGTCAATTTTTCAAGATGTTAAAGGTGCCAATGTTGTCATGTAGGCCTACAGCTCATACTGGGTGTCTCCCTAATGGCACCCTATTCCTTTTATAGTGCACTACTTTCGACCAAGACACATAGAGCTCTGGCCTAAAGTAGTGCACTATACAGGATGCAAACACTGTCTCGTATGTATCTCAAAGAATGAGCAAGATCCGTTGAAGAAAAGTACATCTATTGCAGTTCTTGTAGCTAATTGACATTTGTCTTTTGTTTCTTTGCAGCAGTAAGGCAGCTGAATCAATTATCCTCCCCCATTTGATGTTTATTTTATTTGCAGATAGTCTACATTTGTTGTAATGTTTGTTTTGCTTTTATGTATTTTGGAACCATGTGATTGTTTTCTCTGCACAATAAACATTTTGTATGCACAATACTTCCATATTTTTGTTTAGCATAAACATCTGCAATTGAGTGGAACCCTCAAAATGATTGTGCAACAAATGTATGTAATTGACAAGCACTGGTCAGTGTAAGCTCATGGTTATTACATACAAGAAAGAAAATAGCAAGGTTCCAGTTACACAGGCAGGATTTTATTTAACTTGTGCAGTAGATGCCAATGAGGAGCTCAGTGCAGTGACAGCAGTTAAGTACTGTATCTAATGTTACAAAACTCTTAGCACAGAGAACAAGATGAAAGTATAAGAAAAAATATCACAAAACACACGCCATGTTCATAGAAAACATCCTGCCCTCACTTACATACCCAATCCGACTGTTCTGGAAAAATATCACCCACTAGATGGGGCTTAAAATAGATCTGAAGTTGAATTACAATATAAACAAACCTTTATCAAATGTCACATTTTGTTGAGAGGCTTTAAAAATACCTATTACCTACCCTTCAAACACACTTGGGTTGAAATTGTAAATGAACAAAATCATACATTCCATTTTAACACTTGGTGAGGATTGAAGCATTATTTCGTACAACAGTCCTGAATGAAAACAATTTGTACAGAAAGAAACTGAACTCAACCAATATTTATTTCCTACAATACATGAAAATACAAGCTAAAAAAAAAAGATACTAAGCACTTTGGAGTAAGTAAAACAAAAGTGAAATGCAGGCTCGATTTGGTTTGTGGCTCATGTAGCAATGTCAGGCACGAGTAGGATATTTGCTGAAAAGGCATGTATAGACAAATTTCATATTGAACCCATAAAGGGTTGAGAGGGCTAAACTAGACAACAGCTATAGTATACTAGTGACAAAAAAGGTTAATTGAAGTGCAAAAGGTATGGAATGGAATCAAGGGATAAATGCATAATGTTGGTTAAAATCAATATTGTTTTTCTATGGTTGTTACTGTTTGGATCACCATTTATTTATAATGGGATGTCAATATTGGCAAATAAAACAACTTATTTTACAAGGACCATGTTGGTCCTTTAGCTGATACATTCAAAGAGCACTTGTATATTTCTTGGAAAACACCATGCATTTTAGTGCAAACACATTACACAGATTAAGGGGGTAGTTCACCCAAACATGTGACTGGTTATTACTGCAGCCACATGAAATAAAATACACAACTTAATACTCAGATCATTAAATAATCAAAGGCAAGAAACGTGTCAAATGCATGACAATAGAGAGCACATTGATAGTCAGGTTTATATATATATAGGGTTGTTTGCATTGATCCTCACAGTTGTAGACTAAGTAAGAAACAGAAAAGGCATACAAATGTTCTCTTTGGCAGGGAAGTGTTTCACAACAATTGCACATGACAGGACAGGAGCCAAGTGTCTCTGGAGTGTATCAGTGCATTAGAGAAATGGCATCTGGAGGCCAAAAACCTTTTCGTAGTACATTCTTACTAAACAGTCGAGCTTCATATAAAAAACATTTCCCTTTCAAAATAAACATTCACATTCAATTTTTCCTTATTTAGCATGATGTATTGCTCCTCTGCTTGTGGCCAACTGCTCACGATTGTGACACGTAATGTAATACGTAGAAGTCGTGGACGTACATCAGCACGGCGATGGGCTGACCAATGATGAGCGAGATCCAGACTGCCGCATTGCCATAGTTACCTCTCAGGAAGCGGCCGACGAACCAGGCGAGTGGAATCTGAAAGAAAAGTTGAGGCGGAAACACTGATAAATCTAAAACCACTTACTTTAAAATGTGCGTATAACCATTAACAGAGGAACATGTCAAACCCAATGTTTGATTATGAAAATACATTTTGTTTTTAGAAGGAAATGTTGTCTGACCTGAGACATCATGCCCATGAATGCCCACAGTCGGAACATTTTCAGAGGAACACTCACCAAGTACTGAAAAGAGAGGGAGGAAGATTATCAAATGATGCAGCCTTTAAAAACACTGACATGTACAAGATCAGATTAAGTCAAGGGTGAAACTATGAGTCAGTGGCCGTGTTGGAGAGGATCAAAACCATAATATATATCATGGGTAAATTGTGACTGACTGATCTACAAATAATATGGAGTAGATATTTATGTAGATCAGTCAGTCGGCAGTCGCCTGCACTGGTCGGCTGCAATGTTGAACACGCCCAGAGTGTTCGATGGCATCACAAATCACAGCCAACCACACAAACCTCGTGAAAGAAGGCGGAGACCAGGAAGATGGCCGTCTTGGCGACCCACTTATTCACACCTCTCCTCAAGAGAGGCTTGTAAAAGTGGCTGTAAATACAAGAGATGAAAATAAATCATTTATTAGTTGGAAACTGTAGACAATAACCAAGAGCGTCCTTTATAGCCATCTTAAAAACAAGCCATTATAATGTCACAAGGTTACAGCACTTACTGTAGACAATTCACCACACCCACACACACACACTACCAGTCAAAAGTTTGGACACCTACTCATTCAATGGTTTTTCTTTATTTTTACATTGTAGAATAATAGTGAAGACATCAAAACTATAGAATCATGTAGTACCCCAAAAAAGTGTTTAACAAATAGGCACCCTTTGCCTTGACAGCTTTGCACACTTTTGGCATTCTCTCAACCAGCTTCATGAGGTAATAATAATAATGCCATTTAGCAGACGCTTTTATCCAAAGCGACTTAATCATGCGTGCATACATTTTAAAGTATGGGTGGTCCCGGGGATCGAACCCACTAGTCACCTGGAATGCAATTCAATTAACGTGTGCCGCCTTAAAAGTTAATTTGTGGAATTTCTTTCCTTCTTAATGCGTTTGAGCCAATTAATTGTGTTGTGACAAGGTAGGGGGGTATACAGAAGATAGCCCTATTTGGTAAAAGACCAAGTCCATATTATGGCAAGAACAGCTCAAATAAGCAAAGAGAAACGACAGTCCATCATTATTTTAAGACATGAAGGTCAGTCAATCTGGAAAATTTCAAGAACTTTGACAATTTCTTAAAGTGCAGTCGCAAAAACCATCAAGCGCTTTGATGAAACTGGCTCTCATGAGGACCGCCACAGGAATGGAAGACCCAGAGTTACCTCTGCTGCAGAGGATAAGTTCATTAGAGTTACCAGCCTCAGAAATTGCAGCCCAAATAAATGCTTCACAGAGTTCAAGTCACAGACACATCTCAACATCAACTGTTCAGAGGGGACTGTGTGAATCAGGCCTTCAAGGTCGATTGCTGCAAAGAAACCACTACTAAAGGACGCCAATATGGAGAAGAGACTTGCTTGGGCCAAGAAACACGAGCAATGGACATTTGTCCTTTGGTCTGTAGTCCAAATTTGAGATTTCTGGTTCAAACCGCTGTGTCTTTGTGAGACTCGGTGTGGGTGAACGGATGATCTCCGCATGTGTTGTTCCCACCGTAAAGCATGGAGGAGGAGGTGTTATGGTGTGGGGGTGCTTTGCTGGTGACACTGTCTGTGAGTTATTTAGATTTCAAGGCACACTTAACCAGAATGGCTACCACAGTGATACGCCATCCCGTCTGGTTTGGGCTTAGTGGGACTATCATTTGTTTTTCAACAGGACAATGACCCAACACACCTCCAGGTTGTGTAAGGGCTATTTTACCAAGAAGGAGAGTGATGGAGTGCTGCATCAGATGACCTGGCCTCCACAATCCCCCGACCTCAACCCAATTGAGATGGTTTGGGATGAGTCGGACGGCAGAGTGAAGGAAAAGCAGCCAACAAGTGCTAAGCATACAGTGAGGGAAAAAAGTATTTGATCCCCTGCTGATTTTGTACGTTTGCCCAATGACAAAGAAATGATCAGTCTATAATTTTAATGGTAGGTTTATTTGAACAGTGAGAGACAGAATAACAACAAAAAAATCCAGAAAAACGCATGTCAAAAATGTTACATTTATTTGCATTTTAATGAGGGAAATAAGTATTTGACCCCCTCTCAATCAGAATCCCAGGTGTCTTTTATACAGGTAACGAGCTGAGATTAGGAGCACACTCTTAAAGGGAGTGCTCCTAATCTCAGCTTGTTACTTGTATAAAAAGACACCTGTCCATAGAAGCAATCAATCAGATTCCAAACTCTCCACCATGGCCAAGACTAAAGAGCTCTCCAAGGATGTCAGGGACAAGATTGCAGACCTACACAAGGCTGGAATGGGCTACAAGACCATCGCCAAGCAGCTTGGTGAGAAGGTGACAACAGATTATTCGCAAATGGAACAAACACAAAATAACTGTCAATCTCCCTCGGCCTGGGGCTCCATGCAAGATCTCACCTCGTGGAGATGCAATGATCATGAGAATGGTGAGGAATCAGCCCAGAACTACACGGGAGGATCTTGTCAATGATCTCAAGGCAGCTGGGACCATAGTCACCAAGAAAACAATTGGTAACACACTACGCCGTGAAGGACTGAAATCCTGCAGCGCACGCAAGGTCCCCCTGCTCAAGAAAGCACATATACAGGGCCGTGTGAAGTTTGCCAATGAACATCTGAATGATTCAAAGGAGAACTGGGTGAAAGTGTTGTGGTCAGATGAGACCAAAATGGAGCTCTTTGGCATCAACTCAACTCGCAGTGTTTGGAGGAGGAGGAATGCTGCCTATGACCCCAAGAACACCATCCCCACCGTCAAACATGGAGGTGGAAACATTATGCTTTGGGGGTGTTTTTCTGCTAAGGGGACAGGACAACTTCACCGCATCAAAGGGACGATGGACGGGGCCATGTACCGTCAAATCTTGGGTGAGAACCTCCTTCCCTCAGCCAGGGCATTGAAAAATGGGACGTGGATGGGTATTCCAGCATGACAATGACCCAAAACACACGGCCAAGGCAACAAAGGAGTGGCTCAAGAAGAAGCAGCCAGTCTCCAGAGCTTAATCCCATAGAAAATCTGTGGAGGGAGCTGAAGGTTCGAGTTGCCAAACGTCAGCCTCGAAACCTTAATGACTTGGAGAAGATCTGCAAAGAGGAGTGGAACAAAATCCCTCCTGGTGGCCAACTACAAGACACGTCTGACCTCTGTGATTGCCAAAAAGGGTTTTGCCACCAAGTACTAAGTCATGTTTTGCAGAGGGGTCAAATACTTATTTCCCTCATTAAAATGCAAATCAATTTATTTCATTTTTTACATGCGTTTTTCTGGATTTATTTGTTGTTATTCTGTCTCTCACTGTTCAAATAAACCTACCATTAAAATTATAGACTGATCATGTCTTTGTCAGTGGGCAAACGTACAAAATCAGCAGGGGATCAAATACTTTTTTCCCCCTCACTGTATGTGGGAACTCCTTCAAGACTGTTGGAAAAGCATTCCAGGTGAAGCTGTTTGAGAGAATGCCAAGAGTGTGCAAAGCTGTCATCAAGGCAAAGGGTGGCTATTTGAAGAATCTCAAATATATTTTGATTTGTTTAACACGTTTTTGGTTACTACATGATTCCATATGTGTTATTTCATAGTTTTGATGTCTTCACTGTTATTCTACAATGTAAAAAAAATAGTAAAAATAAAGAAAAACCGTTGAATGAGTAGGTGTGTCCAAACCTTTGACCTTTACTGTATGCTAGAACACACATGCTGCCATAAAGTCAGTGCTGTAGGTGGTGGTATTGTTCCAATCACAATGTTATTTCTTCAACTCCTACTCACCGGAGGCACCACTTGTGCACAGGAATGTTCCAGTTAGACCAGAAGTAAGTGACAGTTTCAGAGTTCCTACAAAACAACAAGTGACTCACTCAGAGACAAAGTTGCAGTTCAATATCTAGTCACTACTGTACATATGGAGGGAAAGGAGAAGTAGGGCAGCCTCGCTCTTGAAGTAAAAAAATCCTTTATTTAGAACAGTTTTGACTAAGCTATTTTACCATTATATCTAGCACTACACGTAACCCAAACAGATGGCACAATTTGCATGTTATCACTGCACGAACAAAACAAAATACAAGGCTAACTGGGAATCATCATCCACTTACCACCAGTCCTGGTAAAACTCCCTGTCGCCGAACCGCATCAGCTCAGCTACGAAGTTCATGGAAGAGTGGAAAAACCAATAGAAAAAGATGAGCCAGATTAAATGATTGGGAACCTGTTGGGGTAGAGGGGAGAGGAGGGAAAGCCTTGTGCCATTAGACAGTCTGGACATGTACAGTGCAATCGGAAAGTATTTAGAGCCCTTCACTTTTTCCACTTTGTGACGTTACAGCCTTATTCTAAAATGGATTAAAACAGTTTTTTCCGTAATCTACACACAATACCCCATAATGACAAAGCGAAAACAGGTTTTTTACAAATAAACTGAAATACCTTATTTAAATAAGTATTCAAACCCTTTCCTAGGAGACTCGAAGTTGAGCTCATGTGCATCCTGTTTCCATTGATCATCCTTGAGATGTTTCTACAACTTGATTGGAGTCCACCTGTGGTAAATTCATTGATTGGACATGATTTGGAAAGGCACACACCTGTCTATACAAGGTCCCACAGTTGACAGTGCATGTCAGAGCAAAAACCATGCCATGAGGTCAAAGGAATTGTCCGTAGAGCGCCGAGACAGGATTGTGTCGAGGCACAGATCTGGGTAAGGGTACCAAAACATTTCTGCAGCATTGAAGGTCCCCAAGAACACAGTGGCCTCAATCATTCTCAAATGGAAGAACTTTGGAACCACCAAGACTCTTCCTTGAGCTGCCCGGCCAAACTGAGCAATCGGGGAAGAAGGACCTTGGTCAGGGAGGTGACTAAGAACCCGATGGTCACTCTGACAGAGCTCCAGAGTTCTTCTGTGGAGATGGGAGAACCTTCCAGAAGGACAACCATCTCTGCAGCACTCCACCAATCAGGCCTTTATGGTAGAGTGGCCAGACGGAAGTCACTCCTCAGTAAAAAGGCACAGGACAGCCCGCTTGGAGTTTGCCAAAAGGCACCTTAGGACTCTGACCATGAGAAACAAGATTCCCTGGTCTGATGAAACCAAGATTGAACTCTTTGGCCTGAATGCCAAGCATCACGTCTGGAGGAAACTTGGCACCATCCCTACGGTGAAGCATGGTGGTGGCAGCATCATCATGCTGTGGGGATGTTTTTCAGCGGCAGGGAGACTAGTCAGGATCGAGGGAAAGATGAACAGAGCAAAGTACAGAGAGATCCTTAATGAAAACCTGCTCCAGAGCGCTCAGGACTTCAGACTGGGGCGAAGGTTCACCTTCCAACAGGACAACGACCCTAAGCAAACAGCCAAGACAACGCAGGAGTGGCTTCGGGACAAGTTTCTGAATGTCCTTGAGTGGCCCAGCCAGAGCCCGGACTTGAAGCCGATTGAACATCTCTGGAGAGACCTGAAAATAGCTGTGCAGCAACGCTCCCCATCCAACATGACAGAGCTTGAGAGGATCTGCAGAGAAGAATGGGAGCGTCATACCCAAGAAAACTTGAGGCTGTAATTGCTGCCAAAGGTGCTTCAACAAAGTACTGAGTAAAGAAAGGGTCTGAATACTTACGTAAATGTCATATTTCCTTTTTGTTGATTTTTTATAAATTTGCAAACATTTCTAAACTGTTTTTGCATTGACATTATGGGGTATTGTGTGTAGATTGAGGAGGAAAAAACAATTTAATCAATTTTAGAACAAGGCTGTAACGTAACAGAATATGGAAAATGTGAAGGGGTCTGAATACTTTCCGAATGCACTCTATATCTTTTTAGTTATAGGGCCGGTTTCCCAAACACAAATTAAGCCTGGTCTTGGACTAAGAAACACTGATGCAGTACATACATACCGAGTGTAAAAACCCCCATTAAGAACACCTTCCTAATATTGAGTTCCACACAGGAAGCTGTTGAGCGTTAAAAAAACAGCAACGTTGCAGTTCTTGACTCTCAAACCGGTGCACCTGGCAACTACTACCATACCCCATTCAAAGGCACTTTGAAAAAAAGTTTGTCTTGCCCATTCACTCTCTGAATGGCACACATACACAATCAATGTCTCAAGGCTTAAAAATCCTTCTTTAACCTGTCTCCTACCCTTCATCTACACTGATTGAAGTGGATTTAACAGGTGACATCAATACGGGACCATAGCTTTCACCTGGATTCACCTGGTCAGTCTCATGGAAAGAGCAGGTGTTCCTAATGTTTTGTACACTCAGTGTATATTGAGAAAGTATTTTCAGTCCTGGACTTGGCTTTGTGTGTATGGGAAAATGGCTCATGATGTATGTATGGTGAACCAACATATCGTTTTGATGGGAAAATATGACAAATGCGAAACATGAAATAAAATGGATTAAGTGTTAGGTTTGTATGGAGACATCGGTTTAGGTAATGTCTTTATTTGTACTCACAGCCAGTTTCAGCATGCGCTCCATCATTCTGGAAAAGTCCATATCCTGCCATAGGGTACATGAAACAAAGTCACCCTTAAGCACAGAGAAATGGGAAAGTCCAATGGACAAAAGTCTAAGAGACGAAAGACATTAATATTTACCTGGAATGGTTTCATGGAATTCTGAATAGTCGGCACCATCCACTGAAAGAAACATGATTAAAGGTTTTTGTGAGGCAAGGTTAAAAGGTAGACACAGCGATATGACGCAGATGTACAAAGTAAACAGTAGTGGGTCAATTTCCACAACAACTAAGCGTTGGCGCGTGAGGCTCAACTTCTCCGCTGTTTTGGTCCCGTGGCTACCACATAAGAGCGTGAAGCGAACCCGTGCACTGTGACTGTGTGAGAACAAAGAGCTAAGTCTTGGATCTTGCGCATCGCAATATCTGCGGTGCTGCTCTTGCAACGTCATTTTGCTGACTCTACCTTAGTTTAAACATTAAAGTGTATCTTGTTACTTCGGATAATAAAGCCACCCATTAATCAAATGTAATAATATAATAATAATAATAATAATAATAATAATAATAATAAGCCATTTAGCAGACGCTTTTATCCAAAGCGACTTAGTCATGTGTGCATAAATTTTTACGTATGGGTGGTCCCGGGGATCGAACCCACTACCCTGGCGTTATAAGCGCCATGCTCTACCAATTGAGCTACAGAGGACCAATTGAGCTGTACTCGTTTGACGAGTGAAAATAAACCAAATATTAACCAAGGTAATGTCAGCATGGACGGCAGCACATAATGAACATACCTGTTGTACCAATCCAATCAGTAACTGTATGAAGAACAGCTGGAAAAGATTTCAGATCATGTTTTTAGATTTTAAAAGGCATTTACATATACAGTATGTTGTTTATTTAGGGTGCATGCAAATTGCACATTCCCAGGTCGCTCTGTTTTCCTTATGTGATATTTGACCTCACCATCTCAAAGAGTCTCCTGAGCAGGAAGCTCTTGCGTATCCGTGCTGACCGGGGGAAGTTCAGCTCATAGCAGAGAGTTGGGGCGAACACAAAATAATATATATCTATGGAGGGAGGACAGTAAAAAAAAAAAAACACATTAAAGTAATTAATTCATTGTACATAGTCTTTTGAAATAACAATTTTGTATGTACAAATGTATAAATCGGTATGGATTTAATTGAACTTAATTCTAAACAGCTACTAGTCATGCTCATAAAGTTCAGTATCTCTTTCTGTTCTGACCTCTGTGTGTGAGATTCTCAGGGTAGGACACATGAGCGTGTACAGCTGACCCATTGGACTGGGCGACTGATGGACCTATGGGGACACAAAACATGTGGATGGACAAGACAGATTATTTCTGACTGCAGTACTTCTATACAACCAGTAGATGGAGATGGCAGCACAGTAACGTTTCAGAAAGTGGGACATTGCTGTATGAGGGTGCATCTAATCTGTGTGTGCGCGCGCGTTCGTATTTATTCAGGGGGCAAAATAAACATATTTAAACAAACTCTGAAAGCTTTTCACAGTAAACAACCCAGCCAAAGAAGTTACTCATACAGCAATGAGTCATACAGCTCATTAAATACCTGTACATTTCCCCTCACTTCACAAGCATTTTGGGGAGGTCAGAGTAATTATACGAGTCCTGGGACAGCCAATCAGATCTTGGGCAGCATCTGTGTTACTGAGAGGGCGCAAATGGAGAGAAGACCCATATGTGTGTGTGTGTGTGTGTGTGTGTGTCTGTCAACATGCTAATTTGGAGATGCTAACCAGTTTTCACATCATTACACCTGCACTGGAGTAAAGATCAAATACCATCAACCAGGACAGACAATGTTGATATTTTTCTCAGGAGGCTGTACAAAGATGGCGGCCTTAGCACCTCTTTATTTTAGTTGCTGCCATTTGTACACTTAACAAAAATATAAAAACGCAACATGCAACAATTTCAAAGATTTGTCTGAATTACAGTTCATAAGAAAAATCTGTCAATTGAAATACATTTATTAGGACGCAAGAACCTGGTGAGGATGACGAGCACGCAGATGAGCTTTTCCTGAGATGGTTTCTGACAGTTTGTGCAGATATTCTTTGGTTGTGCAAACCCAGTTTCATAAGCTGTCCGGGTAGCTGGTCCCAGACGATCCCGCAGGTGAAGAAGCCGGATGTGGAGGACCTGCGCTGGCGTGGTTACACATGGTCTGTGGTTGTGAGGCCGGTTGGACGTACTGCCAAATTCTCTAAAATGACGTTGGAGTCGGCTTATGGTAGATAAATGAACATTTAATTATCTGGCAACAGCGCTGGCGGACATTCCTGCAGTCAGAATGCCAATTGCACGCTCCCTCAAAACTTGAGACATCTGTGGCATTGTGTTGTGAGACAAAACTGCACATTTTAGAGTGGCCTTTTATTGTCCCCAGCACAAAGTGAACCTGTGTAATAATCATGCTGTTTAATTAGCTTCTTGATATGCCACAACTGTCAGGTGGATGGATTATATTGGCAAAGGAGAAATGCTCACTAACAGAGATGTAAACAAATTTGTGCACAGAATGAGAGCAATAAGCTATTTGTGCGTATGGAACATTTCTGGGATCTTTTATTTCAGCTCATGAAAATGGGACCAACACTTTACATGTTGTGTTTATATTTCTGTTCAGTATACTTTGTTTGTACTATTTGCCATTTGTACTTTACTCATTCGATTATGCAAAGTGTGGAGGGACACCTGGTCAGGAGTACTCACATGAATGGGAGCGGGTCAAGGTGCGGGCTTTGGTATGCCTAATCTCTCTGCACCACATATTCACGTCCTTATACGAGTACAGCTTCATGAAGAGGATGGTGTACACACCCAGGGCAAAGGCTCCACCCACTGCACAAGACAAAATAGATATGATCAAGCTTTACAACACTATTTTAGAAGTGGACAAATCCTCTGAGATGGGCATTTAGTATTTTTGATAAGGTCAAGGAGTAGATCTACTGTTACTCACAGATAACAAACATTAGGCCTATTTATATGGCCATGCAGTGTAAGCAAGTGTATGTGTGTGATCATGATCAGGCCATCTCACCTGGGGTCATGGAGGTCAGCGTGAGCACAGTGGCTGATGGGAAAAAGAGGAGGGTGGTCAGATTGACCAAGTAAAGGAATGTTCCGGTAGTCTCCGAGATGGTGCCCTGCAGAGCAACAGAAATAAAAAGCATTGTTAACACAGTGGCCTGAGCACAGAATTACATACAGTATAAGAATATATTTAAATAGGTTCTTTGTGGACCTGGGGTGGTCTAGCAGTCTAAGCTGGTGCCTCCAGAATACATGTACCTGTGCGAGTGTGGTTTCGAATCCAACCCACTGCTATTCTAGCAAACCCTCTCCTCCTTCCTTTCCTGTCAGTCACTGTCCTATCTAATAGATGAGGGGGGGAAATACAAAAAGGAGTGGGACTGCCTCACTCCATACAGTGCATTCAGAAAGTATTTAGACCGCTTTACTTTTTCCACATTTTGTTACATTACAGCCTTATTCTAAAATGGATGAAATAAAAATAAATCCTCAATCTACACACAATGCCCCAAAATGACAAAGCGAAAACAGGTTTTTATAACAAATAAAAAATACAACTTGATTAGAGTCCACCTGTGGTAAATTCAATTGATTGGACATTATTTGGAAAAGGCACACACCTGTCTATATAAGATCCCACAGTTGACAGTGCATGTCAGAGCAAAAACCAAGCCATGAGGTCGAAGGGATTGTCCGTAGCGCTCCGAGACAGGATTGTGTCGAGGCACAGATCAGGGGAAGGGTCCAAAAACATTTCTGCAGCATTAAAGGTCCCCAAGAACACAGTGGCCTCCATCATTCTTAAATGGAAGAAGTTTGGAAACACCAAGACTCTTCCTAGAACTGGCCGCCGGGCCAAACTGAGCAATCGGGGGGAGAAGGGCCTTGTTCAGGGAGGTGACCAAGAACCCGATGGTCACTCTGACAGAGTGAAGAGTTCCTCTGTGGAGATGGGAGAACCTTCCAGAAGAACAACCATCTTTGCAGCGCTCCACCAAATCAGACCTTTATTGTAGAGTGGCCAGATGGAAGCCACTCCTCAGTAAAAGGCAAATGACAGCATGCCTGGAGTTTGCCTAAAGGACTCTCAGACCATGAGAAACAAGATTCCCTGGTCTGATGAAATCAAGATTGAACTCTTTGGAGGAAACGTCTGGAGGAAACCTGGCACCATCGCTACAGTGAAGCATGGTGGTGGCAGCATCATGCTGTGGGGATGTTTTTCAGAGGCAGGGACAGGGAGACTAGTCAGGCTTGAGGGAAAGATGAATGGAGCAAAGTACAGAGAGATTTAATCCATTCTAGAATAAGGCTGTAACGTAACAAAATGTGGAAAAAGTCAAGGAGTCTGAATACTTTCCGAATGCACTGTACATATACTGAACAAAAATATTTTTAAAAAACGCTAAAAAGGTGCAACAACTTTAACGATTTTACTGACTTACAGTCCATATAAGGAAAACAGTCAATATAAATAAATTCATTAGGGCCTAATTTATGGCTTTCACTTGACTTGTCAGGGGCTCAGCCATGGGTGGGCCTGGGAAGGCATAGGCCCAGCCACTGGGGGAGCCGGGCCCAGCCACTGGGGGAACCAGGCCCAGCCAATCAGAATGAGTTTTTCCCCACAAAAGGGTTTTATTACAGACAGAAATACTCCTCAGTTTCATCAGCTGTCCGTGTGGCTGGTCTCAGACGATCCCGCAGGTAAAGAAGCCGGATGTGGAGGTCCTGGGCTGGCATGGTTACACGTGGTCTGCGGTTCTGAGACCAAATTCTTTAAAATGACGTTGGAGGCGGCTTATGGTAGAGAAATTAACATTACATTCTGTGACAGCAGCTCTGGTGGACATTCCTGCAGTCAGCATGCCAATTGCATGCTCCCTCAACTTCAGACATCTGTGGCATTGTGTTGTGTCACAAAATTGCACATTTTAGAGTGGCCTTTTATTGTCCCCAGCACAAGGAGTACCTGTATAGTAATCATGCTGTTTAATAAGCTTCTGCCACACCTGTCAGGTGGATGGATTATATTGGCAAAGGAGAAATTCTCACTAACAGGGATGTAAACAAATTTGTGCACAAAATGAGAGAAATAAGCTTTTTGTGTGTATGGAACATTTCTGGGATCTTTTATTTCAGCTCATGAAACCAACACTTTATATTTTTTATATATTCTCACACACGCACACACACACACACACACACACACACACACACACACACACAGCTAGCTAGAAAAGCCAGATTGGCTTTTATTAGGGGAGGAATGCTTGACAAAACCAATATAACAGATGTCCCCCACCATCTCTACCTAACGGGGGTCTGAAATACTTGTCTTCACAAGCAACAGAGAGATTAGTGAGATTTCACAGCACATCCTTCACATTATTCCCAGACATTATGGCATGACACTCACCAATGATAGCCTCCGCTCCGTGTAAAAAGCTGCCATTATGAACACGTTCGAAACTGAGGAAAAATAAACACATTAGATTTGGGTACTCCACAAAAGACAGCAGTGTAATATTCCTACAATATTGTTCCAAAATGAGAAAATGTGCCCCCACTTCTTGGGAAAACAGTTGTATAATGAGGGTATAATGACTTGGGTTGCTAAGCAACCAAAACCAGACATTAAAATAAACAGATTTGGGAAGATGTACAACAATTACAATAGTACGGTTAGCATGCCAAAGAGGAGAGCGGTTTAGTCTACATACCAATGACCAGGCATGGTGCAGGCCAGCTATATGGGTCTTTTAAAAACAGTGAAACCACTTGAATGGGGTCCACCAGTATCCCATATCTATCAGAGGAGGGAAAGAAGACATTGATGGAAACTACTTTTGTTCACAAGTAAATAGTGATGAGCGTTTTACAAAAGAAGCTGTGGTCAAAATGAATGGATCTGCAGTCGTGACGGAAGATACACTTAGGATCCCAGTGATGAACAACTGACCATCCTGAAGTTGACATAGCCTAAGGGTTTTAGTTATTTGGGGGGCCTATAGCTGCAGATACTTACTTTATTAGATTCTCCAGAAAAAGGCGTGCATTGCTCAAGACCTGCAACAGAAGAGATTTCGCAATCAGTGTATAATGTACTTTATCAACTGGAAGTAACATGGGATTGTTCACGTTAAAAAAGGTACAATACAGAAGTTGAGTTAACAAACAAAATTGTATGAAGGAAAAGACACTGATCAGTGGTCATTCATTACCAACACAGACTGGTCACAGGTCAGTCTCCTGCCTCATGTTGATATGAGCCATACTGTTGATAGGAGCCATACACTAGAAGCGCCGAGGCAGTCATTTTGACTGCATATGAATTGTAATTTAAAATATCTCCGCAATTTTTTTAAGTCATGCCCCCCTTCATCCTTGAATTTTCCTAAATATGTCTATTTAACACACATATGTTGTTTGACTTTCAATATCACAAAAAATACTTTTTCCTAATCCTCCTTGAGTCACATGCAGGTAAGACATTCTGATTTCTGTAGTACATGTATATACTACCAGAAAGAGCAGATTCTAAGGTTTCCAAAATACTTACCTTTGCCAAATAACTTAAAATTGAAGAGATTAAATCCATTTCAAACTATCACATTTTCCTAGAATAACCACTGTTCCTTTGTGCTCCACACATGAGCACGCGCCAACAGATAGTCTACACTAACAAACTAATGAAAATGTTATTGTGTTCTTTGAATAAAAAAATGTTGGGGGGGGGGGGAATGTTGCGGTCAAGAGGTCTGCCCATTGGCGTAGTAAGGGGAGGGTAGCGAGGCCCGGCAGTTTAAGTGTTAATCATCTCAATGCTATAAAGGCTGATAAGAACATCTATTCTGGCAACAGATAACCTAACCCTGGGGACCAACCCATGACACAGTACATGTTCATAGCTTGCTTCTGTATTACAGCAAAAACTAAAACGGGAAGAGATGTGGGATCAATCCAGGTGGAATATCTAGGCATATCGTCCTTGTTTCTCACCATGCAACGTTGTACCCGGTCTACAGATTGGCTAGGCTACACAGGCTAGCTAGCACTTCCATTAAAAAAAAGGTTCATTCTGCGATTTGTATATCCATTTTGGAACTTAGAAATTAATTATACAGTATATACACACCCATTGATTCTTGAAGAATATAACTTCTAAATGCTTCTTGAACTTAGCTCAACTGTCGTACTCCATCAGAACCAAAAATATACATTTGTTTTACTCTATTGTTTGTAAAGAATGTAATTGTAAACCAACACTGTATAGCCTCAAAACATGGTTAAAACTATACATTTGATTCATGGGTGGTCAGTCCTTGCATCCATTGTTCTGTCTATGAATTTGAGAGTGGTTACATTTCTCTAGTCCCATCCCTGAGCTGTTTACAAAAACAGGTCCAGATTAGCCATGTGAAACCAGACTGATCTCGCAATAGCTCACATTCTGTTTCACTGAAACTAAAATGTGAGCAGGCTATCCATAGACTATATCACAGCAGTCACTCAATGGTGGTATCACATTCATCGAAAGGTGACAGTCACACAGAGACAGAACACTGACAGAGCAGAGTAAACCCTGTTCCTGAAACCTTGGCCCTGGATAGTGGGGCCGTGCACACTTTGTCTGAGTTCCAAACTGAAAATAGACATGTGGTTGTTGCCATATTAAAAAAAGAAAAGCATAAGTCAATAACCTACAAGCAGCATACCAGACAGACTGCTTCAGTAAAAGGTTGTTAGTTTCTGCAGCAGCAACTTCTTTAATACATTATTCAGAGGGGCTTGTTCAATTTGAGGAGCAACATAAATTAAAAAGATAATTGAACTGCTAAATTACTCACATTTCTCCCAAACATTAATGATAGCTGTGGGGTACCTGTATGTTTGAGCCCCTTTAAAATATCAACATAAAGCACACAAACATAGCTTAACATCAATTATGCATGTAGCCTTTGGCTACCTAGCCTAACATGCATGACCTGTGAGATGCAGAAACTGAAATATTGATGGTCCATTGAAACACAGTCTACATACTGTAGATAGATATAGCCTAGGACCAGAGCCCTTTATTGAAATAGGAGGCTCTGGTCAGGCCTACATTAAGCAGCATGGGCAGAGGAACCAACCTTTTCGAACTGGCTGGGCATCACAGTGACAGAAGAATATCCTTGAGCCAGCAATGTAAAATATTGTTGCACGGAGGACCCGCTGTAGCTGTTACATTTCTTCTCTAGCTCACATCCTCTTGCCAGCAACTTTCCACTTGAGTTTCATAATTATTCATTACCGGGTACAAAGAATTTAGGGATGATTCCCGGGGAAAAACGGTTTGGATGTCATAGCGATCATGTTTCAAAGACTGGATTAATAACGGCTTTGGAAATTAAACATATCTTTCTCAGATGCTTTGAAGGCGACGGCAAGATTTTTCCTGCAGTCTCTCTTCAAAACAGAAAGAATTGGGTGTTTATTTTTAGGTAGAATACATAAGATTCTGTCCATATTAATTTAATTAATTTTCATGTTAGAAATGCGTGTTATTGGATGTTCTGCCGGAAAAATTATAAAATACCCTTGAACTTCCATTCACACTTTTGAAGGAGAAACGGAAATGTCTATCCTCAGAGGAATAATACATTCTCTCCTCAGACAGTGTCCTCATTTGACCTTACCCTGGGGGACAGAATTAACTGTAACACATCAACTGAGAAATCAAATGCTTGACAGGAGTCATGAATGCTCTGGCAACTCTGGTAAAGTCAAGGACAGCGAATGCCCATTGCCCACTCCATTAAAACAATTCCAGCAGCCTAGCATACCAGGCAGACTGTGTCAATGAGTTGAACCTTGTTTATCTGAACAGTGCAAACTTGATTGATCAAACATCAGAGACTGCATTAGGCTAAACCTAGGTAATATGGACCTCCGGCGAGAGAGAGATTCAGTGTGAGGGAGCGAGTGAGTGAGTGAGCGAGCGAGCGAGCAAGCGACTTGGCTGGCCTTTGCAGTTGAATGAGGCAAGCTGTGTGACATTACCAAGAAGAGTCGGCTCTCGTCCAAAGTCCAGGTCTCTTCATAGTTCATATTAAACTCCTCTCATAATAAAATATAAGGGGGCCAGGGATAAGTTCCTTCTCTTATCAAACTGATTATCGTTTTGTTTGCCGTGCACAGGAAGGCCCTCAAAATTGTCAAAGACTCCAGCCACCCTAGTCATAGACTGTTCTCTCTGCTACCGCACGGCAAGCGGGTACCGGAGTGCCAAGTCTAGGTCCAAAAGACTTCTCAACAGCTTTCTACCCCCAAGCCATAAGGACTCCTGAACAGCTAATCATGGCTACCCGGACTATTTGCACTGCCCCCCCACCCCATCCTTTTTACGCTGCTGCTACTCTGTTAAGTATTTATGCATAGTCACTTTAACTCTACCCACATGAACATATTACCTCAACTACCTCAACTAGCCAGTGCCCCCGCACATTGACTCTGCAACGGTACCCCCCTGTATATATAGCCTCCCTACTGTCACTTTATTTTACTGTATATATAGCCTCCCTACTGTCACTATTTTACTTCTGCTCTTTTTTTTCTCAACACTTTTTTTGTTGTTGTTTTATTCTTACTTTTTTTGTTTAAAATAGTGTGGAGGGCTAAGATTCCTGCAATGTCGAACCTGTTGTATTCGCGCATTGACCATAAATTGAGATTGATTGTTAGTGTGGATAAGATATATGCCAACGTTTACCATTGCTATTGAGAGACCACTCTGAAAGACATCTACCACACCGTTGGGTTACGCATGAATCTCACTGTGTAGACAACAGCTCAAGAGAAACTGATATCATCTGCCTATCAATAAAATTGTAGCTATTGGCAGGAAAGCAAGGAATGTTGGCCTACTGTGATGGACAGAACCAACTATCCATCCATCCTCAAAGCTGATCAGAGTTGAGTCTTCACAGATTTCCTCATCGACAGGAGAGAAGTAATTGACAGAAGAGTATTCAATATTCTACAAATTGCAGTCGGAGTTCGAGACTCTAAAAGGACAATGTGGGTTCCTGCAGATTGATTTCAATGGCTCCAATATGGCTGCTCAGCTGCATCACTGTATTCTCTCTGTGGGTCTATCCTAAGGGCACCTCTCCTACAGCAACTGGCTTCTAGCAGAAACAGATCAAAGACCAGAATGACACTCCAGTGGAGAGATGGCTCACAGAGCAACCAACATACTTGATGAAAATGCAGTGTTTTCAGTGGCCTACTTCCAAATGTCTGTCTTTAAAACACTGTTCAGATCGGGTAATTATTCTGTGAAAGGGGTTTATCATGAATGGAAGTATACACTACCGGTCAAAAGTTTTAGAACACCTTCTCATTCCAGGGTTTTTATTTTTACTATTTTCTACATTTTAGAATAATAGTGAAGATATCAAAACTATGAAATAGCACACATGGAATCATGTAGTAACCAAAAAAAGTGTTTAAAAAATCTTAATATACTTTATATTTGAGATTCTTCAAATAGCCACCCTTTGCCTTGATGACAGCTTTGCACACTCTTGGATTTCTCAACCAGCTTCATGAGGTTGTCACCTGGAATGCATTTAAATTAACAGGTGTGCCTTCTTAATGCGTTTGAGCCAATCAGTTGTGTTGTGACAAGGTAGGGGGGTATACAGAAGATAACCCTATTTGGTAAAAGACCAAGTCCATATTATGGCAAGAACAGCTCAAATAAGCAAAGAGAAACGACAGTCCATCATTACTTTAAGACATGAAGGTCAGTCAATACGGAAGATTTCAAGAACTTTGAACGTTTCATCAAGTGCAGTCGCAAAAACCATCAAGCGCTATGAGGAAACCTCTCATGAGGACCGCCACAGGAATGGAAGACCCAGACTTACCTCTGCTGCAGAGGATAAGTTCATTAGAGTTACCAGCCTCAGAAATTGCAGCCCAAATAAATGCTTCACAGAGTAACAGACACATCTCAACATCAACTGTTCAAAGGATACTGTGTGAATCAGGCCTTCATGGTCAAATAGCTGCAAAGAAACCACTACTAAAGGACACCAATAAGAAGAAGAGACTTGCTTGGTTTTTCAACAGGACAATGACCCAACACACCTCCAGGCTGTGTAAGGGCTATTGTACCAAGAAGGAGAGTGATGGAGTGCTGCATCAGATGACCTGGCCTCCACAATCCCCCGACCTCAACCCAATTGAGATGGTTTGGGATGAGTCGGACCGCAGAGTGAAGGAAAAGCAGCCAACAAGTGCTCAGCATGTGGGAACTCCTTCAAGACTGTTGGAAAAGCATTCCAGGGGAAGCTGGTTGAGAGAATGCCAAGAGTGTGCAAAGCTGTCATCAAGGCAAAGGGTGGCTATTTGAAGAATCTCAAATAGATTTAGATTTGTTTAACACTTTTTTGGTTACTACATGATTCCATATGTGTTATTTCATAGTTTTTATGTCTTCACTGTTATTTTACAATGTAGAAAATAGTAAAAATAAAGAAAAAGCCTTGAATGAGTAGGTGTCATAAAACGTTTGACCGTTAGTGTATATGGAGACTGTAAAGAAATATGGGGTTAAATACATGTATTAAAATATATATCTATACATTTCCTGATCTTTCTTATATCTCTCAGATATAGGAGACATAAAACTTCCTTTTGATACTGTTGTTCCATTGAGTGAATTTGGTATTCAATGCGTTTGTATGGGCTAATTGAGGGCTTGCAGTTGGCGTTCGACGCCTCCTGGCAGCCATGTTGGAAGACCGCCACATTAATTATTCGGATCGTTTCATCACTGGTAAGTCAAGTCTGATCGATTTAGAGTTTAGTTTAGCGGTTACGCTAACCAGGTGTCAACAACACTACAGTAAGTTAGCCAAAATTAGCTTGTAGTCTAGCTATTAGCATGTGTCGCGTGAGTTAAGTTTTTTGGGGAACACTTTTTTCACCATAAAAATGCACCTTTATAACAAAGGATTGCATGCCTCTATCACATTTGCACACCAATGTAAGCCTATTATTCCTAATGTGATGAGAGATTGGATAGTGATAATTTAGGCTATTAATAAGCGCGTTGTGGCATAGAGACGTTTATTTCCTTTGCACAGGAAAAATGTGGCCTTTGATAAACATTTCATGCAATTCTACTACACTTTATACAGTGAGGGAAAAAAGTATTTGATCCCCTGCTGACTTTGTACGTTTGCCAACTGACAAAAAAATTATCCGTCTATAATTTTAATGGTAGGTTTATTTGAACAGTGAGAGATAGAATAACAACAACAGAATCCAGAAAAACGCATGTCAGAAATGTTATAAATTGATTTGCATTTTAATGAGAAACAAGAAACATCTGACCTCTGCAAAACATGACTTAGTACTTGGTGGCAAAACCCTTGTTGCCAATCACAGAGGTCAGATGTTTCTTATAGTTGGCCACCAGGTTTGCACACATCTCAGGAGGGATTTTGTCCCACTCCTCTTTGCAGATCTTCTCCAAGTCATTAAGGTTTTCGAGGCTGACGTTTGGCAACTCGAACCTTCAGCTCCCTCCACATATTTTCTATGGGATTAAGATCTGGAGACTGGCTAGGCCACTCCAGGACCTTAATGTGCTTCTTCTTGAGCCACTCCTTTGTTGCCTTGGCCGTGTGTTTTGGGTCATTGTCATGCTGGAATACCCATCCACAACCCATTTTCAATGCCCTGGCTGAGGGAAGGAGGTTCTCACCCAAGATTTGACGGTACATGGCCCCATCCATCGTCCCTTTGATGCGGTGAAGTTGTCCTGTCCCCTTAGCAGAAAAACACCCCCAAAGCATAATGTTTCCACCTCCATGTTTGACGGTGGGGATGGTGTTCTTGGGGTCATAGGCAGCATTTCTCCTCCTCCAAACACGGCGAGTTGAGTTGATGCCAAAGAGCTCCATTTTGATCTCATCTGACCACAACACTTTCACCCAGTTCTCCTTTGATTCATTCAGATGTTCATTGGCAAACTTCAGACGGCCCTGTATATGTGCTTTCTTGAGCAGGGGGACCTTGCGGGCGCTGCAGGACTTCAGTCCTTCACGGCATAGTGTGTTACCAATTGTTTTCTTGGTGACTATGGTCCCAGCTGCCTTGAGATCATTGACAAGATCGTCCCGTGTAGTTCTGAGCTGATTCCTCACAGTTCTCATGATCATTGCAACTCCACGAGGTGAGATCTTGCATGGAGCCCCAGGCTGAGGGAGATTGACAGTTCTTTTGTGTTTCTTCCATTTGCGAATAATCGCACCAACTGTTGTCACCTTCTCACCAAGCTGCTTGGCGATGGTCTTGTAGCCCATTCCAGCCTTGTGTAGGTCTACAATCTTGTCCCTGACATCCTTGGAGAGCCCTTTGGTCTTGGCCATGGTGGAGAGTTTGGAATCTGATTGATTGATTGCTTCTGTGGACAGGTGTCTTTTATACAGGTAACAAACTGAGATTAGGAGCAATCCCTTTAAGAGTGTGCTTCTAATCTCAGCTCGTTACCTGTATAAAAGACACCTGGGAGCCAGAAATCTTTCTGATTGAGAGGGGGTCAAATACTTATTTCCCTCATTAAAATACAAATCAATTTATAACATTTTTGACATGCGTTTTTCTGGATTTTTTTGTTGTTATTCTGTCTCTCACTGTTCAAATGAACCTACCATTAAAATTATAGACTGATCATTTCTTTGTCAGTGGGCAAACGTACAAAATCAGCAGGGGATCAAATACTTTTTCCCCTCACTGTATGACTGCAGACATTAGCAGAATCTTTAATACGATGGTAGCCTAGGCCTACTATACCGACACTGACAACAGATCAATAAAAATGACCTTGTCTTGAACGCAACCAATTGTTAATTAACGTGAAGTTATGTTTTTTTTTGCATTTTAGCTAACCCTAACCCTTTTCTTAACCTGCTACGTTAATTCTCCTAATCTGCTACGAAATGTCCAATATTACATTAATTTGACAAAAGCTGTATCCCCTTCTTGCCGTGACCATGAAAAGGGGAGACGCAAATTGTATGATACAACGTCCATAAAGCCTGGAGGACATGATTGTCCAAAAAAACTCCAGTGGTTATCATATAATAACCCAATGATAATTTGTTGAGAACTTTATTCATAAGGAGGGAAAGTGTGGACATTACAGCATAGGACAACGGCCTCAATGGGATAGGACAACCTGCTGTGTTGACTATTGATTGTTCCAGCTCAACAATAGATGTAATCTTGGTAAAGCATGGCGTTTGCAACGCCAGGGTTGTGGGTTCGTTTCCCACAGGGGGCCAGTATGATTTTTTTAAATAAAAAAGTATGCACTCACTAACTGTAAGTCGCTCTGGGTAAGAGTGTCTGCTAAATGACTAAAATGTAAATGTAATGTAAAATGTCTTTGTATGCATATATGTTTTGTATTGTTTATCAAATAAAATCTTACAAAAAATAAGGCAGGGTAGCACTTACCAGCATGACCACACACCAGTTGAGGATGCCTCTATAGTTACTGTAACCACTGGCTGAGCTGAGCAGGGACTCCTGGAGGACATGACAGCTGAAGAGACAGTAATAAGGATATACAGTATTAGATACAACTAATCAACTTCAGTTCAATAAAAATAAAAACTGCTCATTGGGCACTACACAAATGGCCCAGCATCATCCGGGTTTGGCCGGGGTAGGCCGTCATTGTAAATAAGAATTTGTTCTTAACTGACTTGCCTAGTTAAAGCAGAAGACACCACGAATGTACTAATAAAATATATATTATCTTAAAAGAGGCTAAAAACAGGTCTACGGTGATCATATAGTTGATCATAGGATTGCCAATGCTTAGGGGGGAAATTATAATGTTCCGAATTCATTGCATCATTTGTCACAGACATTTCCTGGCGGTAGGCCTATATCTGAGATTGCAATATCCAGAGTGTTTTGGGAAATGAACTTTGTGCTTTGGGGTTGTAAACTTCGTTAGGACTTCAGAAATTCCCAAAAGACTTGGACACTGGTTGTGAAAACTGGAGTAAAGGGGGTTGTTAGTAAAGGGGGTGTTTGGTATTGCGAAACCAGGTGACACCTAGCAGTGGAAGTGATATGCCTACACAAAACAAGCCCAGGCTTGAGGATCACTGAATAGTGTACAGCCACAGTTGCACTGGAGTAGCACATTTAAATTCACTGCAGCATAACTAGTTACCTGATCTGAAAAGGTAGCCTATGGACATTTGGCCTAGATTTCTCTCAAACATGTTAGCAAAGAGATCATACATGATGTAAGTGAATTTATGGCAGATTTGTCCTTCGGACCCATATTATGAGGCACCTGTAGCTTGTATTATGAGTAACCTGCACCTAAAGCTTAGCAAACATTTTAGGGCGGCAGTTAACGTTAGCTTTGCGGTTGAGAGCATTGGGTCAGTAACCGAAAGGTTGCTGGTTCGAAATCCTGAGCCAACTAGTTGAAAAATCTGTCGATGTGCCCTTGAGCAAAGCACTTAACCCCAATTGCTCCTGTAAGTTGTTCTGGATAACAGCGTTTGCTAAAATGACAAACATTTTATTCTGACAAAAGATGAGTGACAGCTAGAAATTGAAGACATGTTTGTGAGCTGCGCTCACAAAAAGCCTTGCGTTATGTCTTACCTAAATCTTTCGCTGGTTTTGCTCCTCTCTTTGCGTGGTGTAGTGACCGGCTCGTGCACGGGTTTTTCCTCCTTCACTTTCCCGTTGCTGTGGCTCGGATGGCTTGACATTTTTTCCCCTGCGCTGCCCTGCTTACTACGGTTGGCTTGTTTAGAATCGGCAGCCGCTGGCGTAGCGCAGATGGTAGTTCTCCTTGTTCTGCGCGTCATCATGGGGACTCTATCGTTTCTGTCGCCCATTTTCTCAATTTGATGCATTCAACCTTACCTTGCTGGCATTGAACTAGACGTTTCTCCCTCGAGCCTCTGAAATAAAGTCCAGCCGGACATGCTGTCGAAGAGACGGCTGCAATCACCCTTTTAAACGACAACATTATTTTGATTGAGGAGGGAGGAGCAATAGTTTGTAGGAGGGGGACGTTAAACTGAACCTTCAAGTGGTTTGGGAATTGAAGTTCTTTCTGTGCTGCGACGCGGCGCACAGTTTAACGCTTTTGGATTTAGTCATTATTTTTTAAATAAAAAAAGGCGTATAAAATATGGGGAATATTGTTCATGAACGTCTGTTTTCCTCAAAGTGCACACATGTCCACGAATTTGCATGCCAGAAGATAAGAGCTGTGAAACGTTAAAAGCTCTATTGCACTGAGCCCACCTTCATGGATTTACAATTGACAGTGAATGAGCCAATGAGATGCATAGATTCTTAGATTGCGATCCTTTTGCACCAATCAGATAACAATAAATTATAAATCCCTCCTCAAAACAAGTTATGTGGATTTCCTGGGACAATAGCGGATGATAAATGAACAGCTGTATGACAGATCACAACTCGAACTGAGAATTTGTTGTAATTGTTATTTTCTGTAGTTAGAGATACGATTATAAACCTGTATTTACTTCTGCAATTGACGGTATCACAACGTATGTATTGTTGATGCTTTATTAATTTTAACAGGCTATGAAAAAAGGGAAGAAACACCAGCAAAGTACAGGAAGCCGGGAGAATGGGAATGGAAATACTCAGAGACATGGAGGTAAATTAACTCAATCAGTATTCAATTGTTAACAAATAGCAGATAATGTACTCATACATTGCATGTTGGGAATCGTTTTTTAGATAGTTGACAGTTGAATAGACGAATAATTTTACTAGTATTTAACAGATCTCTGTGTGAATCCTCTGTGAATGCATATCAGCTGGTCAGCTGCCAGACATGCTACGTGGAACAGCAAAGCAACGTGACCATCGATTGACCCAGAGCAGAGCCCATATTAATAATCCCCATAAGAATAGGCTGCCATTCTTCAATGGCAATATACAAATGTACATTTTAGAATCATCATCACGTATTCTTCATCAAAACAAGTAAAAGGTGATACTGTCAGTCAGTAAAGTTGCCCGTGCAGTTGAAGCAAAGCAAGACTGCAAAATATAGGTGGGTCATTCCTGTTATGTGGTGCCTTTTCTGTCCCCAGGAAATATTCCAAAGGGCTTAAAATATAAAGTTAAACCATAAAAACACAAAGATATGGATCTCAAAGGGAATTTTATTTTGCCATGTCCCCGGGTGCTATTCATCGACTATAACAAGAAATATAAGCCATTCAATAATAAAATATTCCAAATATTTATTCATTATTTTATAGTCCTACTCAAAATCTGTCATCAATACATTTTTTTTCATGATTACTGTATTTGTTACTGTATTTAAGATTTTCTGTGTGTCCCTGATTTCACTTTCCACCCTGTTAGTTTGTAGTAATACCCCTTTAAAAAACAGCCCCTTCCCACAATAACATCACATTAAAATAAAATCAAATTTTATTTGTCACATGCGCCGAATACAACAGGTGTAGACCTTACAGTGAAATGCTTACTTACAAGCCCTTAACCAACAATGCAGTTTTAAGAAAAATAAGTGTTAAGTAAAAAAGAGATAAGTAAAAATAATTAAAGAGCAGCAGTAAAATAACAGTACCGAGGCTATATACAGGGGGTACCGTACAGAGTCAATGTGCGGGGGCACAGGTTAGTCAAGGTAATTGAGGTAATATGTACATGTAGGAAGAGTTAAAGTGAGGGGGGGGGGATGCAAATAGTCCGGTTAGCCATTTGATTAGCAGTTCAAGAGTCGTATGGCTTGTGGTAGAAGCTGTTAAGAAGCCTTTTGGACCTAGACTTGGTACTCCGGTACCGCTTGCCGTGCGGTAGCAGAGAGAACAGTCTATGACTAGGGTGGCTGGAGTCTTTGACAATTTTGAGGGCCTTCCTCTGACACCGCCTGGTATAGAGGTCCTGGATGGCAGGAAGCTTGGCCCCAGTGATGTACTGGGTCGTACGCACTACCCTCTGTAGTGCCTTGCGGTCGGAGGCCGAGCAGTTGCCATACCAGGCAGTGATGCAACCAGTCAGGATGCTCTCGATGGTGCAGCTGTATAACTTTTTGAGGATCTGAGGACCCATGCCAAATCTTTTCAGTCTCCAGAGGGGGAATAGGCGATCCTTTTGCACCAATCAGATAACATTAAATTATAAATCCCTCCTCAAAACAAGTTAAGTGGATTTCCTGGGACAATAGCAGATGAAACATTTTCAGGAAGTGTCAATCTTCTTTTTGGCGAGAAAACAACAGTGCAAAGCTAAGTAAGTATCAACACCCGGTTTTATCTATATTGTATTGTTTCATGATGTTAGTCAGTATGTCTCACTCTTACATTTTCACCCTGTTAGGCTACATTAGATGAACATGTTATACAATTTTAGAATTTCAAAATATGTTTGACAGAAAAGTTAAAATCCTCTTCATCAGAAAAGCAGAACTTAATATTTGGTACAGAAACCTTTGTTTGCAATTACAGAGATCATACGTTTCCTGTAGGTCTTGACCAGGTTTACACACACTTCAGCAGGGATTTTGGCCCACTCCCCCATACAGACCTTCTCCAGATCCTTCAGGTTTCAGGGCTGTCGCTGGGCAATACGGACTTTCAGCTCCCTCCAAAGATTTTCTATTGGGTTCAGGTCTGGAGACTGGCTAGGCCACTCCAGGACCTTGAGATGCTTCTTACGGAGCCACTCCTTAGTTGACCTGGCTGTGTGTTTCGGGTCGTTGTCATGCTGGAAGACCCAGCCACGACCCATCTTCAATGCTCTTACTGACGGAAGGAGGTTGTTGGCCAAGATCTCGCGATACATGGCCCCATCCATCCTCCCCTCAATACGGTGCAGTCATCCTGTCCCCTTTGCAGAAAAGCATCCCCAAAGAATGATGTTTCCACCTCCATGCTTCACGGTTGGGATGGTGTTCTTGGGGTTGTACTCATCCTTCTTCTTCCTCCAAACACGGCGAGTGGAGTTTAGACCAAAAAGCTCAATTTCTGTCTCATCAGACCACATGACCTTCTCCCATTCCTCCTCTGGATCATCCAGATGGTCATTGGCAAACTTCAGACGGGCCTGGACATGCGCTGGCTTGAGCAGGGGGACCTTGCGTGCGCTGCAGGATTTTAATCCATGACGGCGTAGTGTGTTACTAATGGTTTTCTTTGAGACTGTGGTCCCAGCTCTCTTCAGGTCATTGACCAGGTCCTGCCGTGTAGTTCTGGGCTGATCCCTCACCTTCCTCATGATCATTGATGCCCCACGAGGTGAGATCTTGCATGGAGCCCCAGACCGAGGGTGATTGAGCGTCATCTTGAACTTCTTCCATTTTCTAATAATTGCGCCAACAGTTGTTGCCTTCTCACCAAGCTGCTTGCCTATTGTCCTGTAGCCCATCCCAGCCTTGTGCAGGTCTACAATTGTATCCCTGATGTCCTTACACAGCTCTCTGGTCTTGGCCATTGTGGAGAGGTTGGAGTCTGTTTGATTGAGTGTGTGGACAGGTGTCTTTTATACAGGTAACGAGTTCAAACAGGTGCAGTTAATACAGGTAATGGGTGGAGAACAGGAGGGCTTCTTAAAGAAAAACTAACAGGTCTGTGAGAGCTGGAATTCTTACTGGTTGGTAGGTGATCAAATACTTATGTCATGCAATAAAATGCAAATTAATTACTTAAAAATCATACAATGTGATTTTCTGGATTTTTGTTTTAGATTCCATCTCTCACAGTTGAAGTGTACCTATGATAAAAATTACAGACCTCTACATGCTTTGTAAGTAGGAAAACCTGCAAAATCGGCAGTGTATCAAATACTTGTTCTCCCCACTGTATGTGATATATGTTATTGTATTGCAATGTATATACAATTATAATTAGTAATTGTAATGTATTTAGCAACCATATATCTGTGTATCACAGGCGGCTGGTGGCACCTTAATTGGGGAGGACGGGCTCATAGTAATGGCGGAAAAGGAATTGGGAATGGCATCGAACACCTCAAACATGTTTTCCATGTGGTGTATACCGTTCCATTAACTCTATCCCAGCCATTATTGTGAGCCACCCTCTCCTCGGCAGCCTCGTGTGTGTGATCTCTATCTCTATCTCTCTCGCTCTCGCTCTCTCTCTGATATTAAAACAGTTACATGCATTTGTTAGGGAATGGCACCATCACTCAGTGCTCCTGAAATGCAGCGTCGTTACCGAGCACGCCATGATGCAGACCCAGAGAGAAGACAAAAGTACCTTGAGACCGAGATGTCAGCGAGACAGCGAGACAGGGAAAAATAGGATAGCAGATGTCAGTGAGAGAGAGAAGCGTGTTCTAAGGAAAAAATTGAGAGAGACGAAGAGAGAAGAAAACTCCAGAGCAACAGCCAGGGCATATTTTACCCCTCCCCCCACACCTCCCCCACTTCCTGAACATGACCCAATGCCAGGGCCCTCAAGGTTAGAGCAAGCTTGAAGCTGGGCACTTTAATGATTTATTAGTCAGGATCTATTTGAGTTGTGTTCACAACAGTTCACAATATTTGTGCTCTATTGTATATTACTAAACATACTCTTTTTTAATTGATAGGTTTATTGATTCATTCATTGAATAACATATTGATTAATTGATTGGTCGATTGATTTATTGATTAGTTTACTGATTACAATACCAATAGTCCTTACTGTGTTTTAGGCAAAGACATCAAGGTCAAAGAAAGACCAACAATACAAAGAAAACGCTCATGAAAGAGATCAAGAAACTTCAAGCCACCTTGGAAAAAGAGAAAAGGAAAAATACAAGAGATTCCAACACATTAAGGAAAACTCAAAATCTCCTCGCTCAAAAGTGAATGCCATGCTGAGACATCATCCTGTCCATCCAACCATTAGAAGAACCCTTCTGTTGTACTCATCATTGGTTGAAGACATAATAAATAAATATCGCAACACCAGAAAAGACAAGGAGAGGCAGATGAGTGCAAGAGTAACTATTGGGAACATAGTGAAGAAGTACCGACTGCAAAGGCTCATCCAGACTACTCTAGGTTTTTCAAAGAAGAGTGCTGGATTGGATGGATATATTTGTACCTTTGTGTGGAAGAAGAAAAACTGGGCAACTGCTGAATCCAAGTAGGGATGATGTGAGCCACATGACTACAGGGAGGAAACAAACTGTCACGCGAAACAAACAGAAGATGCATAAAAAGGTAGCTGACAGACAATGAAGACTCTACACAATAAGTTCCTGTCAGAAAGTCAAGACTCGATCTCCTACTCTTTCTTCTGCACCTTTAGGCCATTTTGGGTTGTGGCACCAACGGAAGCTGACCGTGAGACGTGCCAATGTCTCATGTCTAACAGCCTTTACAGCTGTGGGCTTTTATCGTCCAGAAACTGCAGTGAAAGGCACAATGAAGATGCATCAAGTGAAAAGTGTGTTGCCAGGTCACATCAAGTACAGAGACAACCTGTCTCTGCCAAAGAGATGAGGGGGTCATGGCCTGTCCCTGCTTTGAGTTAACAGAAGCATCTCTAGAAGCTGCTGAGGCTCCAAGATCAGTGTGCACCATTGAAACCCCGTGGCCACCAGAGCCCATTCACTCTCACCATATTGGTCAGTGGTGTGTGGTGTCCTACGACAATGAGCCATACCCAGGAATCATAACAGATGTGGAGGAGGATAACATCCAGGTCAAGTGTATGCACCGTAATAGAATAAACTAATTATTCTGGCCAAGCCCACGCGACGACATCAGCTGGTACACTGACCACCAGGTAATATGCCTGATCCCAGAGCTTGGAGGTACATAAAATACCACTTTGGAAACCATTGAGCTACAACTGGAGCAAAGGGACTTGCAGTATGTGGAGGGGGGGATGGAGCGGAGTGGAGAAAAGGCGAGAGGGGTGGAGTGGGAAGGGTTTTGGAAGGGAGTGAAGTGGAGGAGAGGTGAGGAGGTGAGAGGGAAGAAGGGGCACTTTTTAAAGGTTCATGTATCCTTATATGTATGAGATATTTTATAAATGCTGTTAAACTTTTTGAATAACCATTTTTATTAAGCTTGAACCATGAGCCCAGAATTGTTAGGAGCAAAATGTGTAGGGCTGTTTATCATAAAATGCCTGAACAAACTGTGATTTTCAAATACAATCCAATTGTTTTACATCCAGCTATGTTGTTCTAATGGAATACTCGTGTTTTAATAATCTGTTTTTATGTTGTTTTACAAACTTTTAGGTTGACAATGTTTTTAAAAAGACAAAGAAGTAAATTGAAAATTAAATAAATAGAATGTGGTTCTAATTATAAATGTAATGTTTTTTTTAACCATTTCACAGATTTCAAAGTTCATAAAATATCTTTATTTGTTTAAATATTTTGTTCATTATTGGTGTTAGTTCCACCCTGTTATTGCTTTCCACCCTGTTATGCTTCATTCCACCCTGTTAGGTCAGTGTTTTTAAAAATCATAATTGAAAAATACCATCAAATGTTATGTATACCTTTGTGGTAACTTGTATAAATAGAAGGGGTCAAATACAAAAATGTTGACCAAATGATGTTGTTATTCACTCTTATTAGGGTGTGGGGCAAATGAAGAGCTGGTTCCGAAAATAACACACGTTTCGCTTAATAATCTTTGATTTATAATTAGTTTAAGTAAATCAATTAACGTAATAGAGTAAGGGACATTTGATGTCTTTAGAAAATCTAAATATATACATGCATTGTTAACACTTTCAAATAGTTATGTGTATGTCCCTAACAGGGTGGAAATATCCCATATTTATTAGGATTTAAGTGCCTGAGCTTGACCAATATGTTTTTCTGAAAGTCAAACATGTCCTTTTTCTGATAGAATACAAAACAAAATAAAAATATATAATTTTTTTCACAAAAGTGATGTGGTCCGAAAGGCACCGCATTGTAGGAATGACCCAGGTGGGATACTATTATTTACTAGCTACAGTTGAAGTCGGAAGTTTACATACACTTAGGTTGGAGTCATTAAAACTTGTTTTTCAACCACTCCACAAATTTCTTGTTAACAAACTATAGTTTTGGCAAGTCGGTTAGGACATCTACTTTGTGCATGACACAAGTAATTTTTCCAACAATTGTTTACAGACAGATTATTTCACTTATAATTCACTGTATCACAATTCCAGTGGGTCAGAAGTTTACATACACTAAGTTGACTGTGCCTTTAAACAGCTTGGTAAATTCCAGAAAATGAAGCTTTAGAAGCTTCTGATAGGCTAATTGACATCATTTGAGTCAATTGGAGGTGTACCTGTGGATGTATTTCAAGGCCTACCTTCAAACTCAATGCCTCTTTCCTTGACATCATGGGAAAATCAAAAGAAATCAGCCAAGACCTCAGAAAAAAAATGGTAGACCTCCACAAGTCTGGTTCATCCTTGGGAGCAATTTCCAAACGACTGAAGGTAACACGTTCACCTGTACAAATAATAGTATGCAAGTATAAACACCATGGGACCACGCAGCCGTCATACCGCTCAGGATGGAGACGCGTTCTGTCTCCTAGAGATTCATGTACTTTGGAGCGAAAAGTGCAAATCAATCCCAGAACAACAGCAAAGGACCTTGTGAAGATGCTGGAGGAAACAGGTACAAAAGTATCTATATCCACAGTAAAACAAGTCCTATATCGACATAACCTGAAAGGCCGCTCAGCAAGGAAGAAACCACTCCTCCATAACCGGCATAAAAAATCCAGACTACGGTTTGCTACTGCACATGGGGACAAAGATCGTACTTTTTTGAGAAATGTCCTCTGGTCTGATGAAACAAAAATAGAACTGTTTGGCCATAATGACCATTGTTATGTTTAGAGGTAAAAGGGGGCGGCTTGCAAGCCAAAGAACACCATCCCAACCGTGAAGCACGGAGGTGGCAGCATCATGTTGTGGGGGTGCTTTGCTGCAGGAGGGACTGGTGCACTTCACAAAATAGATGGCATCATGAGGAAGGAAAATTACGTGGATATATTGAAGCAACATCTCAAGACATCAGTCAGGAAGTAAAAGCTTGGTCGCAAATGTGTCTTCCAAATGGACAAGGACCCCAAGCATACTTCCAAAGTTGTGGCAAAATGGCTTAAGGACAACAAAGTCAAGGTATTGGAGTGGCCATCACAAAGCCCTGACCTCAATCCTATAGAAGATGTGTGGGCAGAACTGAAAAAGCGTGAGCGAGCAAGGAGGCCTACAAACCTGACTCAGTTACACCAGCTCTGTCAGGAGGAATGGGCCAAAATTCACCCAACTTTATTGTGGAAGGCTACCCGAAACGTTTGACACAAGTTAAATAATTTAAAGGCAATGCTACCAAATACTAATTGAGTGTATGTAAACTTCTGACCCACTGGGAATTTGATGAAAGAAGTAAAAGCTGAAATAAATCATTCTCTCTACTATTATTCTGACATTTCACATTCTTAAAATAAAGTGGTGATCCTAACTGACCTAAGACAATTTTTATACTAGGATTAAATGTCAGGAATTGTGAAAAACTGAGTTTAAATGTAGTTGCCTAAGGTGTATGTAAACTTCCGACTTCAACTGTATATGTGCCACATTGTACATTAGTAACAGTAGAATGTGTGAAAAGTACACACTTTTAACTTGCACAATTGGCATTGAATAGCATTTTGTGGAAGGAATTGACTAACAAAAAGTGATATCAACCTACAGTACCAGCATAGACAAGCCCTTGCTTGCAGTGGTACTCTGGTGTTATCTTATCATCCAAGCAAACCCTGTCCACAGTCAAGCACTCAATTCATATTTTCTGTTGTCAAGCAGAGCACGAGTCGTGGAAGAAGCTGAAGCTGGTGGAGATCCACCAGGCCCTGAACAGTGACCCGGTGGACATTGAGACCCTGCGGAGGGCGGCCGTCAGCGAGGGAGGCCTTCTAACAGATGAGATAAGGAGGAAAGTCTGGCCCAAGCTGCTCAGCGTCAACGTGTACAAGTTGCCTGCTAAACCTAGTGAGTAAGAGGTTTCAATGTGAGGATCTGTGTGTCCATTGTTGCGATTGGCCATTGCCCTGAGCCATGGCTTTAGACTACTATGGCGTTTAACATAAGACATGGCTGTAGACTACTATGATCATTACACTGTGTCAGAAGGCCTCTAGCTATCTATAGTCTGTTGATGTATGTTGACTGAATGTAGCCTACTGTAACTTCATTAAATTCAGGTGACTTTTGTCAATATTGACTCATTCCGTAGTCCTCAACACTGTGCAACAACGGAATGTAAACGCCCCACAAGCAACATTAAGGGCCTTTGGCAGTAGCACTGATGCATATGTTCAACTGAAAACAATGGTTGGGGAGGGGGGGACACTGAGCTGTTGTTTTGATTCTCCTGAGTGGCGCAGTGGTCTAAGGCACTGCATCGCAGTGCTAACTGTGCCACTAGAGATTCTGGTTCGAATCCAGGCTCTGTCGCAGCCGGCCGCGACCGGGAAACTCATGGGTGGTGCACAATTGGCCCAGCGTCGTCCAGGGTAGGGGAGGGAATGGCCGACAGGGATGTAGCTCAGTTGATAGAGCATGGCGTTTGCAACGCCAGGGTTGTGGGTTCGATTCCCACGGGGGGGCCAGTATAAAAAAATATGTATTCACTAACTGTAAGTCGCTCTGGATAAGAGCGTCTGCTAAATGACTAAAATGTAAATGTAAATTCTAGCTAAGGATGTCAGAGAGAACCACAAGGACTTCAACCAGGTGCTGCTTGACGTCAGGAGGTCCATGAAACGTTTCCCAAGAGGTAACTAACTCACTCATTGTGCCATTGATCAATTATTATATTATTATTTTATTAAGATTATTATATTGTATATTAGACCTAATATAGAATAGAGTTAACTCACTGTGTCATTGATAGATTAGAGTTAACTCACTCACAGTGGCATTGATCTGATCAGTGTTCAGCTGATAGGTCACTGCCTGTCCTCCCTCTGTCAGTTAACTCAGGGCCTTAACCATCATGGGGCATCTCAATAGTGGGTTTCAGTGGCTTCCTTATATCATTATCTTATCTCCTTCCCTTTATGATGACCACTGATTAAAGAATACTAATATGGTGGAAACAGACTTCAATCCTTCTATCGACCAGAGACGGGCAGTGTATATCAGTGTCTAGACAGTGCTCTTGAAGTAAAGTAGATGATGAAAGCAAGCTATTGGCAAGTATTGAGACATCTAGACACAAGTATCTGAAACCCTAGTGATTGCAGCTTGCTTTCGACACGTTGGTTGTTAATAAATGTATTGCATCAGAGCGATAGTTTGTGGCTACCTCTACCTTCAGACACAGCTTTGCTCTCCCCCTCTCCCCAGGCATGCGTGTGGACGAGAGGAAGGTATTACAGGAACAGCTGATTGATAGCATCCTGGTTGTCCTACAGAAGAACCCTGCGTTGCACTACTACCAGGGTTACCATGACATCGTGGTCACCTTCCTACTGGTGGTAGGGGAGCGCATGGCCATCGCCATTGTGGAGACCCTCTCTAACCACCACCTCAGGTAGATATGAGGAAATCAGAACACTTACTATGAGACTCTTTATGAATACATAAGGGCACAGACCTCCAGACCGGGGTTCAAATAGTGTTTGAAAGATTCCAAAAATACTTTGAGCGTCTGCTTGAGCGTGCCTGTAGTGCCAAATGGGCGGGCTTGGTAATTTTGGGACATATTCCATTGTGCCAGGCAAGCTCAATCAAACACCGCTTAAGTATTTTAAAGATTTCAAATATTATTTGAACCCAGGTCTGTTATTATACATACCCCTTATTATACGATTATTACCCTATTCTGACCACCAAAGATGGCTTCCCCTCTCTGTCTATCATGGTCACATTATCCTCCTTCCCCTGCAGGGATTTCATGGATCCTACCATGGACAGCACCAAGCACATATTGAACTACCTGATGCCAATACTGGAGCAAGTTGATCCAGAACTACATGATTTTATGCTCAGGTAATTCTTTGTTCTTTTTTTATAAATACATTTACATTTTAGGAGACGATCTTATCCAGAGTGACTTACAGGAGCAATTAGGGTTAAATGCATTGCTCAAGGGTACATCTGCATATTTTTCACCTAGTTGGCTTTGGGATTCGAACCAGCGACATTTCGGTTACTGGCCGAACGCTCTTAACCGCTAGGCTACCTGCCGTCCTATGTGGATTTGTTGCAGTAAGAGAGGTACAGATCACAGTTCGTGGGACTTCAACTTCAAATCTGTGTTTACTTGTGTCCTTTAGGGAAATTGGAGAGACAGTTTCGCAGATTATTTGAGAAAATATCAAATAACAGGTTTTAATGGCAGATAACAAGCTGCAATGAATACATGTTCACTTTGAAGTAATTCTACCAGTTTTCCCCAACTTCAAACTCTGATTCAGAGCAAGAGTTGTCAATGTTTTCAGTTGATACCAGTGTAATCTATTTAGTTTTATTATGTGTTAAAGAAAAAAACTTTTTCAGTTTCTACAGTGAGCTCCAAAAGTATTGGGACAGTGACACATTTTTGGTTGTTTTGGCTCTGTACTCCAGCACTTTGGATTTGAAATGATACAATGATATAAAGTTAAAGTGCAGACTGTCAGCTTTAATTGGAGGGTATTTTCATCCATATCGAGTGAACCGTTTAGAAATTACAGTACTTTTTGTACATAGTACCCCAATTTTAGGGAACCAAATGTATTGGGACAAATTCACTTACAGTGAGGGAAAAAAGTATTTGATCCCCTGCTGATTTTGTACGTTTGCCCACTGACAAAGACATGATCAGTCTATAATTTTAATGGTAGGTTTATTTGAACAGTGAGAGATAGAATAACAATAAAAAAATCCAGAAAAACGCATGTCAAAAATGTTATAAATTGATTTGCATTTTAATGAGGGAAATAAGTATTTGACCCCTCTGCAAAACATGACTTAGTACTTGCTGGCAAAACCGGCAAAACCAGACGTTTCTTGTAGTTGGCCACCAGGTTTGCACACATCTCAGGGGGGATTTTGTCCCACTCCTCTTTGCAGATCTTCTCCAAGTCATTAAGGTTTTGAGGCTGACGTTTGGCAACTCGAACCTTCAGCTCCCTCCACAGATTTTCTATGGGATTAAGGTCTGGAGACTGGCTAGGCCACTCCAGGACCTTAATGTGCTTCTTCTTGAGCCACTCCTTTGTTGCCTTGGCCGTGTGTTTTGGGTCATTGTCATGCTGGAATACCCATCCACGACCCATTTTCAATGCCCTGGCTGAGGGAAGGAGGTTCTCACCCAATATTTGACGGTACATGGCCCCGTCCATCCTCCCTTTGATGCGGTAAAGTTGTCCTGTCCCCTTAGCAGAAAAACACCCCCAAAGCATAATGTTTCCACCTCCATGTTTGACGGTGGGGATGGTGTTCTTGGGGTCATAGGCAGCATTCCTCCTCCTCCAAACATGGCGAGTTGAGTTGATGCCAAAGAGCTCCATTTTGGTCTCATCTGACCACAACACTTTCACCCAGTTCTCCTCTGAATCATTCAGATGTTCATTGGCAAACTTCAGACGGGCCCTGTATATGTGCTTTCTTGAGCAGGGGGACCTTGCGGGCGCTGCAGGATTTCAGGCTTTCACGGCGTAGTGTGTTACCAATTGTTTTCTTGGTGACTATGGTCCCAGCTGCCTTGAGATCATTGACAAGATCCTCCCGTGTAGTTCTGGGCTGATTCCTCACCGTTCTCATGATCATTGCAACTCCACGAGGTGAGATCTTGCATGGAGCCCCAGGCCGAGGGAGATAGACAGTTATTTTGTGTTTCTTCCATTTGCGAATAATCGCACCAACTGTTGTCACCTTCTCACCAAGCTGCTTGGCGATGGTCTTGTAGCCCATTCCAGCCTTGTGTAGGTCTACAATCTTGTTCCTGACATCCTTGGAGAGCTCTTTGGTCTTGGCAATGGTGGAGAGTTTGGAATCTGATTGATTGATTGCTTCTGTGGACAGGTGTCTTTCATACAGGTAACAAGCTGAGATTAGGAGCACTCCCTTTAAGAGTGTGCTCCTAATCTCAGCTCGTTACCTGTATAAAATACACCTGGTAGCCAGAAATCTTTCTAATTGAGAGGGGGTCAAATACTTATTTCCCTCATTAAAATGCAAATCAATTTATAACATTTATGACATGCGTTTTTCTGGATTTTTGTTGTTGTTATTCTGTCTCTCACTGTTCAAATAAACCTACCATTAAAATTATAGACTGATAATTTCTTTGTCAGTGGGCAAACGTACAAAATCAGCAGGGGATCAAATACTCCTGAGTGGCACAGTGGTCTAAGGCACTGCATCGCAGTGCTAACTGTGCCACTAGAGATCCTGGTTCGAATCCAGGCTCTGTCGCAGCCGGCCGTGACCGGGAGACTCATGGGCGGCGCACAATTGGCCCAGCGTCGTCCAGGGTAGGGGAGGGAATGGCCGGCAGGGATGTAGCTCAGTTGATAGAGCATGGCGTTTGCAACGCCAGGGTTATGGGTTCGTTTCCCACGGAGGGCCAGTATAAAAAAATATATATATATGTATTCACTAACTCTAAATCGCTCTGGATAAGAGCGTCTGCTAAATGACTTAAAATGTAAATACTTTTTTTTTCTCCACATTTTGTTGTGCTACAGCCTGCATTTAAAATGGATTAAATAGAGGTTCTGTGTCACTGATCTACACACAATACCCCACAATGTCACATTTTTACAAATGAATTAAAAATAAAAAGCTGAAATGTCTTGAGTCAATAAGTATTCAACCCATTTGTTATGGCAAACCTAAATAAGTTCAGAAGTAAACATGTGCTTAACAAGTCACATTATAAGTTGCATGGACTGTGTGAAATAATAGTGTTTAACATGATTTTTGAATGACTACCTCATCTCTGTACCCCACACATACAATTATCAGTCGAGCAGTGAATTTCAAACACAGATTCAACCACAAAGACCAGGGAGGGTACCTATTGGTAGATGGCTACAAATATAAAAAGCAGACATTGAATATTCCTTAAATATTAAACTTTGGATGGTGTATCAATACAACCAGTCACTCCAAAGATACAGGCGTCCTTCCTAGCTCAGTTGCTGGAGAGGAAGGAGAATGTATGGATCAACAACATTGTAGTTACTCCACAATACTAACCTAATTGACAGAGTGAAAAGAAGGAAGCCTGTACAGAATAAAAATATTCCAAAACATGCATCCTGTTTGCAACAAGGCACTAAAGTAAAACTGCAAAAAATGTGGCAATTAAATTAACTTTTGTTTTGTTCTTTTTAACTTTTTGTCCTGAATACAAAGTGTTATGTTTGGGGCAAATCCAATACAGCACATCACTGAATACCACTCTTCATATTTTCAAGCATGATGGTGGCTGCATCATGTTATGGGTATGCTTGTCATTGGTCAGGACTAGGGAGTTTTTTAGAATAGAAATAAACAGAATAGCGCTAAGCACAGGCAAAATCCTAGAGGAAAACCTGGTTCAGACTGCTTTCCAACAGACACTGGGAGACAAATTCACCTTTCAGCAGGACAATAACCTAAAACACAAGGCCAGATATACACTGGAGTTGCTTACCAAGACGACATTGAATGTTCCTGAGTTACAGTTTTGATTTCAATCGACTTGAAAATCTATGGCAAGACTTGAAAATGGCTGTCTAGCAATGAAAAACAACGAACTTGACAGAGCTTGAAGAATTTAAAAAGAAAATGTGCAAATATTGTACAATCCAGGTGTGGGAAGCTTTTAGAGACTTACACAGAAAGATTCATGGATGTAATCGCTGCCAAAGGTGATTTTAACATGTATTGACTCAGGGATGTGAGTACTAATGTACAGTGATTCGGAAAGTATTCAGACCCCTTGACTTTTTCCACATTTTGTTACGATACTGCCCTATTCTAAAATGTACAAAATAGTTTTTTTCCCCCTCATCAATCTACACACAATACCCCATAATGACAAAGCAAAAACACGTTTTACATTTTCTTTGCAAAAAGGACCAAGGCCTTTCTCCCCCGATTGCTCAGTTTGGCCTGTCGGCCAGCTTTAGGAAGAGTCTTGGTGGTTCCAAACTTCTTCCATTTATGAATGATGGAGGCCACTGTGTTCTTGGGGACATTCAATGCTGCAGACATTTTTTGGTACCCTTTCCCAGATCTGTGCCTCGACACAATCCTGTCTCGGAGCTCTACGGACAATTCCTTCGACCTCATGGCTTGGTTTTTGCTCTGACATGCACTGTCAACTGTGAAACCTTATATAGACAGGTGTGTGCCTTTCCAAATCATGTCCAATCAAATTAATTTACCACAGGTGGACTCCAATCAAGTTGTAGAAACATCTCAAGGATGATCAATGGAAACAGGATGCACATGAGCTAAATTCCAAGTCTCATAGCAAAGGATCTGAATACTTATGTAAATAAGGTATTTCTGTTTTTAATAAATTAGCTAAAATTGGTGAAATCCTGTTTTCGCTTTGTCATTATGGGGTATTGTGTGTAGATTGATGAGGGGAAAAAAATACTTGTATCCATTTTAGAATAAGGCTGTAACGTAACAATGTGGAAAAAGTGAAGGGGTCTGAATACTTTCCGAATGCACTTTATGTGAATCAAAAGTTTAGCATTTGGTCCCATATTCCTAGCACACAATGATTACATCAAGCTTGTGACTATAAACTTGTTGGATGCATTTGCTGTTTGTTTTGGTTGTTTCAGATTATTTTGTGCCCAATAGAAATGTATGGTAAATAATGTATTTTGTCATTTTGGAGTCACTTTTATTGTAAATAAGAATATAATATGTTTCAAAACAGTTCTACATTCATGTGGATGCTTCCGTGATTACGGATCGTCCTAAATGAATTGTGAATAATGATGAGTGAGAAAGTTAGACGCACAAATATCATACCCCCAATACATGCTAACCTCTCACCATTACAATTAAAGGGGAGGTTAGCATTTGTTGTGGGTTATGATATTTATGCCTCTGTAACTTTCTCACTCATCATTATTCGTGATTCATTCAGGACTATCCGTAATCATGGTAGCATCCACATTAATGAAGAGGTGTTGAAAATACCCTCAAATTAAAGCTGACAGTCTGCACTTTAACCTCATAGTCATTGTATCATTTCAAATCCAAAGAGTACAGAGCCAAAACAGCAAAACATTTGTCACTCTCCCAATACTTTTGTAGCTCACTGTATATTTGCAGTTGTGACTAATGATCGGCGTCCATATTCATGAAGGCTGTCAAAGTAGGAGTGCTGATCTGGGATCAGGTCCCCCCTGTCCATGTAATCTTGTTCATGATGATCCAAAAGACAAAACTGATCCTAGATCAGCACTTACTCTGAGACACTTTATTAATATAGTCCCCTGCTTCCCACTCTTCTCTCCTGAAGGGGGCAGTAAGGGTGTGCATGTTCTTCTTGGAAAAGGAGGTTGTTGCAGCCAGGATTGAGTCAAACTAAGAGATATGGAGTAAAAATCCATCCGATCGATTGCTTCTATCTCTCTCCACCTGCCTTGCCTTAGCTAGGCTACTGTACCCCTGAGCCAGCTGGACTAGTGTGTAGTATGAGACTACAGATCTGAGGGAGATGGAGAAAGGATGGAAGACTGTGGATTTCTTATTTATCATAGATATATTTTGGGCTCCTGATGCATTTGTATAATTGATGGTCTGACAAGAATGTTTGCGGTGAGATTTAATTGAGAAGACTGAGTTAAGAGCGGGCCCTGGTTTCCTGTCTCCACAGCTAACTGTCAGGCAGTCAAAGGATTCCACAGCCTTCCACTGTGCTGTCACTGTGTTCTCTGTTTTTTTTCAATGTCACATTGGCTCTTGATTGTCAACCATCTTAAGGTTTTCTCCACATCAATATGATTGCTGCACTGACAAGTCACTATTAGCATGGTTGAGGACTTTCTTTTTACACGCTAGACATGTTTTTCATCCATCTCCGAGGAGAAATGGAACGCAGCAGACAAACAATATTTTGACTCGAGCTGAAGCAGTGTTTTATTTTACTGTTCGTCAAAGTTGTGTGACTATATCCCTCTAAAACCCCAGCATTGTGTGTGGTGTACTAAAACACACTACCATGGTATTAGATATTCTCCTAGTCGTATTTACACTGTGTTCTGGGTGTGTGTTGTGTTGGAATGTTATGGGGTAAGCTGTAGCACATACAGTGAGGGAAAAAAGTATTTGATCCCCTGCTTATTTTGTACGTTTGCCCACTGACAAAGAAATGATCAGTCTATAATTTTAATGGTAGGTTTATTTGAACAGTGAGAGACAGAATAACAACAAAATAATCCAGAAAAACGCATGTCAAAAATGTTATAAATTGATTTGCATTTTAATGAGGGAAATAAGTATTTGACCCCCTCTCAATCAGAAAGATTTCTGGCTCCTAGGTGTCTTTTATACAGGTAACGAGCTGAGATTAGGAGCACACTCTTAAAGGGAGTGCTCCTAATCTCAGTTTGTTACCTGAATAAAAGACACCTGTCCACAGAAGCAATCAATCAATCAGATTCCAAACTCTCCACCATGGCCAAGACCAAAGAGCTCTCCAAGGATGTCAGGGACAAGATTGTAGACCTACACAAGGCTGGAATGGGCCACAGACCATCGCCAAGCAGCTTGGTGAGAAGGTGGCAACAGTTGGTGCGATTATTTGCAAATGGAAGAAACACAAAAGACCTGTCAATCTCCCTCGGCATGGGGCTCCATGCAAGATCTCACCTCGTGGAGTTGCAATGATCATGAGAACGGTGAGGAATCAGCCCAGAACTACACGGGAGGATCTAGTCAATGATCTCAAGGCAGCTGGGACCATAGTCACCAAGAAAACAATTGGTAACACACTACGCCGTGAAGGACTGAAATCCTGCAGCGCCCGCAAGGTCCCCCTGCTCAAGAAAGCACATATACAGGGCCGTCTGAAGTTTGCCAATGAACATCTGAATGATTCAGAGGAGAACTGGGTGAAAGTGTTGAGATCAGATGAGACCAAAATCGAGCTCTTTGGCATCAACTCAACTCGCCGTGTTTGGAGGAGGAGGAATGCTGCCTATGACCCCAAGAACACCATCCCCACCGTCAAACATGGAGGTGGAAACATAATGCTTTGGGGGTGTTTTTCTGCTAAGGGGACAGGACAACTTCACCGCATCAAAGGGACGATGGACGGGGCCATGTACCGTCAAATCTTGGGTGAGAACCTCCTTCCCTCAGCCAGGGCATTGAAAATGGGTCGTGGATGGGTATTCCAGCATGACAATGACCCAAAACACATGGCCAAGGCAACAAAGGAGTGGCTCAAGAAGAAGCACATTAAGGTCCTGGAGTGGCCTAGCCAGTCTCCAGACCTTAATCCCATAGAAAATCTGTGGAGGGAGCTGAAGGTTTGAGTTGCCAAGCGTTAGCCTGGAAACCTTAATGACTTGGAGAAGATCTGCAAAGAGGAGTGGAACAAAATCCCTCCTGAGATGTGTGCAAACCTGGTGGCCAACTACAAGAAATGTCTGACCTCTGTGATTGCCAACAAGGGTTTTGCCACCAAGTACTAAGTCATGTTTTGCAGAGGGGTCAAATACTTATTTCCCTCATTAAAATGCAAATCAATTTATAACATTTTTGACATGCGTTTTTCTGAATTGTTTTGTTGTTATTCTGTCTCTCACTGTTCAAATAAACCTACCATTAAAATTATAGACTGATCATGTCTTTGTCAGTGGGCAAACGTACAAAATCAGCAGGGGATCAAATACTTTTTTCCCTCACTGTAAACCTCTAGTCTTGATTGCTTGTCTATTTCCTTCTCTTTCTCTCTGTCTCTAGTCTTGAGTCTCTCCCTCTCTCTCTCACACTCTCTCCATCTCTCTCTTTCTTTCTCTGTTGCGTGCAGTGCCTCCCCAGTCCTTGATAGAAAAAGTTATTCTTGATAGTGGCACCATCTAAAATGTAGAGAATACGAGGGCTAGTGATAAATATTGAATAGGGGTGCATCTTGGAAGTAGTGCACTATATAGAGCATAGGGTACTATTTGAGACAGAGCCAAGGAGATGGAAGCTCACAGGTTGAATGATGTTGCACTGTCTGGCCCTGCTGCTGCTGCGGCCACTGCTTTTAGGCTACCTCAAGACTGCTGAGGAAATGTTCATGAAAGTATTGGACGCTAGAATGGTTAAATAGCCTCGTTTTTTTACAAATAGGCCCTACTTAATTTTTTAATTGAAATTTTACAACGGCAAGTCATTTGACAACACAATGACTGTTGCTGTTGTGGTTGCCGTCCTAAATGTTCAGTTAGCTATAGAGTTGCCTATGGATGTAATAATAATAATAATAATAATAATAATAACACATTTTCGGCTTCTAAAATAGAGCTGCATTAAGCGCTGCAGTCCAAAGGGGTTCTGTAGTGAACCATGGCTAATGCCTTGCCTTTAGAACTGGGTTCTCGGTATTCTATAATTTCATCATCAGTGTGTGTCCGTCCTTACTCACAGGAACTGGCATAAGCATAACTTGGCTGTGTCCCAAATGGCACCCTATTCCCTATATAGTGCACTACTTTTAACGAGAGCCGTATGGGACGTACTCGTAGCCCTTGATATATTCACACATTTCTCTCAGACTTGCATTGCCCACTTTGCAGGCTAATGCAGGTTAAGTGGTGGGCTGTCCTGAGGTAATCATCGCAGAATAAGGAGATTTGGTTTACTGTACATCAACTAGTGGGATATCAACTGGTGTATTTTAATTAGCCAGTGTAAAAATGAGCTGTTGCTCTTGATAATGAGGGGTTAAACAATGTTGTTGCTGCTGTTTATTCCCTCTGTAAAGTGTATGGAGACTCTGTGACGAAGCACTTTAAATCAAATTTGACTTAACTTGTTCATAATGGCATAGGGTGGTCAAGAGGTCTAAGCCGCTTCCTCCAGATCTCATATATTGCTGCAGTATGGGTTTGAATACGGCCCACTGTTATTTCAGCACACTCTCTCCTCTATCTCTACCTCTGTCCTATCCTATAAACAAACACATACAATAATAATAACTGACTAACTTGTTCATATGTGTTGCAGGGCCGAGGTGGGAACCATCTTTGCTCTGAGCTGGCTCATCACATGGTACGGCCACGTCCTGTCTGAGTTCCGTCACGTCCTCAGGCTCTATGACTTCTTCCTGGCTTCACACCCACTCATGGCCATCTACTTCGCTGCCGTGGTAAGAACCAATATTTAAACTGTGACCTCTCTGTTTATAGAATAGAGTAATATAGAATAAAATACTAGAATAGAATAGCTAGGTTATTGTCCATTTTGTAAGGAATGGAAATGTCTTGTGCCTTACTCTGTACCTAAAATCATTTTTTTCAGTGCATCTCGCCATCTGCTTCCAAGTTGTCTGCTGGACATAATTATTTTATGGGGGCAGTGTGTATTGTTTTATAAGTGAGCGACAGTAATTTGGGCATTTTACAATCTGAAGGGAATTCAGAGATGCATTCTTATTTGTTGTACAGTAGTTGCTAATGAACAAGAAAACACTCATTAGTCTGCACATTCAACTAAGCGCTTATTAGATGGTATTGGGGAAACGATATCTCGCCAAACTTCAAACGTATGTTTCTCGCTCGGCCCTTTGTAAATTGAGTTGTTTTGTGACTACTTGGCAACGGGAAGAAAAAAAAATAGGCAAGGATTTCTCTTTTCTTACATGCACGACACACACACACACACACACACACACACACACACACACACACACACACACACACAGGAATCCAGGGCACTTTGTTGTAGCTAGACCAGTTAATTAAACAACTCTAATGAACTCACCAGAGGTTTGGTGTGGAGGACTGGCTGTGTTTGTGCTAGATTGCTTTAAATGGCCCCTTTCTTCTCCTTCCATAAGCCTATCCCCTGCTAGATACTGGAGCTGCACACAAACCAAAGGGGGCTGAGGCCTTTTGAAGTCGGGATAACAAGGCAGTCAGGAAATGTAGTTCATCCTGCCTCTTATGTTACTAGACACAGGGAGGCTTAACCCTTTCAGTCTGCGCCGAGCCAAAACCCAATACCGCTACTCACCGGGCCAAAACCCTGAATCGTTACTCACTGGGCCACAACCCTGAACCGTTACTCACCGCGCATCTCCTGGAACAGAAAAGAGTCTGGGGTATGAGTCTGCTGAGGTAGATGGTAGATTTACATTTTAGTCATTTAGCAGACTCTCTTATACAGAGCGACTACAATTAGTGCACTCATCTTGAGACAACCAGATATCACAGTCGTAGCAAGTACATTTTCCCTCAATAAAGTACTTATCTTCAAAGTCAGTGCTGGTAGGAAAAGACAAGTGTATTTAAACAAATATATAATTGGTAGGTTGGTCTACTATGTATGTCGATTTAAAATGTCTTAATTAAGGATGTTGAGGCATATCTTCAACAGTTAGCAAAAGAGTGTAGCTAGACGAACTGTAACTACTCTACTGAATGGTTGAATGGGACAAAGCTAATATAATAACCTGCTAATATTCTGTCTCGTTTATAGATCGTCCTGCACAGGGAGAAGGAGGTGAAGCAAACCGAGTGTGACATGGCCATGGTGCACCACCTCCTGTCCCAGATCCCCCAGGACCTGCCCTACGAGGAGCTCATCACCCAGGCCCACTGCCTCTTCACCCTCTACCCTCCCTCCCTGCTGGCCAAGCGAGCTGCTCTGCAGTCCCGCAAGAGGTGAGAGGGTCAGGGTCTCCCTGTATAACTTACCATACCCTTTACCTTATAGGGGGGGGGGGGGGGGTTACTGTGCTTCAACTAAATCCAGTGTTGTGACTACTGTTGCCAGGAGGACTTGTGAGCTAAAGAACAGAGTCTGCTGTTACATCAGAACATGAGGATATGTGGACCATGCCAGTCACATAATACAGGAGGAGGAGATATTACATGGAAGAGAATGTAGCACAGTGAGATTGGGCTTGTAGACAGTGTAACATTATCTTCAGTGTAGCCACAGCAGGGGGTTCTGTCTTCTGCAAAGGATGGGTCTTTTACTATGCAGGCCTGGCCATGGATCCTCTAGACCCCTCAAACTCAACTCTGGATCTCGAAACCAGTTCCACTGCTTTTTTCATAGTTCCCCTCTAATTTTGTATTTGTATTTATTACGGATCCCCATTAGCGGCTGCCAAGGCAGCAGCTACTCTTCCTGGGGTCTAACCACAATTTACATACAATAAAACAATACATAACACAACACCTTATTACACACTACTCTACCATAACATATTTACAATACAAAATCAACAATAATGCAAAATAACAATATTAAAATGTGTGCGTGTAGAGTGCGTGTGTTAGCATGTAATCAGGGACTAATTTAGACCTGGGACACCAGGGCAGTTGGGTGCAATTAATTATCAGGTAGAACAGAAAACCAGCAGTACTCCGGACCTTGTAGGGTAAGATTTGAATACCCCTCCAGGAAACTACAACATACATTTTATTCAAATATCCAACAATCAGCTTCTAGTCTGAACTGGCCTGAAACAGGGAATGTGAGGAGAGATAGTCCTCTCTGTAGTATTAGCAGTAGATCCAACTTTGTTCAGAGCAGAGCAGAGCAGAGCAGAGCAGAGCAGAGTAGAGCAGCGTAAAGGGATGTAGCTCAGTTGGTAGAGCATGGTGTTTGCAATGCCAGGGTTGTGGGTTTGATTCCCAAGGGGGGCCAGTATGTAAAAATAATGTATGCACTCACAAACTGTAAGTCGCTCTGGATAAGAGCGTCTGCTAAATGACGTAAATGTAAATGTAAATGTAAAGCACTCTTGTGGTCCTCTGGGATTTGTTTTTCCACATGTCCAGCAGGTGGGGCTGTTGAGCAGCAAGTCCCCCAGCCCACACCACAGTGACTCCCTGCTGCTGGAGCTGATCCTCTTCCTCCTTAGTGTCTATTGTGATGTGGCTGACGTTCAGTCCTGCCTGTCTGCATCCCAGCCCTTTGTATGTAAACGCTATCTGTCAGTCTGCGAGATTGAGCCTGCAGATTCTGGCGTTTTTTGAATATACTTTTTTTTTTACAGGTAGGCTGCTAGGCTCACCTTTATGATGCTATCAACACCAGTGGGAGGTTATGAGTACCTTTACCTTGCCCACAAGAGCAATGTTGTTCTCCCTCTATTCATGTCTCCTTCCTAAGGAGAAATGTCATCTAAATTGGACAGAAATCTGGTTCATTTTAGATCTGACAGCTTTTCTGATTCTCTCGCTACCTGCAATTGCCTGTCTCTTGTCAGAAAAGGTTGTCTAGAGAGATGGGGTTGTTAGTAGTCGGTGGCTCTGAGTTTGGGGTGTCTTCTCCTCTTTTGAATGTCACACTCGTCACACCACGGCATTGGAGGCCCCTTGTGCTACCTAATAAATAAGCCTCGTCCCTAGGTAATTAATGGGCTGTCTGATTTAGCATGCAGACCCCCCCCCCCATCCTCCCCCTTTTAAGCATCTGTGGCCTCCGAGGAAAGGGGGGGGGGGGTACATAGCCTCCTGTATTGTTCTCAAGACAGAGATGAGATGAGCAGCCCTCACCGCACTCCAACCCCTGGCTTCTGGCTCTATTTGTCTGACTGACCTTAGAGTGGGCTGCAATGGGGAAAATTTAGCAATGTAGTGGTTTCCCTCAAGAGGCAGGGGAATGGCGGTGAGGGTGACCCCCAAATGTTCTTCACAATGGATACACCCCCCCGTGCTGCAGGCTCTTTTCCCCCAATCTGCTCATAGTTGTAGGCCTTTGTGCTTTGGAGGAGATTTAAAATACTTGTTGGATCTCTTACAGGTTTTCTTTTTAATATCAGCTTCTTTTCAGGCCTTTTCAGTGATTTTTTTAGGATTAAGAAACATTGTGATGTATCACAATCAAATCTAATCAACAGAGTGAAACCCCCTAAAAACAGAATATTCCACTTCCGTACTGCAGAAGCCGCCACCTGTAACCCACCCAGTGCATCAGCTCCTCCAGCAGCGGTTGGTTGGCTGGCTAGTTGGGTTTGGTGTGTGAGGTGGCTGGCCCAGCAGGACTGTGATATCACCTCAGGCACATCTTTGAGCTGTGGGCCAGGCGGTGGGGGGTTGGAGTGGGGGCTGGCTCAGTGGCGGTTTCTGTGCAGAGACAGCGAGCATGCTGGGAAGCACAGAGGCTTTGGAAACGGATTAGCCAGTTAGACCTTGTGCACAATCACCTCTGAAAGTGCTCCCTCAGACGAGAAACGAACAAATGCCTCTGCACTCATTTTTCCTTCCTCTCTCATACTCAGCCTAAAAACAGGGGCTTCATACGCAAAGGCAATGGATGTTGGTGAACAAGTCAGTGTGTTAACCTCTTGAAGGTTGAATTTTTCTCATCCATTTTTACCTCTCTAGCAGATAAACATGCCCCTTTCAAGCGACTCAGAGTCAAAAACCGAACTAATCCATGGTACTCTCCTGTACTCAAATCAAATCACATTTTATTTGCCACATGCGCCGAATACATTACTGTGAAATGCTTACTTACAGGTCTTAACCAACAATGCATTTATTTTTTCATAAAAATGTAAAATAAAACAACAACAAAAAAGTGTTGAGAAAAAAAGAGAAGACGTAAAATAAAATAAAAGTAGGGAGGCTATGGGGGAAAAAAGTGGGGGAAAAAAGTATTTAGTCAGCCACCAATTGTGCAAGTTCTCCCACTTAAAAAGATGAGAGAGGCCTGTAATTTTCATCATAGGTACACGTCAACTATGACAGACAAAATGAGAAAAAAAATCCTGAAAATCACATTGTAGGATTTTTAATGAATTTATTTGCAAATTATGGTGGAAAATAAGTATTTGGTCAATAACAAAAGTTTCTCAATACTTTGTTGGCAATGACACAGGTCAAACGTTTTCTGTAAGTCTTCACAAGGTTTTCACACACTGTTGCTGGTATTTTGGCCCATTCCTCCATGCAGATCTCCTCTAGAGCAGTGATGTTTTGGGGCTGTCGCTGGGCAACACGGACTTTCAACTCCCTCCAAAGATTTTCTATGGGGTTGAGATCTGGAGACTGGCTAGGCCACTCCAGGACCTTGAAATGCTTCTTACGAAGCCACTCCTTCGTTGCCCGGGCGGTGTGTTTGGGATCATTGTCATGCTGAAAGACCCAGCCACGTTTCATCTTCAATGCCCTTGCTGATGGAAGGAGGTTTTCACTCAAAATCTCACGATACATGGCCCCATTCATTCTTTCCTTTACACGGATCAGTCGTCCTGGTCCCTTTGCAGAAAAACAGCCCCAAAGCATGATGTTTCCACCCCCATGCTTCACAGTAGGTATGGTGTTCTTGGGATGCAACTCAGCATTCTTTGTCCCCCAAACACGACGAGTTGAGTTTTTACAAAAAAGTTATATTTTGGTTTCATCTGACCATATGACATTCTCCCAAACCTCTTCTGGATCATCCAAATGCACTCTAGCAAACTTCAGACGGGCCTGGACATGTACTGGCTTAAGCAGGGGGACACGTCTGGCACTGCAGGATTTGAGTCCCTGGCGGCGTAGTGTGTTACTGATGGTAGGCTTTGTTACTTTGGTCCCAGCTCTCTGCAGGTCATTCACTAGGTCCCCCCGTGTGGTTCTGGGATTTTTGCTCACCGTTCTTGTGATCATTTTGACCCCACGGGGTGAGATCTTGCGTGGAGCCCCAGATCGAGGGAGATTATCAGTGGTCTTGTATGTCTTCCATTTCCTAATAATTGCTCCCACAGTTGATTTCTTCAAACCAAGCTGCTTACCTATTGCAGATTCAGTCTTCCCAGCCTGGTGCAGGTCTACAATTTTGTTTCTGGTGTCCTTTGACAGCTCTTTGGTCTTGGCCATAGTGGAGTTTGGAGTGTGACAGTTTGAGGTTGTGGACAGGTGTCTTTTATACTGATAACAAGTTCAAACAGGTGCCATTAATACAGGTAACGAGTGGAGGACAGAGGAGCCTCTTAAAGAAGAAGTTACAGGTCTGTGAGAGCCAGAAATCTTGCTTGTTTGTAGGTGACCAAATACTTATTTTCCACCATAATTTGCAAATAAATTCATTAAAAATCCTACAATGTGATTTTCTGGAGAAAGAAAATCTCAATTTGTCTGTCATAGTTGACGTGTACCTATGATGAAAATTACAGGCCTCTCTCATCTTTTTAAGTGGGAGAACTTGCACAATTGGTGGCTGACTAAATACTTTTTTTCCCCATTGTACAGGGGGGTACCGGTGCAGAGTCCATGTGCGGGGGCACCGGCTAGTTGAGGTAATATGTACATGTGGGTAGAGTTAAAGTGACTATGCATTAATAATTAACAGAGTAGCAGCAGCGTAAAAAGATGGGGTGGGGGGGATAGTGCAAATAGTCCGGGTAGCCATGATTAGCTGTTCAGGAGTCTTATGGCTTGGTGGTAGAAGCTGTTGAAAAGCCTTTTGGACCTAGACTTGGCGCTCCGGTACCGCTTGCCGTGCGGTAGCAGAGAGAACAGTCTATGACTAGGGTGGCTGAGTCTTTGACAATTTTGAGGGCCTTCCTCTGACACCGCCTGGTATAGAGGTCCTGGATGGCAGGAAGTTTGGCCCCAGTGATGTACTGGGCCGTACGCACTACCCTCTGTAGTGCCTTGCGGTCGGAGGCCGGGCAGTTGCCATACCAGGCGGTGATGCAACCAGTCAGGATGCTCTCGATGGTGCAGCTGTAGAATTTTTTGAGGATCTGAGGACCCATGCCAAGTCTTTTCAGTCTCCTGAAAGACCTCTTGATAAGAAATCAAGCCTGGGCCAAGGCTAGACAAACTGTCTCGTTAGCTGATTGGCAGCTATTTAGGTAATTGAGAAATCTGTGCACTGCCTCGGCTAAACAGGCCAAATCAAACTACTTCCTTAGCGCTATGACAGACTGTTAGTGATCCCTCTAAATTCTGGAAAATCGTTAATTCACTGAAGTGGGGGTAATTCCTCTACTTCCCTGCCTAAACAAGTAGTTTTAGACTCCTGCATCATTGCTGAAAACTTTCAGATTTGTGATTATTTTAATCAGCATTTTATCTCAGCTGGTTTCCTATTTGAAAGAAATGCTGGTCATACTGGTCTGGGCCAGTCAGTTGACTGTTCTTCCCACATACAGCCTCCAGTTGCCTCAATGGATGATCAGTCAACCTGACTTGGGAAATGGTAGTTAGGGTTTTTCTTTTTGGCAACTCACAAAAACGTAAGTTCTTGCTGCCTTGTTTACATTTACATTTTAGTCATTTAGCAGACGCTCTTATCCAGAGCGACTTACAGTTAGTGAATACATTTTTTTTATTTTTATACTGGCCCCCCATGGGAAACGAACCCACAACCCTGGCGTTGCAAACGCCATGCTCTATCAACTGAGCTACATCCCTGCCGGCCATTCCCTCCCCTACCCTGGACGACGCTGGGCCAATTGTGCGCCGCCCATGAGTCTCCCGGTCGCGGCCGGCTGCGACAGAGCCTGGATTCGAACCAGGATCTCTAGTAGCACAGTTAGCACTGCGATGCAGTGCCTTAGACCACTGCGCCACTTGTTAGCTATTGACACCGAGAAGTCATTAAGGGCTGACAATTTGGACCCGTCTTTGCTTAAGTATGCTGCACCCCTCATTGCTGTCTCAGTAACACAAATGTTTTAACTTTAGTATCAGGAAATATTCCAAAAGTGTGGAAAGCATATTTTGTGCTACCACTCCATAAGGGAGGGGATAGTAGTGATCTCGATAACAATCGACCCATTTCCAGGCTCCCTTGCGAAAATACTAGAATCATTGGTCAACAAACAGCTACGTTATTTTCTATCTGTAAATTGTATTCTTTATGTTATTCAATCCAGATTAAGACCTAAACATAGCACCACTATGGCTACCATGCTTGTTTTTAAATTATATTGCAAATGCCTTGGATTATATAAATAATTGTGATGCCATGTTTGTAGACTTGTCAAAGGCTTTTGATACTGTAGACCAAGACCATGTTATTCTTTTGAATAAGCTGTCCTCGAAAGGGTTGGGTACTGATGCTTGCTGATGGTTTCATAATTATCTCAATGACAGAACTCAGGTCATCAAGGTAGATGGGATCAAATCTGAGTTCCTTGAGGTACATAAAGGGGTGCCCCAAGGTTCGTCACTCGGCCCACTACTTTTTACAATCTATCAAGATAACATTGGTTATGCTGTAAAACAATTATAATATTCATTTGTATGCAGATGATACTGTGTTGTATTCCATTGCTCCATCAGTTAGCCAAGCCTTTTCACATTTGAAGTCTGATTTTCAAACACTGCAGAGGTCACTACTGGATTTAAAGTTACTGCTAAATGCAAACAAAACGCATGCTTTTTTCTAGGTCCCATAACCCAGATTTAAATGAATTTGTAATGACTAGTTTCAATGGTACACAGATTGAGTTCCATTCTACAAATATCTTGGTTCTGGCTTGATGACAAACGGTCATTTATAAAACCATGTCACTGAGCTGGTGAAGAAGTTGAAGTTCAAGGTTGGTTCTTTTACACAAACAAAGCATGTCTGATTTTTGTGAATAGGAAGGAAATTGTCCAGGCCAATTTTATGTCTATTTTAGATTATGGGGATATTATCTACAGTGAGGGAAAAAAGTATTTGATCCCCTGCTGATTTTGTACATTTGCCCACTGACAAAGTAATTATCAGTCTATAATTTTAATGGTAGGTTTATTTGAACAGTGAGAGACAGAATAACAACAACAAAATCCAGAAAAACGCATGTTATAAATTGATTTGCATTTTAATGAGGGAAATAAGTATTTGACCCCCTCTCAATCAGAAAGATTTCTGGCTCCCAGGTGTCTTTTATACAGGTAACGAGCTGAGATTAGGAGCACACTCTTAAAGGGAGTGCTCCTAATCTCAGTTTGTTAAAAAGCAATCAATCAATCAGATTCCAAACTCTCCACCATGGCCAAGACCAAAGAGCTCTCCAAGGATGTCAGGGACAAGATTGTAGACCTACACAAGGCTGGAATGGGCTACAAGACCATCGCCAAGCAGCTTGGTGAGAAGGTAACAACAGTTGGTGCGATTATTCGCAAATGGAAGAAACACAAAATAACTGTCAATCTCCCTCGGCCTGGGGCTCCATGCAAGATCTCACCTCGTGGAGTTGCAATGATCATGAGAACGATGAGGAATCAGCCCAGAACTACACGGGAGGATCTTGTCAATGATCTCAAGGCAGCTGGGACCATAGTCACCAAGAAAACAATTGGTAATACACTACGCCGTGAAGGACTGAAATCCTGCAGCGCCCGCAAGGTCCCCCTGCTCAAGAAAGCACATATACAGGCCTATCTGAAGTTTGCCAATGAACATCTGAATGATTCAAAGGAGAACTGGGTGAAAGTGTTGTGGTCAGATGAGACCAAAATCGAGCTCTTTGGCATCAACTCGCCGTGTTTGGAGGAGGAGGAATGCTGCCTATGACCACAATAACACCATCCCCACCGTCAAACATGGAGGTGGAAACATTATGCTTTGGGGGTGTTTTTCTGCTAAGGGCACAGGACAACTTCACTGCATCAAAGGGACGATGGACGGGGCCATGTACCGTCAAATCTTGGGTGAGAACATCCTTCCCTCAGCCAGGGCATTGAAAATGGGTTGTGGATGGGTATTCCAGTATGACAATGGCCCAAAACACACGGCCAAGGCAACAAAGGAGTGGCTCAAGAAGAAGCACATTAAGGTCCTGGAGTGGCCTAGCCAGTCTCCAGACCTTAATCCCATAGAAAATCTGTGGAGGGAGCTGAAGGTTTGAGTTGCCAAACGTCAACCTCGAAACCTTAATGACTTGGAGAAGATCTGCAAAGAGGAGTGGGACAAAATCTCTCCTGAGATGTGTGCAAACCTGGTGGCCAACTACAAGAAACGTCTGACCTCTGTGATTGCCAACAAGAGTTTTGCCACCAAGTACTAAGTCATGTTTTGCAGAGGGGTCAAATACACTGCTAAAAAAAATAAAGGGAACACTTAAACAACACAATGTAACTCCAAGTCAATCACACTTCTGTGAAATCAAACTGTCCACTTAGGAAGCAACACTGATTGACAATACATTTCACATGCTGTTGTGCAAATGGAATAGACAACAGGTGGAAATTATAGGCAATTAGCAAGACACCCCCAATAAAGGACTGGTTTTGCAGGTGGTGACCACAGACCACTTCTCAGTTCCTATGCTTCCTGGCTGATGTTTTGGTCACTTTTGAATGCTGGCGGTGCTTTCACTCTAGTGGTAGCATGAGACGGAGTCTACAACCCACACAAGTGGCTCAGGTAGTGCAGCTCATCCAGGATGGCACATCAATGCGAGCTGTGGCAAGAAGGTTTGCTGTGTCTGTCAGCGTAGTGTCCAGAGCATGGAGGCGCTACCAGGAGACAGGCCAGTACATCAGGAGACGTGGAGGCCGTAGGAGGGCAACAACCCAGCAGCAGGACTGCTACCTCCGCCTTTGTGCAAGGAGGAGCAGGAGGAGCACTGCCAGAGCCCTGCAAAATGACCTCCAGCAGGCCACAAATGTGCATGTGTCTGCTCAAACGGTCAGAAACAGACTCCATGAGGGTGGTATGAGGGCCCGACGTCCACAGGTGGTTGTTGTGCTTACAGCCCAACACCGTGCAGGACGTTTGGCATTTGCCAGAGAACACCAAGATTGGCAAATTCGCCACTGGCGCCCTGTGCTCTTCACAGATGAAAGCAGGTTCACACTGAGCACATGTGACAGACGTGACAGAGTCTGGAGACGCCGTGGAGAACGTTCTGCTGCCTGCAACATCCTCCAGCATGACCGGTTTGGCGGTGGGTCAGTCATGGTGTGGGGTGGCATTTCTTTGGGGGGCCGCACAGCCCTCCATGTGCTCACCAGAGGTAGCCTGACTGCCATTAGGTACCGAGATGAGATCCTCAGACCCCTTGTGAGACCATATGCTGGTGCGGTTGGCCCTGGGTTCCTCCTAATGCAAGACAATGCTAGACCTCATGTGGCTGGAGTGTGTCAGCAGTTCCTGCAAGAGGAAGGCATTGATGCTATGGACTGGCCCGCCCGTTCCCTAGACCTGAATCCAATTGAGCACATCTGGGACATCATGTCTCGCTCCATCCACCAACGCCACGTTGCACCACAGACTGTCCAGGAGTTGGCAGATGCTTTAGTCCAGGTCTGGGAGGAGATCCCTCAGGAGACCATCCGCCACCTCATCAGGAGCATGCCCAGGCGTTGTAGGGAGGTCATACAGGCACGTGGAGGCCACACACACTACTGAGCCTCATTTTGACTTGTTTTAGGACATTACATCAAAGTTGGATCAGCCTGTAGTGTGGTTTTCCACTTTAATTTTGAGGGTGACTCCAAATCCAGACCTAAATTTGATTTCCATTGATCATTTTTGTGTGATTTTGTTGTCAGCACATTAAACTATGTAAAGAAAAAAGTATTTAATAAGATTATTTCATTCATTCAGATCTAGGATGTGTTATTTTAGTGTTCCCTTTATTTTTTTGAGCAGTGTACTTATTTCCCTCATTAAAATGCTAATCAATTTATAACATTTTTGACATGCGTTTTTTTCAGGATGTTTTTGTTGTTATTCTGTCTCTCACTGTTCAAATAAACCTACCATTAAAATTATAGACTGATCATGACTTTGTCAGTGGGCAAACGTACAAAATCAGCAGGGGATCAAATACTTTTTTCCCTCACTGTATATGCATGCAGCAGCATCTACACTTAAACCACTAGATGCTGTTTTCCATTGTGTCCTTAGGTTTATTACTGGTGATGGTTATAGAACTCACCATTGTGTCTTGTATCAAAAAGTGGGTTGGGCCTCTTTTGTATGTAAGACGGCAGCATTTTCTTGTGTTTATCTACAAAACACTTCCTATGTATCTATCATCATTAATAAAATGTTGACGTACAAATTACCAAACCCGGTCTCAGGCTTGGATAACAATGGAGGCCCCTTCAGTCTCCACAGAGTTGGGTAAAGCTGCTTTTAGTTTTTTTGCACCCTTTATGTGGAACAACTTACAGAGCTCTCTGAAATTATACTGAACACAAAAAAAGGCAACATGCAACAATTTCAAAGATTTTACTGAGTTACAGTTCATATAAGGAAAGCTGTCAATTAAAATAAATTCATTAGGACCTAATCTATGGATTTCACATGACTGGGAATACAGATATGCATCTGTTGGTCACAGATACCTTTAAGAAAGTAGGGGCGTGGATCAGAAAACCAGCCAGTATCTGGTGTGACCACCATTTGCCTCATGCAGCGTGACACATCTCCTTTGCATAGAGTTGATCAGGCTGTTGATTGTGGCCTGTAGAATGTTGTCCCACTCCTCTTCAATGGCTGTGCGAAGTTGCTGGATATTGGGAGGAACTGGAACACGCTGTCGCACACGTCAACCCAGAGTATCCCAAACATGCTCAATGGGTGTCATGTCTGGTGAGTATGCAGGCCATGGAAGAACTGGGACATTTTCAGCTTCCAGGAATTTTGTACAGATCCTGGTGACATTGGGCCGTGCATTATCATGCTGAAACAGTAGGTGATGAATGGCACGAATTTGGGCCTCAGGATCTCGTCACGGAATCTCTGTGCATTGAAATTGCCATCGATAAAATGCAATTGTGTTCGTTGTCCGTAGCTTATGCCTGCCCATACCATAACTCCACCGCCACCATGGTACACTCTGTTCACAACAGCAAACCACTCGCCCACACGACGCCATACACGTGGTCTGCGGTTGTGAGTCCGGTTGGATGTACTGCCAACTTCTCTAAAATGATGTTGGAGGCTTATGGTAGAGAAATTAACATTACATTCTCTGGCAACAGCTCTGGTGGACATCCCTTCAGTCAGCATGCCAATTGCACACTCCCTCAAAACTTGAGACATCTGTGGCATTGTGTTGTGACAAAACTGCACATTTTAGAGTGGCCTTTTCATTGTCCCCAGCAGAAGGTGCACCTGTGTAATGATCATGCTGTTTAATCAACTTCTTGATATGCCACACCTGTCAGGTGGATGGATTATCTTGGCAAAGGAGAAATGCTCACTAACAGGGATATAAAAAATGTGGCAAAGATTTGAGAGAAATAAGCTTTTTGTGCGTATGGAACATTTCTGGGATCTTTTATTTCAGCTCATGAAACATGGGACCAACACTTTACATTTTGCTTTTATATTTTTGTTCAGTGTAGATGTTCTGGTCCCCCTTGGCCAGTTCAGACTAATGATTGGAGACCTCTATGCTGATAAATGTGTCTGATTTTCTTAATATGTTTTTTTATTTTGTATATTGCATGTGTATCCTTCCACTGGCGCTGCAGTCATCCCTCTGTCCGTATCCTTCCACCCCGTGCTGCAGTCATTCCTCTCCCGGAAAAAATGACATTGCTGACAAGGGGCCTTGAGTGACAGCTGGATACAAATGTCTGCCTGGAGGTACACAGATAGTGTCATGCTCTCTGGCTAGTTGCTGCTTCCTTCCAATTGTAGGAAGTGCTGAGTGAGTCAGTCAGTCAGAAAGTCAGTCAGTCATGGTTGGCCTGGGCTGATTTCACAACAGGTGACTTCGGGTAGAGCGAGAGTTGGTGACACCCAGGACAGGTTTGTATTCATTAGTGCACACAGAACGTTTTTCAGCAGAAAACGGAAAATGAGCATTTCTTATTTGACACTCCAGGTAGAATCCTCCCTGTTTCAGTCCGTTTTCTTCCATTTGGTGCCTAATGAATACGACCCAGGAGAGCTAGGGTGGCTGTGGGACTCTTGTATACGAGACATGGCATTAGCTCCGTACATGAAGGTCATGTCTGTGTTGGTTTGACTTTGACCCAATATAGAGTAACAGGTGACCTCATCTCCCTCTTGCCCAGTAGTAGGGCGATGCATGACATGCAAGTGAAAGTGTGACGACGAGTCTGACTAACTGATAGTGTATTTTAGATCTAGCTGCAGCATATTGACTGAGTTGTGGTGTGTGTCTGACGAGAAAGGGAGAGAAGGAAAGAGTGAGATACTGTACAGGGAGAGAGAGAGAGAGGGCAGGGGTGTAGTGTTGCGTCACGCTGCACGGCTGAGAGAGCAGCTCCCGGTGGTGACATGACAAACAGGCCAGGTCGGTGATGATGACTCAACCACACTGAACATCCTCTGCTTCTTCTGGGTCACGAGGATAACTGCATGCTGAATCACCCGTCTGACCGCTGTTGTGTCCTTACTTTACTTTGGACTAGGGAATAGGGTGCCATTTGGGACGCATCCATGGTTTACTAATGCAAATTAAAACATGACTACACAACTACTGTGGCACAGCACCACTGACTACAGGACAGGTTAGGCCAAGGTCACATACGGTGAATGACCGGCAGGCAGGCAGGCAGGCAGGGGATGGAAGGGTCACAATGCCCATAGGATCTTTTTTATTGTTTTTGAAATCCCTGTAATGACCACATATTATTTAATTTCAAAGGGAAGAAGCCAGCAAAGCCACCTGTACCTCGCAAAATATTTCTCAAATTCTATGAAGGTTTAGAATGAGCTGCTTTGATCACGGTCATCATCTCACTATCCTGTCAGCTGTATTCAAAGACTGAGTGTCACTGTCATTGACGAGGTCCTAGACCCTTTCATCAGGAGGAGAAACGAGAGGAGAGGACATAGGCTAAGCCAGCCTCCGTACTGTCACACGGAGCTATGTTCCAAATAACACCCTATTCCCTATTTAGTGCACAACTTTTTTTTTGTGATCAACATTTTATTTTTTATTTCACATCATACAATACACAACGCAGGATCACGTTACAAATATGAACTTAGTGCACTACTTTTGACAAGGTAGCTCTGGTCAAAAGTAGTGCACTAGAAAGGGAATAGGGTGCCGTTTGGGATGCTGTCAGAGAGAGGAAGGAAGGAGAGGAGTGAGTGAGTGATAGAAGTCAGCCACTACTGTATGTACTGTACACTATAGATGGAGGTTCATCAGAGGAGCTGGGCACTCTGGGGTGTTAAGCTGTTTAAAGTGAAAGATAAAAAGTTAATTGTCTGCCGTTACCTGTCAGCTATTTTCAGCCTGGGCTCATTAGCAGATGATTCTAATGAGAGAGAGAGAGATGGGAGGGATGGAGAATCAAAAAGTCGAACGAAAGACTTTAAAGATATTGAACCCCTCAACGCACGCTCATTTGGGGTACCATTTTCCCAGAGGCATTTTTCTGTCATAAACCGTCCCGTTTTTATTTTTACAAGGTTCATAATCGGAGAGAAAAGGCATTTGCATTTTGTGTTGCAGCGCAATGTTTACTATTACTTCCAGAGGGACGATAATGAAATGGAAGTGAATATCTTACGATTTTTTAATGATGTTTTTCTCCAAACTGTTGAGGAGAAGAAGAAAAAAAATCAGCCTTGTTGCCGTTGTCTTGCCCATCAGCGCTGGCTGGTGCTTCTGCTGTTGTGTTGCTATTGTAATTGAGAGAAAGCCGTAGCCAAATTAAAAGTGGCTTCTCTCAGTGTCTTTGTTGAGGCCATAGGGCACTGCTCCCTCCCTCCCATATGGAGCATTTCTTCTTTTTCTTTTGTCACCCGTCTCTCTCCCTTCTGTCTTTCTTATTGACATTTCTTCACTCTGTCATTCACTGTATTTTGCTGCAAGGCCACTAGTCCTCCTCCCCCATTGACAGTGGTAAACAATAGGCAATATCCTGTAGTAGGACAACTCATATTGTGAAGTGCCGACCCTATTTATTTGTCTACCGCCTGTTTCAGTATTCTTGTGAGCCATAACCAACTCGGCAGCGATGAATAACTGTTATGAGAAACGAATGTTTCTCTTACACTTTATCAGACAAAACAGTATTTCCTTCTGTCTCTCTCCAGCATCACCATCAACTGTTTCAAGGCCTTCCAGATGACCACTCAGCAGCAGCGGCCCGACTCGGTCCTCCGTCGGCAGCTCCTCCGGGGCCCAGCCCGAGGCCGAGGGGGCCTAGACTCCCAACTGGCCATGCCCAAGGACACGCAGCCCAACCAGGCTGCCAACCAGCTTGTCAAGATGGCCGTGTGGGGCATCTCAGCCACCCTGGGGGCGGCCGCTCTGGCTGTGGCCCAGACCGCCCTGGACTGGGCTCCTGACTTCTTTATGCAGCTCTACTGATGGACTTACTGCAGCCCGCTGTTAAGGAGCAGGGGGTAAGGAGGGAAACGGGTCTACCTCTGTTAAGGAACAGGGGGGAGGGAGATGGAAGGGAGGTGGGGGAGAGGAGCACTCCCCCAGTTGAGGAGTAGGAGGAATGAGATGCTAGGGCAGTAGGGAGGAAGAGAGGAGGGAGACAGGAGCTAGTGCCAAATGGGTTGAGCCACTCACACATATGTAAACCCTCAGCCTAGGAGATGTGGAGCACCCCAGAGGACCTTGTGTGCCAAACTCAGTTCCATGAAAAGAAAGGGGAGGAAAAAGCCTTTATTTATTCAGTAGTGTTTTTATTTATGGATTTTACTTGTGCTAATATTGGTTAATGAAAGGTAGTAGATTAGTTTTTGTAATGATAAGCATTTTCGAGTGCTGGCCTGTGTGCCGTCAGCAAGCATGTCTGGGGAGAAAAACGCGCCGGTAGCTAATTCACAGCAGCAGGCGCACAAATGATGAAAAATACGTATTCCCCCACCCTTCTTTTTTTCTGCTGATTGCCTTGGGTTGGGAGTGAAGGAGCGGTTCATTAGGGGGTGGAAACACTCACTCAATCAGGTGGTTTTTATTCAGAGAGGTCGACTATGGGGAGAGAGAGAGAGAGAGAGAGAACCCAATTTCTGCTTTAAACTGGCACTTTAAAGTAACCGGCTTCCCTCCAGTTGATGTCGATGGAGGATTTATAGAGTACATGTAAAATATTCACCTGCACACCACTAGGAGACAGTTACCATTTACATCAGCATGAAAGGAAGGCTGCTGTCCCAAATGGCTCCCTATTCCCTTTTGTAGTGCACTACTTTTAATACAGGGCCCATAGGGTGTAGTGTGCTATATAGGGAATAGGGTGCCATTTGGGATGCAATCAAAATGTCCACACTTATGCCTCCAACAACCCTCTAGACTACCGCTGTCACTAGCCAAAGACTTATTCAGTTAGCTGTACTAACTGGATAGCCCTGCGGCTTTTTAAAGTATGTTTTATTAAATGTTTTTACAAGAACAAGACTCTGAGAGAGTGTGTATCTGTCCAAAGACAAACGAGTTCGGACGTCTTGCGTTCTATTGGTTCTATGTCATCACACTGTTGTGTATTCATTATGGAAGGAGACCCTATAAAACACTGAGGATACTTGATGATCATAATGTTACAATGCATGCTGTATGTGTGCACCCCCTGTATTGGAGGGGTGGTGTTGTTTTAATTAGCATTTGATGATCTCGGTGCCTTGGAGGTGATGGATATAGCAACCAATGGGCAGCTGTTGCTATGCTCTAAGTTAATTTGATCAATACTACATGAATCACTGCCAGGAAGGACAACATGGTTGGTTTGGTTTGGTTCTGTAAAACATATGTCTATGTTCCATGCAGCCTAGTTAGATGCTACTAGCCAAGCCAGAAAGTCAGAAAGGCACAGGCCATATTTTTATTTCATGTGAGTTTAATTTGAGCCTCTGGCTATTTGCAAGGGTTTAGCCCAATCATTCACCGGAATACATTTAACTAATGAAGCTGACAAAGCAAGATCTTAAAAGGCCCAATGCAGCCGTTTTAACTAAATATAAACATTTCTGGGTAACAATAAGTACCATACTGTGATTGTTTTCAATTAAAATAGTAAACAAAAAATAGTTTCTTAGTAAAAGGCAATTTCTCAAGCAAGAATTTTGCTAGGACTGTGGGAGTGGTCTGAGTGGGGATGGGAAAACAGAAAAGTAGTTGTTATTGGCCGAGAGGTTTGGAACTCTCTTTCTTGATCTATTAACTAGACTGAACAAAAATATAAACGCAACATGTAAAGTGTTGGTCCCATTCCTCATGAGCTAAAATAAAAGATCCCAGAAATGTTCCATGTCTCAGGTTTTGAGGAAGCGTTCAATTGGCATGCTGACTGCAGGAATGTCACCAGAGCTGTTGCCAGAGCATTGAATGTTCATTTCTCTACCATAAGCCGCCTCCAACATCATTTTAGAGAATTTGGCAGTACATCCAACCGGCCTCACAACCGGCGTTGTGTGGGTGAGCGGTTTGCTGATGTCAACGTTATAAACAGAGTGCCCCATGGTGGCGGTGGGGTTATTGTATGGGTAGGCATAAGCTATGGACAACGAACACAATTGCATTTTATCGATGGCAATTTGAATGCACAGGGATACCGTGACAAGATCCTGAGGCCCATTGTCGTGCCATTCATCCGC